ATCAGTGAGGTGTTAAATTTGATTGATGCTCTGTGAAGTATGGTCTTCTGTCTTGGCTATAAATAAGTTATTGAAAGGCTATTAGTAAAAGATAAGGCGATACCTGAAATAATTTGTTATATTTATCGGAAAATCATTACCGCTCACCTGTCTTGCATACCAGTGTTGCTCGGCAGCCACTTGTAGTCGGATGGTACCGGGAAAACTACTGTTCTTGATGCGTCCTGTATCAATCTCTACCTGACTTCTACCTTCGTACCTTTGTGCTGTACATAACCCTCACAATCAGTAACATAATGGAACCATATACTATTGCCAACTAATGGACTGAGAGGTATGACAGGTATATATCATAAGTCAGGATGTGCAGGACCAGAATGGACACAAAAGTGATGTAACTTACAGTGGTACATTCAAGAGGACGATGCACTACTACGAAATTTTCGGACCTTATTTGTGGAATGGCACTTGTGATGGGTATATAACTTATTAATCCGTGTGATTGAAAGATTGAATATACGGATTGAACTCCATTCCCGTTTCATCGTGATATCACTGAATTATCGTAAATACTCAAATAACCATTGAATGATTCTGAAAGATTTTGAAAAAAAATTTTTTTTATTCATTTAAGAAATTTTTTTAGCTGACTTTGATAATGAATGGACGTATTGTTTTGGTGTTATAAGGAGAGTGCAATACAAAACATGACTGTCTACTGTCTACCATCTAGTGAATCATGTCGAGAAGATCGGATCAGTATGTCTAATCTAGAGATTTGGTGAGAAATCAGGGCCGACCCCTACCAGCTAATTCCTATATTATTATTACCAATATTCTTAATGTAGACGAGTTTGTTGATTTCATTTCTCCCAATTCTCCTGTCTGGCTTCAAATCCACGATCATGAACCGATCATAGCTGGAGCATTACTATCGAAACGTTGCATAAACAATCGTGGATCATAGGTGAAGGACTCGCCATGATGGACAAGGGTAAGCAATCGAAGACCAGAAGAGACTCAAAGAATCTGTTTTTGGCGCCAGAGAGCTTTAACAGCCAAAGAAGAAGAAAGTCACAAGAAACTTTACAGACACCAAACATCAGCCGAGCTGCTAGCCCTTCTTCACCCCTATCACCTGGTAGAGACAAGGAGTTGAGATTTTCAGATAAGAATATTGTTTATCAGTAAGGACTTTTTTTAAATTTCAAGATTTTTTTATGTATGAAATTAAACATTTGACCAAGTATTAGAGACACTTTTAGCTTATTTGCGTCATTCTGCTTCTGTAACAGTACAGTATAGTCTGTGATTCTATAAAAACTTGACCATATTATGTATGACGTAGTAGGCGCAAGTACCATTGAAAGGAAACCAATTTGCAAAATTTCCTTACAAATGTATGTTTCTAATAGAGACACTTATTGCATATTTACGCGATTCTGATTCCCGAATTTGTAATTTAAGAAAAACTTCATTAAATTATTATGTATGACGTTGTTATCGCGAATACCATTTAAAAAATCTATTGCAACCGCAACCCATAATGTAGAGCTTTATACAAAGCTGAGAACTCATTAGGGGAATCCTTCATTCATAGATTTTTACAAATCACTTTTTTCTTTTCTTCAAATGAATCAAGCATTACTCAGATTTCGTGACAGAAAACTATAAGAAGTAGGCAATTTGTAGAGTTTATTTATCGGAGTCCATACCGCGAGTTATATGGCATCATTCATTAAAAGCGAAAAAACTAATTCCTTTTTTTCATTATAAAATTAATTTCAGTTCATATTCTATTATATTGAATGACTTTTGGTTCTGATTTGGGAGTATAGGATATCTGATACAAACTATTATAATAACTCGACATTTTTTTATAATGATTTAGGCCTACTTTTTTCATTAAAGATAATCACCACACTTGCCTTATTTCGAAACAATATTTTTTTTTATAAATTTTCCTTTGTAAAAATAATATTTCATTTACCGGCATCAGATTCAAGTTCAACTGTATACAAAGGAGCTGAAATCAGACAAAATCACGAAATGATCAAGAATTTAGTTGATTTCTTTATCTCAATGGGTGTGTGAATTGTGGTGTTCCGCAAGGTTCCTGTATTATTTCAGTATTTTTTATTGTCTGTGCTAAGAAAATTCTGTACTAAAAAAACAAATGAATATAAGTATACTATACAGTGAATTGCACAAGACAATATCATAGCGATTTGTATGTGATATGCTCATATTGTTAGTTGGTAGGAAGGTGATCGAACTTTGTGGGATAAACATAGCGACAGTAACCTAGAGATCGATAGTTTATCTACATAATGATACGATATTATTAAATTTTAAGTCAATAAATACTGAAGTTTATATATTTACTTAACCCCTTCATTCACCATATTGAAGGCGTTCAGATAAGGATTTTGGTTTGTAGTTGAGGTTAATTTCAAAAACTCTACTTGAAGAAAATTGAATAAACTTTATATATAAGTTCAAACTTCTTCAGAAACAATTAAAGAAACATTGCCTAGAAAATGTATAAGCTTATAAATTCATATACTATGTATTATATTTTTAAAGTTCATTACATCTATCTTGAAAGTATAAAAGTAACACATGTATATAACTCTCCATGGAATTACAAAATGTAAAGCCAACTTTAATTGCCCTTAAAATTTAAAATGAAAAATGAAATGGGTCATTCTATTGCAGACAATGATACTTTAAGTCATTTGAGAGATTACTTGATTAAATTCATTACCTAACGATTATAGGGTCATTATCTACGTTTAGTCTATAGAATGATTGTATACACCTAGAAATATCGGTATTCCAAACACGATAATATTACAATTTATATAGATGCAATAGTTATATAGGTCTAGATAAGAGATTTTAATGCATTATGTGTTTTATTCCATTATTCGGATATGTTCATTGTGTGTAGGCAATAGCGCTGATAATGGGTATGGTATTGCTGTTAATGTAACATTTTGATGAGTTAAATTCAAGTCAGTGTTTAATTTTGGTATAAAGTGAGGTTATTCGTCGTTTACTAATAAGCAGAATTAGACGATGTATTGGTACCGGATCTGCTAGAAACAGAAAACAGTGATGGATTCACTGTGAACTTTAAGAACCATTGCGAAAGGAGTAAATTCTGCTGACTAATAACTTCTTTGAAATTAAACAAGTTAATTACCTCAACGGAAGAGAAGAATGTATACAAATTCTACAGTAACAATAGTGCCTATACACCACCCTTGATGAACATTACTATGTCTTTAGTGTTAATAAAGGGATTTCAAAGAGGTTTCCTAATATTTTATATGTGTATCCGGGACATTGATAGCATCAATATGTACCATTCCAATTTTCTATAAAACTAAGCCTTTTATAACGTCACTAATCGCGAAATGCTTGTATCACATAAGGTCCTTTGCGATTAGTGTGACGTCTTCACTTAGTTTTAGTGGAATTGCAGGAACCTCAGACGTCTGATTGAAAATTGGAATGGTGCAATTTGGTGCGGTCAGTCTCCCCAATACACGCACGTATTTTTTTAGAAAACCTCTTTACAATCCCTTTAATAACAACTCAGAACCAGTATGTTGTAGTAAAATTTGAAAGTGTATAAAAATTATGCTTTCTATACAAGGATATTATATATACAATATGCTTTCTCTGGCACTGATTATTGACTAATTAAGCCTATCTCGGGCTAACTAAGTTAAGAAAATATTGAACAAAGAGAACCTAGACCTACCTGTAGTGCTATATGGCGACATGTGTAAATTAAGTGTACACCAATACTGTGATAATATTTGAACACTATTAATCATATTCGTAGTCAACATGTATTTTCAATTATATTTTCACGTATTAATAACACTGAAGTGTAAATTATGACTAATGACTTACACGAACGGGCGAAGTTGATATCAAATTTTAGATCCTTATAATTCACTTCATTTTGAGTATAGGCTACGACTGTGTAAATGTGGCAGCCCATAACACCGTTACATTTTTTGTGAAAATGGTGATGGGAAAAGTGTGTGCGACTAGTCAGTATTGACTTGAATTTCAGTATGGTTTATACTCGACTTCTGATATTGTGTAATATGCGATTGTTCTTGGTACCTTAAAGATATTGGTATATTGCATGTCAAGATTTAGAATATTTCTGAAATGTGCTCTGGAATGTGTTAATGGCTACTCCTTTATCAAATTTGCTACGTGATTCCATTTAAAATATTCAGGAATGTGTTAGACAAGACTTTGAATATATAAGTAAGCTAAGCTGCATGTACGTAGGCCTATACCGCCGGTGCCTTCCATGTAAGACAGTAATTTTCAAACTCGTTAGGGGAGTGGGTGCTTACGGGCAGTTTATTAAATAGAAAGCTCGGTATGAACATGTTAAGAAATGAAATGGTCTATTAACTAACACTTACTGGTCAAGGTGTTTGAATTCACACAACAAAGGATTAATGGATATTTTACCTGTCATAGGCCTATTGATATTGTTTATAAGATATAAGTTTTTGTTTTGAAAGCTGTAGATGTTTACCCGTTTAACAAAGGGATTAGATATGATAGAAAAGTATAGTCTTGTACCATTTAGTTTTCATTTTTTGAAAAGAAAGTAGCACTAAAATTTACTGGTTAGGCGTAAAAACCTAATTAATGGAACTTTTCAGATCGGAACTTGTAGCTTATGAATTCTATTTTGTATAGGTCATCTGCTTGGAACTTATCTGGAACTTCTGTGAAACTGTGTATTTTTATGTAGATATCAGATGTAAAATATTTCCTCTGTGGTAGCCTATTCGAATGGAGCCTTCTTTATAGCAGAACTTAATTCTATGGAAATTAGGCTTGGACCTATTTACTCCCTTATGAACTTGGGGCTACAAAAGCGTCGTTCTCTGTATGGAACTTAGGATTTAATTCTTCAATTTGTCGTCATCAGATAGTAGGATCATAGCTCAAAAATGAAACACGATCGTGGAAGAAGAGCATCTCTAAAAGATAACACTTTAGGAATACCAATTCCTTCTCTAAATCTACCACATAGCCATCACGTCGAGATGAAACATTTTGAATGTGTCTATAAAACAACCCGTTTTTACCCTGGAACGGCCGAGTCATCACCTTATACCGAGGAAATCCAGTCAGCCTCTCGTCAAACTCTCCCTATCCCACGCTCTTATTCTAACAGGGGTCACACCAGCCATGGGCGGGAGGCAAGGAGAGGCTCTATTTATGGGATCAAGGAAGAGTCAGCACATCCAAGATCTTCGTCTCCTATATTTGAACGTGAAAGGTAAAGTTTAGAATGTAAAATGATATGCTCTGTTCACTCAGTGAAATTATGAGCTGGGCTTCCTGGAACCAGTAACTGTTGGTGTTGAGATTCCAAGTGCTGTGAACTCTCTACACTAGGCCTATCTAGGCTCATTAAGACCCCCCCTCCCCCCTTCCTGTTGCATATTGCTATCCCCTTTCCTCTCACTCAGTCTGTGTGTCGGCTACTTTCGGGCTATAAATAGGTGAAATCTCTTGTCAGATCGGGGTTCAGACATAGAATTGGGTTCGGACTATATGTCAGTTATATCAGACAGTAGGCTATAGTTTGATTGCATCTCTATGTTCGGACTATCACCCTTTCTACGTCCGAAAGTAGGCTACTAATTTATAGTCCAATAAAATTGAAAACAGAGATCAGGCCGATAGTCCATAATATCAGTATCAATGCAGTAACTTATGTGGGATATCGATATTTCGCTTTTAATTCGTGTCGTTGATTACCAATTTAAAGTAGGCCTATTTCTCAGCTACGTTTCTCATAAAATCCATGAGTAGGTATTTTAGTTTGTTTACATGTTTCACGCATGCGTCGTAGCATTACCTGACCTGACTTGACAACGGTGCACTTTAATCATCAGTAGTTTGCCATGATATTTGTGAATTATAATTACCCATAGCAGTAAAAAGAATGTCATCGAGAACGTCTAAAAGAAATGTTTCAACTAATCGGGTTAATTCCGCAACACCCAGAGAGTAAGTTATTACGGATTTAGCCATCAGTATTATGACGATTTGCTCAGTTGGCTTCATTGGATACAAGATGGCGTCCATCTGTTATTGTTTCCATTTTTCAAGGCAAATGGAAAAACAACTTTGAAAGACTATCTTACATGAAGTCCAATATAATGTTAGTGATTTATTTGGCAAAATTCCGATTAGTGCACTTCAAAATCAACACTGACACTGAATAGTTGGTCTATTCTTCACTGATATTGATGGGCCCTTATCTATGGACCAAGTGAAAAAGTACCGTATACTATAAGCTTAATATTTATTCATGTTTCAGTTTTATTTGGTTATTATTTAGGAAGGAAGGGTCTAACCTGGGACGAAACATCTGCCTCTTCCCTGTGTATAGGGATTTTATGCAAAAAGGTGCAGGGTTTTTAAACCTTTTTTTTTTTAACCTTGAATCTGCCAAACTCTACACCATTTATATAATGTCACTTCTATAGTTCCATCAGGGGAGCCGCGGTTGCTCAGTGAGTTAACCACTTGCTCGTTAACCTAAAGGTCCAGGGTTTAATTCCGGCATGGGTTGAGATGAAACCTTCGATCTTTCAACCCTGTTTCCCTGGGTCACTGATTCAGGTAAGAGGGGCTGACATGAAAAGGCATCTGGTCGTTCGGATGGGACGATTAACCGAGGCGCAATGTGCTATAGGCTGTGCACATGAAAGATTGGAAATGGAAAAAGAACAGGCTAATGCTACTGTCCTTGCAAAATGGCCCTGCAATATTGTACCCCACATGGCATTGTCCATTTTCATTAGCCCACATGGTGCATAAAACTCCTACTGTGTGTGATTCCAAATATTCGTTGATCATAGTCATTGATTGGAGGCCTATCCATAATCTATCAGTGATACTGACATCTAAAAATGGTTTGTACACCCACAAGCTTAATTAAAACACAAAAGTTGCAGTATGACAATACATGTACCAATATTTCAATATTTCTATATGATATTAGAGAACAGGATTTTGGATAGACAAACTTTCCAATATTGCACATAGCTTAGTAGTAACATTACAAGGTTCAGAATATGAAATATTTTGACATTTGTTAATTTTAGCTCTGATACAAGTATAGTAACTGTCAAAATAGAGATCAAGGCTTGAAATAAACTCTTCATATTGTGAAAGATTTGAATCAACAATCTGGAAACAATGGCTATTAAAAGGAGATAAAACAGGACGATAGGAAAAATTGAATAATTATTGGACCACAATAACAATATTATTTCACCACTGTTTTCTAAAATAACATAATTGATACAATAACATAGTTTTTCACTTGGTCTGATTACCATATTTTACAACTTAATTCACTGTAACTATTGTAATAGTTGACAGCAGTAATCAGCTTTATTTTAATGGTGGAATTAACGTGTGATATATGGTTACCTTGATGCCGTATAGACCCACACACACAATAGTAGACAAAGAAATCACCTTACACTTTTCTTGATTGAGACAGAATGTGAAATCAATGATATGATTCAGTGAAAGAAAAGAGAATAATTGAACAATGTGGTTGAGGAGTAGCTAGTAGGATATTGATTTTAACATTGGATATTGAATCTATCTCATTAATAAATTAAAATGATAACCTGTCAATGTTCACCACCCAATCATAGAGCTTTATTCAATTAGATACCTGTACACATCACAGGTAATAAGCTTAGGTGACAAGTGGTGAGATTAGGACAGAGTTAGGTAGGAGAGGACAGTGGTTTGCCAAGACCATGTGACTGGAACGCTACCTGGCACTAGGAAATGAGAATTATTAAAGGTAAATTTATTATTGATAATCTAATCAGATGAGTTATGATGCAGGCAGTTCCTTCAAACAGTTCCTTTCATGATTTGAATAAATGATTTGTAAATTGTGCAGTTTTTAACAAACTGAATATTGTTTGTGATTTCCTGTGTACAGGTAAGTTTTGAGTAATGCTTCAAAATGTAGTTTTTATTTCATTTTTGTCATGGAAGATTTTGTGGTCATTTTTTGTTTGTTATGAAAAGTATTCTTTGACTAGCTTCAAGATAAAATTACATAATTTTCTTTAATTTTAATGTCTATTAATTAGACGTAGATATAACATTTAAGAGAATTCCATTAATATCGGGAGAATGAACTATGAAGATCAATGAAAATTTCCCCATTAAGAAAGAGATTATTCCATAAAATTCAACAGAACATTTAAATACTTAAATAGTATTACTAAGGTAAAATTAAACTATTATTTGATGGACCTTTACAAATAAATAAGGAAACTTATACATATTTTCATTTTTGAAAAACAATCAATACAAGTTTGTAGCAGTGAAACCAATTTGTATGAATGTTTTACATAAAGTATTTGAATGGTGCATGAACTTAAGGGTATTTAATAGTTTTAGGTAGTTCCGTGTTTTAAAAATTAGAAAATAAAATCAGATAGACTATTGTGGGCTAATTATGTAAAACAATTACAAAGAAACTGTTAAATTAGGCCATGACTCTCAAATGTACTTAAAAATGACTTTTTGTAGCACAAGCAATAAATTACCTAGAATCTATACCTGTATGTTATAGCTAACCTATATTCTTAAACTAAAGAGTATTTAATATTTTAAGGAAATTTCTTGTTGCAATCAGATAGACTAGTGTGAGCTAATTATATAAGCTTAAATTGTTCGTTCTATAAAGACCACAATTACAGCAGAACATTTTGTAGCTTTAAGATATCTGCCTGGCAAATAAAGGGAAATCAATAATCCTGATACTGATATTCTACTAAAATCAATGGTATTGTGTTGTTGATAATTCAAAGTTTAAGATTATTAATAATAGTGACAGTATTTGACAGATGGTGTTTCTTGTCCTCATCATACCTGTCAACAATACCTAACCTATTAAATATTGACGTCACATTATACCTGTCTCATTATTGACCAACTTTCTAGCGTTTCTTTTTTTTTCCAACCCTTTACTATTGATTTCTGTTATCTCTATTCTTTCTTTCTCTTTAATATTTAGTTTCTACTTGTCATTTCCTACCACAATATGCTTGGCCTTTATTCAATAATGACAACAAAGTTAAAGGGATATAATAAAAAATAACCTGATTGATTTTTATATTGAGAACAATGACAGGATACAATAGAGAATATTAAGTCAATTCCATTATCAAAAATCTTTGTTACCGGTACTACCAGAATTCTTTTCTGTCCTATGAAAAAATGAAGATAGAAAGAAATAAACAAGGATAAAAACTTTGGCTCACAAAGATCCTTTCTACCAACTTGTCCTTTTGGTTGATTTTTAGTCGCCAATAAAACATAAATAGTTCAGACCTGTTTACTTGTCCTGTAGTAAAATCTTTGTTTTCCTTGGTGGCTCAATTTGTGCAGATTTCAAGTTCGATCAACAACTGTAGATTATAAGTTTGGTTATCCCCCTGAAATAAGATATTTAAATATTTCAGATATATTGGTTTACAATTTCGAATTTTCTTTAGAAAGTAATCTTAGTAATCCAATTGTATTGTATTTTACAGGGCAGCGTCTATAGCAGCCAGTGCTGGTGGTCAAGATCCAAAACGACCAAGATTTACTATTTGGGCTGAATGGAATGATGCAGATGTTAACGCAGAGAAATGGGTGAGTGTTGATTATTTTGGTGATATTCTTGTTGTGCACATATGGTCTGATTTTTTACATAAACTTTTCAAAATAAATTGGGAACCTGTTATCTAATTTTTAAATTGATCTCTTTTTACAATAAATGTTGGAACAATTGATTTTTTTATGTAAAAATTGAGCCCAAAATGATAATATTCATGTAACTTGACACAATTGCATCCAAATTGATTATTCTGAAACCAGAATTTCACCTGCATTCGTTTGTGGAAATCAATCATTCCTTTGTTTTAATCATTCAAATATAAAAGTTGACAAAGAAATAAATCACGACCATGTAGGACTGTCTGAGTAACATGTAACTTGCTTATTGATGTTATCACATTGACGGTTAAATTTACAATTAATCAACTAATGGAAATACATTTATAAAAACGGCCAGATTTGGAATTTAATCAGACAAAATGGATATTAAATTAGCATCTAAAAGCAAAATAAAAAAATGTGAACAAATTTAAAGGTAATAATTGATGTTGTGTAAATTAGTGTAACGTACATGATAGTAGATTCTTTCATTATTGATTGACAATTACTAGTATTTTAATGAAATAATTTCCATGGAAACGCCAAGAGAAAATATAGTAGTCTGATATGAAAGAGAATAAATACCTTTAAAAACAGGAGAAAATTGATTTTTATCAGGTAAAACTGTCTTGATTAAATTTACTTATCTAGATCATATTTAACTTGTATATTGACTTCCACATGATATATATATATATATAAGTGAAACGTGCAAAATATGACTTTAATGCTTGAATGAAACATAATTCTTTAAGCACAATCAACTCTGACAATGACAAGTTGACAAAATCCATTCTTTATGTTAAAATCGATAGATCACTTTTAAAAATTTCTATTCAGTCAGACATTGGTACTATTGATTGTAAAATTGGAATAAATAATAATTAACAAAGTTCACTAAAAATCCGCCACAAATGTCATTAATGTGACTATGCCATATGAGAATTATGATTTAAGCTGCGTTTCCTTTAGTATGGATCCGGTGTCGTTCCGGCTGGGTGCAGACACGGCACACAGCAGGTTGTGTTTCCTTATATGCGGTTATTGGTACTGAAGGGGTCTCTTTTCGACATGGCAATGGTATTGTCAAGGTTCTTACAAGAAGAAAGAACAATGATAATGTTGGCTGCAATATACATACTAATTAAGAAAAGGAAAAAATGTAACAAGAGGAAACACAGATGGTGGGTGCACCCTATTTTGGAAAGTAGACAGGAACAAGGAGCATTCCATAACCGAAGAAAGAGCGAACTTTGGAATTCCCCTACCTATTTTTAGCTTTCTGCCGTGCAGGCTGCCCAAACTGTGTTTCCATATGTGCGTTTTAGGTCACGGCTCTGCATACGATTCTGGACCAATCACTACATGGTCCGGTTCGAAAAACCGTACCTGATGCAGCATACGGAAAAGTATCTGCACCCGTATATTAGGAAACACTTATTTTGATGAAAGTGATTTTTGCCGTATCTGCATCTGGACTGGATATATACTAAAGGAAATGCAGCTTTAATGTCACTAAAAATGTGTCATACTGCCAAGTTGTGTTCTTAAGTTTCTTGAAATCATGTATGATATTATTATTTAATAATGACATGTTAATCAGTGATAATCCTATATGACATGACATAGAGTCTGTGATGACAGTATTGTACTTGTTCTAATTAATATAGATTAATCTTACTGGATGTGACTACAGTAAAAATCAAGTGATTCCTTTAGTGATGTAGGCTGTTTTTAATGGTGTCCAACATTTATATGTGAACAAAATTTTGTGAAATTGTTGGTCTACAGTCTAGATAGTCCATTAGGAAAGATCAGATTTATAGTGATGATTTGCAAGAAGCAGTGCCGTTATTTCAATTTCATTACAATTCTCTAGATCATGGCCATTTTTTGTGAATGAAGCTCAATATTATCTCCAACTAACCTCCAGTGGAATAATGTTGAGTGTATTTACCAGTATTTTTGAGAACCTGACAAGTTTCATCTTTCAACCCACTTTACCATCATTAAATAGATTGGTATAATTAATTGATTAAGTAATTGAATACTGTAATGATGTGATGTACAACCATTATGTGGACTTTCTAATTTCTTGATGGCTCTTATTATAGGAAGTAGCACATAAAGGAAAAGATGATAAAAAAGGGAAATCACCTACAGTGGTAAGTTTGAAATGTTGGATTTTTGATAAAGCCAGCAATGTCTGAAGATTTCTACTGGTATTAGGTGAAAGTGCAATAGCTTTTAAAGAATACTTCATTTTTCATCAGATTTTCCATTTCTAAGTCTGAAATCAAAGAGTTTTGTTATTTTAAAAGAAATAGCTGCCAATGCCAATGTTTCCGAGGCATCTCAGAGACGACAGCTTATTAACAAATATTTTTAATTTTAGGCTCAGCATTTTTTCGATGATCCAGAAGGAAAGGTGGAAATGCCATCATCATTAAAAGTTGATCATTGGAAACGCCCATATGATTTTATTGTGGATAAGGTAAGAAATTTCATTCCAATAAAGTCTCTTTATAAACATCATACACTATGTGGATTGTCTGGGAGAGATACTGAGTTCAGAATCCAAACTGTAAAGTTGCATTAAGTGCTGTGAGCCATTGAGGGAAGATTCATAAACATTTTACTGAAAGATGAAATAAAATATATATCAGATATCAAAAGGTACCTGGAGGGCTCATAATGTTATTAATGTAGACTCTGTCATTGATAATGTTTGATAATTATTATATATCTGTCAACTAGAGTTGGTTATTATTTCAGGCACCAGTTATAGTAGCTGATGATCATACAACTTCATTTGATCTCATATCATCTAATGAACATCTTCATGATAGCGAGGTATGGATCATTATTTTCTTCACCAGCAAAGTGATTAATCTGTTTCACCTTCGAAAGAACAAGCATTAATGCAGCAATTCTAGGCTGGTGTTCAAAATCATATTTAACAGCTTAATGCCTAAATTTTCAGTATTTGAAATACATCTGAAAGTAAATGAAATCTTCATTGATGAAATGGAAGAAAGTTCAAGATTTTATTCGGTGAAATATTGATTCATCATCTTATATTTTTCCAATTTCAGTTGGTTAGATTTATCATCAGTCAAATAACAGCTTTATGGGAGATGAGTTTAGTGAAAACAGATCCAGAAATAATAGATCCTTCCCAACCTATTGATGAAGTTTTCCATTCGTGGAAACCATGGGAACATATTTATTCTTTATGTAAGGCTGGTAGAGGACCTCATTTACCACTGTATAATTCTCATGGCAAATATATAGTTCGGCTCTACTGGATGGTAGGTTTTATTTTAATTTCAAAATTTAGTCTGTTTTGAGAAGAGTTTTCCTCTTTGTACAAATTCATTATGATCCATCAAAGAAGACTGTACAAACAAAATGAAATGAAGTTTTACATCCAACTTTCTACACTAATGAAGAGTGTATGAAAAGATGATTTAAAACAGTTTTTTTTTTCATTACCTATAATGCCTAGACTTTTTCTTGTGTTTTTGGTCTTGTTTTATCTCAGTTTTATTTTAATTTAAGGGATGTTGGCGTAAAATTTATGTTGATGATTTACTTCCCTTTGATGAAAATGATCAACTTCTGCTACCAGCAACTATGTTACAACATGAATTATGGCCAATGTTGTTAACTAAAGCTTTAATCAAGGTGGCCTCACTAGAGTAAGTTGTTTTATTTTTAATTTCTAAAAGTCAAAGGTTGAAAGATATCTATCATTAATTAGTCTTATTTATAACACACATGTAAAAACTTACTGATCAATATACTTCCTTTATGAATGAAGATTAATTTTAATACATATATTATTGCTGTCAACCCTGTAAGAGACTATTATTATACTAATGTGGTATATATGGGTTGTATTTTAGTTAATAAAGACGCTGTCATCCTCTCTGTCAGCTGCCAGTGGTCATATTTTATCTTGCCTGGGAAACTAACTTTAACAACCATTATTGATCTATTTTTAGCTATACTGGTGGTAACAATTCTAGTGAATTTGGTGATTTTAACGTTATACAAACTTTAACAGGCTGGATACCAGAGACTATTCCACTTAAGTAAGTAAATACTTTATGCAATGTATTTATTGCCCCTCAATTTTTGTTGTCTTTTTTTGCACTAAAAAAAGATATGCTATGCTAAATATGTAAAGAATATCAATTTTCTCGGTTTCCACAAATTGTTGGATTTAGAAAAAGATGCAGTGTCATAAAGGGATTTTGAATTGTAATCAGGAAAGTCAATCCTTAGACACAAACTTCATCTAATAAATATTTTTTCAATTTTTTCATTATTTCATTTCATAGTTCACTCTTGTTACAATATCTTCAACAAACAAATGATCATACTATTCATAAACTCAAAACTGTTTCTGCTGCCAACATTCTGGAACGATTCTACATACTTTGTCACTCACTAGACACTGACAGACCAATACTTAAAAAAAGACAATTAAAACTCAAACGGTAACTTTCAAAATGTCAAAGTTTTATTGGCATGAAGTTCATAAGGTTGATTTTGTTTGTCCATGTCATGTGGTTCATTCATTTCATTTGGTTCATCCATATTTACTTGGTACATTTATTTATGTGGTTCATTTATTTTATTTGTTTCATTCATTTCATTATGGTTCATCAATTTCATTATGGTTCATCCATTTCAATTAATTCATTATGGTTCATCCATTTCATCATGGTTCATCCATTTCAATTAATTCATTATGGTTCATTCATTTCACATTTATTGAATTTTGAATATGGAATTTATATTGTTTCTTAATTTCATTCTTATTGTAGTAAAATATTTGTTTGTTGGAATTTTAAACTGATATTGTTATTGTGCAGAATGTATTACTGCTATTATACTACTTGGTTCATATTTATCACTTTAAACATTAATATCTTATACTTTCAGACCCAATCATATAAAAGAAGTGTGGAATTTATTACATGATAATTTACCTGATTGGAAACTGCCTGACTTAACACTTTCTGATCAACCAGCAGTAGAAACTGATGATGCCAGCAAGAAAGATACACAGAATCAATTGGTACGTTGATAACTTGTTTTCTTTGATAGAAATTGATACCAATAGTTTTATTATACATTAAACTTGGGGTATGGTTGTCACAAACTTTGCAACAAAAAGATATATTGTTATCTTAAAACAAAACTATCCAACTAAGTTCAACAGTTTGGCACAATGTTATTAAGATACACTTAAAATATACTCTAGTAATAACATACTGACTGTGATTTGTGGTTTGATCTGACTTCTGAAATGTTGATGTATGCTCACAACTGAATATTTAAATGCATTGGCTTCTTTTTTTATTATTGTGAATATATGAAATTAACTCTTCATCAACAAACCTTGTCCTGTTTTAGGAAACACCAAAAGATGAGAAAACTGATAAAGACACAGCAAAAGATGGTAAATCAGAAAAAACAGAAAAAGGTGGAAAGGAGAAGGGTAAAGAAGGGAAAGACAAAGGTTTTTATAGTTCCATTACACTATTTACTATGTTTCTTGTTATTTTACTATATCAATATTTGGTTGTTTATACCTGTGATGAGATTTAAGGGAGATAGATGAATTTTTTTTTATTTTCGTGGTTGTTTATACCTGTGATGAACTGCAGATGAAAAGGCTATACCAGTATTTCATTTTCATGGTTGGTTATGAAGCACTTTGAAGATGTTAAATATTAGATGCATGAACCATGATTTTATGATTGAGTGAATTGAAAGAATGTTGACCATTGCTTATTGCTTGATACCTTAAGACTTCATGTTGTTTGCTATTGAAATTGACACCATACCATACCAGTGACTATGGTCATTAGCTCAAGATGCAAAAATATGCAAAATGAGAAATTGTATATCTGAAAAGGTTGCCTTGACAGTGTGTTTAATATGCAATTTTCTACCCATTTGAATGTTTTCTAATTTTGAATATTTTCAGATAAAGGTAAGGATGGTAAAGAGGATAAAAAGAAAGATAAGGGTGATAAAGGTGATAAAGATAAGGATAAAAATAGTAAGTTAGAGTGACTTCCCCTTGTAGACTAGATTAACACGGTTTGTTGTCATCTTTTGCTAAGTTTAACCACTACATCATCACTCATATTTCACCTATATTGGTAGTTATAAATCATAATCGTAGCTAACTTATCAATTTTGTATCCATAATCAAGATTTATTTTTTCCTGAATCTCTTTTAAACTTGGTGTATAGATCACTGCATCATCACTCATCTTTCACCTGTATTGGTAGTTAAAATTGTTGTTTACCTACAAATTTGTTATCCTCAAATCATTTTTAACCAAGTCATTATTTCATCATTTTCTTGAATTTTTCTTGATATTGAAATGACTATTTAAACTAGGTTTATGGTGCACATTCACTACATGGTTTCTAATTGATGTTTTTGAACATCTTGGAGCCATACATGTTTCAATCAAACTTGGTCTTCATTTAATTATAATAAAATAACAATAAAGAAAATATATAAATCGCTGCATTTTCTTAACTTGGTCCTTTCAAAGATAGATTTAAACCAGTTACTGAAAACTTCACCTGAAATTGTTTGCACTTTTTAACTTCTCCATCTTTTAATGTCTGCCTTTATCATCCATTTTATTAACATTTATCCTGCTTTATTGAATCCTTATCTTTATAACCTCTCTAACCCAATCTTCCTGTATGTTTTCTATTTTCATATCCAGCTCTGACTCCTAATGTTGTATGGAAACAAATGTATCATACCACTTGTATAGTTTCTCAATTCTGGAGTGCGTAACTTCAATTACTAACATTTTAACACATTTATTTTAGATACAATGATAAAATATTTTCACTGTTAAAATAGAGCACACCAGTTATTACTAATTATTGAATATGCAATTTTGAGTAAACGTTCTCAGTGTTTGACAGTAAAATAATGAAAGCCGAATGATCTGGGACAGTTCTTCATGATATTATTCCCTTATAAAGTGAATATCTAGTATGTATAATAATGTAAGATCTATGTTCTCTTGACTTGGTAAACTTTTTGAATTTTTCACCAGACGTTCCCTCAGTCAGTACTTGTCCTAAATAATAGACTTGTTTATTTTAAAGGAGATAAACATGATGAAACACCATTACCAGAGAAACCAGAAATTGTCTTCTTTGCATCTTATACTAGTACACCTAAATATCCAGTCAAAGTTTCAGTTCTTGGTGAAATGGTTAGTATTTTTTGTTGTATCTGTCTATACACTTTAATATTGAAAGCTGGGGACTTGTCATCACACCACGTACTGTATAATTGTGAATGTAATGCACACCATTCTTACCCTCTATAAATCTACACAATTGATGGATTAATAGACATTTTAAATGTGTGGTAACTAAATTTATGTTGATTTACTATTTTCTGTTCTACAATTTGCCTATATATACATTTTACATTTGGTATAAACAATTTACTTTTTCTATTTGTAAACTGTCACTGTTTTACATTTTGCATTACATTTCATAAAGACTACATTTAGTATGTACAATTTACATATGATATCAATGTTTCAGGCTGATGTTAGTGAAAAGTTAAGGCAGACTGGATTGTCTCATATTTATCCTCATCCAGTCTGGATTACCCAGACACGTTCTTGTCCACTAGAACCACCACCTGTACCGGAGGTTATTCCTGCATGGAAATTAATCCGACCCAGAAAGAAGAAAGAAATACCTTCTGATGAGCCAAAAGGTATGTTGAAAGGCATCTTCAACATATTTTGGTAGACTAATGCAGAAATTCCCATCATTGCACACTGCATACCATTGTTAGTCTTAAATAACCCAATCAGTTGCAGATATCTTGGACGGAAAACTCCATTCATTTTATTTTCAATATATTTTGTTAGGAAGGAAAGATATATGCCATAGCTCTATATATTACATTATAGAAAGCAAAGGGATATTAGATAAAGCATTTCAATAAAAATTGTTTTTATTCCTTCTACCCATTGAAATAATCCAGTAGAAAGGTTTATCAAAATATTTGGAAGACATATTGGATCAATAAACCATGAATGAATTTATCTAATATGGTTTTCATGTGGCATTCATTCAAATTATTTGATTAAGATTAACCCTTTCAACCGTAGCGGCCGGTATACCGTCCAAACACTGATGCAGCATATACCCAACCAGCCGGTATACCGGCCGTTGCTAAGTGACGTCATACAACGTTAATGTCATACGCTTTTACTTTTATTACTTGGAGTTCAGGGTATATAACGTTGTATTTCATTTATACTCAGGGTTTAAAGGGTTAATGAATGATGTAGAAAGAACACTTTTTCAAAGACTTTTAATATCCTAGTAGACTTTTTATCTACTTATGTATTAGGAGTTTCTTTATGTTTGGGCTTTTTGTGTAGTTATTTGAATTGTCTTTAATTTTAGAAGCACCAGAGCCACCAAAACCTATCCAATGTTTAGAACTTACTTCACCATTTGTAAATTATAAAGTTAGTCCTGTACCTATACCCACAGAAACGTAAGAAAACATTGTTTTATATAATATATTTCCATTCAATCAGCTAGATCTGATCATGTTTCTTTCATTCAGAGGATTATTCCAATGATAAACAAAATAATCAAATGTTACGCATTTAATTGAAAAATGATATTGTACTATTCTGTTTGTAGAATTCAGAATTCATTGACATTTCAATATTCAATTTTAAATCCCCCTAATGCTTGCTAAGCTTCCCTTCTGAACATATGATATTTTTATTTCAGTCTTCGGCCAAAATCATCACTATCAAGAGGAGCTACCAGATCACGACCAGAGACAGCTGTGTCTGTCTCAATAGAAGAAATTGATGAAAATGCCCCTGATCCTGAAATACTGGCCATCGAGAAAAAAGATGAAGCTCTGTTATCACCCTGTCCAGTTGAAGAAGAAAAAGAGGTACGATTATTATTCCACAACAGATCTTGTGATCCTAGTTCTATTCAGACAACGATATTGATAAATATTCATGAGCATTTCCAAGGAGCACTCTGTAATGCTTCAGGGATACAAACACCAATATATCCAGTTGATATCAAATATTAACATTTCGCCATTGCAGGTCTGAAAAGTTGACATGGAAAAGATGTCTTCTTTACATGGTAGTGTTTACACTTTAAGATCACTTGATTGTTGTAAGTAGTATGATGAATATTAACATGATAAAATATGTGTATTTTTTGTAGATTGAAATCAAGATTGAAAAAGCTGGAAGTCCAGTAGCTACAAAAGAAAAGAAAGGCAAAGCATCAGCTAAAAAAGAAGGAGGAAAAGAGGTATATGTTTTCTGATGCTTTTTCTCTTACCACTATCTTAAGCCAAAGTTATTAAAATCTTTCTTTAACTAATCATTTTTATTTATTTTTACTAGAATGATGGGAAAAGGTGACATACCCGAGGTCCTCAGACATATTCTACTTGACTGAATCATTTGGGAAAATTACTTTTCAAGGTCTTCAGACATCTACTTGCTTTGGTTACTATTTCTTTAAATATGGTTTTATGTATTTTAGTCTCCTAAACCAGATCGTAAAACCAGCAGAAGTTCTATTGGATCACCAGTGAAGGCTGAAAGAACTAAGAGTGCTGCACCTAGATCTGACTCCAGACAATCAAAACGAGATGTTCCTCTTGATGATTCAAAGAGTAAAGAAAGTAAAGAGAAGCTTAAATCTGGTAAGAAATGGAAATTAGACTAAGTCTTAGTTATAAATATAATTATTAAGAATGTTTGAATAATCTGCAGTGTATAAAATGAGGCAAGATGCTTGTTTGACCGATTTAATAAGGCTACTGTGATGATATAAACACATATTTCCCTAGAGAAAACAGGGGCAGTATCTAGTGAAGGTGGTTTATCTGGTGTCGAAGCTACCAGTAGTTTAACCAATATGGATACAGAAGACGTCACACCTACAGAAGGGGAGACAAACCAAGTAGAAACACATGATGATTCTCGGAAACCAAAGAAAATCTGGGTTGATTATGAACAGTTCTGTAAATGTTTCAAGTAAGTCATTCTGCTGTTATTTTTAACCTAATAGATTGTTATTAACTTGATGTGAACTATCTGAAATTCTTAGATTGACACTCTCCTTAAAAAATGATCTTGTTACTTGTTACTGAAACTTAAAAAGAAAATTCTCACTTGGTCAATTTATCTAACTAGGCATGTAATTGATACTAGCCTTGACAGTAATTATTAGTAATTAGTAATTTAAAGGAATTTTTGTAATTTTTCAGAACATTGTATGTTTACCATAAAACTAACACTTACCCTAAAAACTACCAATATTCTGATCTGAAGGTATGTTGTTTATTATTTTCAGTGTGGTTTCTCTTTATTATTAAACTGAATTAAGTTTATATTCTTTAAAACAGTACTGCTGAAGTCTTTACACTGGTGATAGAACTGTATTTCAACTGATTTTAGATAAATAAGAAATTTCTAAGCAAGAATTTTTGTGTGCAAAGAATGTCATTTCTACTTTTTTTGTTTTTATTTTATAGTCAGATGCAAGCAAGGTTGGCATTTTAATATTTATATCTTGTTATTTAATGTTTGCTGTGAACCATTGTCTAATATGTTTGATTTAAAAATTTACATTAAAATATTTAGTTTCATTTATTTACTGTGAGCTACCTTACTCATTCTTGAATCTTTGACCATTCTGCCAAAGTTGTGTTCATTAATGTAACCAATCAGTGTCGATTTGTAGGATGATTTCAATTGTACTTTTGACTTGTACTGTTAAACCACTTCTAACTAGAGGTTTAATAAGTATGCCTAAATTATTAAAGTTGAACTTGATTTAAGAAATCAGATTTAGAATGATAGAATGAGGAAAGGAAACCACAGAAAATTTATTAAACAAAATATCAAAGTGATGAGTGAGTTATGTCCCTTGTTTTGAATGTTTAATATCTTGTGATTAACAGCGTGACATTAACATTAATTAAACTATTTTATTTAGGGAGTGTCAACAGGAAGTTCATCTGCTAATAAATCAGAGAAGAAATCAACAGCTCCACCGGTCAGTAGTACACCAGGAGGCAAGGACAAATCTCCTGATCTTAAATCTAGTCAATCCAATATTAAAGATCGCTCTTCATCTTCTACACAAAGAGATAAAATAAAACCAGATAAACTTCAGACCACACCCCGTGTACCTTCCCCCATTTCTTCCCAAGTCGTGAGTAAAGTAAAAACAAAAAAACCTGATAGAGTAGATTAGAAACTTTCATTTTTATTTTCTTTCATCAAAAAGTATAGCTTCCTTACAATACCAAAGATAAGTATAGTATACTTTTTAAAGTGTTAGCTATCAAATTATGATAGATTTACTATTAAGAATTGATAGTTTAAATAGATTACGAAAGTAAACTAATCAAATTAACTATAGTTAATTATAATAACAATAATAAGTTTTTAACTTATACAGAAATATACATCAACATACAACACAAATGATATCAAACTAAATTAAAAATCATTATAAGCTATGTAGTTTCTTTCTGTCTGGTCGCAAATTAAGATTTTCATGTATTTTTCATGATTTATTGCACTAAAGATTCACATTCCTCATTTTTAAAACTTTAAGCTTGATGCTTTTTATGCACTCACATTCTAATATGCCTTGATATACTGAAAATTTATATGGTATGTGGTATATCTTGCGTAGCAACCTCTTGTTCTTTATGACAACTCTCTTGGTTATTTACTGCAGGATATTTGAAAACCCATGTGAGACTGTCTGTATTACTAGCGCCCTGCATTTAATATAACATTTCCTATCTAAAGATTTAATACCAATATTTTTTTAAGATTTACAACTAATATTTTTTTGCAAATTATAATGAAAATTCGAATAATAAAGTTTTATTAGATCTAATTCATTGTCTATGTTTAACAATTTATAGTTAACTCATGATAATATTTACTCTCTAATGCAATGATTTGTAGATACGTCATTATTAATGAATATGGCACCTGAACCAATCATATTAAACTTTGAACAAATATCCTATTGTGTATTATATGTGTAATCTCAAACAATAGATGATCACAATAGTTTATGGAAATTTTATAATACTCAATTGTCTATTAGGCCATACAAAATAAATAGTCTGTCTGTTTTATAGGACCTTTTTTTTCAAAAATCAGTGCGAGAGGCCGAATTTATTTTTTGATATTAAAGCTCTTTTTTAGATTTTCAACTGTAATAAATCAGAGCGAGAGAAAGCATATATTATATATTACCACAAATTTAATGTACATTTGATATCAAGGCAACAATCAGGCATTTTTGGGCCTGTAAAACAGACTATTTATTTTGTATGGCCTTACATGTATAAGCTTACTTTGATATCTTGCTAATGTCCTTATATGTAATTATTGTATTGTTTTATGTTTCAGACACCTACACCAGATGATAAATCACCATATTATATGTGTATCCTTTGTACTTCATTATATCAATTTTCAGTTCATAGAAACTAGTAGGATGAACCTGAAAAATTTACCTCATTGCAAAGAATTTTTGTGATTTCGGTGAATAACTATGGAAATGCAATCAAATTATCAATCCTGATTATTATTTACTATCCTTAACTCTGTTATTAGTTGTTGATAATCTGCAGCCAACTGAAGTTGTAATATCATTCTCTGTAATACCACGCTGGTTTGACCCCCCTCCTCCACCCCCTGAGGAAAAACGCTCCCATACCAGTGTTAAGACTGCTAAAGATAAAGAGTTAGAAAAAGAACCTACAGCAATGACTAGTAGCAGTGTTTTGGATGGTATGTAAGACATCTTTAATTGTTAATAGTAGTATATCCAGTAGTAATACGTCTTTTGGCTCTTTGATTTCCAGCTAACACAATGTCAAGCTATTACCAACTTATGTATTATATCACAGAATGCATTGATTTGATTGGATTGTACACCAGAGAATACACCCAATCAGAATCCTAGACAGAGAGACTGTAAACATATGGCTCATTATTTACAAACACTTGTCAAGGGCTCTGATTAACTGTATTCGCTATTGTAAAATCCAACTGAGGATGATTTTAAGATGTTTTGGTGTCCCTGAATATGTAAATATTGTATTCAATTAAAATTCAATTCAAATTTTTCAAGGAGGATCAGTTTGTCATGAGAAGTCGGCACCACCAGTTTTAACACCAGGCTCCCTGATAGCAGAACCTTATTCCTGGAAGAGTCTAGTTACAGGACAACCTATCATGAGATTAAGAACTACTGCAACAAAAGCGGCTGTTTTAAGTTTACCAGCAGGGTAGGCATAATATCTAGTTTTATCATTTAGATCTTATATCTTTTGGAAATCACTTTGTTGGAGGAGCCATGTTGGTCTCTACCCTAAGATAGCCCATGATTTGGTCTGGTAAAGGTTTTAATAGTTTCTTATCACTTGATTCTCCCATGGCATTGATGCAGTTTTTAGGAACTTATAGTGCTAATTTTTTAGGATCGTGGAACAGCAGGATGTAAAATTTCCAATTCTTTTGATTTGTGTCAAAGAAATTGTTTAAAAGTGTTGCAGATGTTTGTATTTATTATATATAGAAAATAATGAATATATTATGTTTGTTACGTTTGCAGTCGCCATGTTTTAAGATTTATGATGACAGCACCATTAGGATATCATGTACATCTTTGTTCTTCTGTTAACTTTGTTTTTGGTGATGAAGAAAATGTCATGGCTCAGTTAACTAATGTAAGTTATAATTCTTGATCGAATCATTTTAAATTCTCATGTTTATGATACTTCCATTAATCTTGGCCTGGGAGCCACGATGGCTTAGTGAGTTAGACGCTTGCTCATTAACCTGAATGTCCAGAGTTCAATCAAAAAAACAAGAGTAGGCTAATTTCCCGCATTGAATGGTGTTGACTGTCAGATGCCCAGAAAAGTCAGCGGTTTTTAATCTTGGCATGCTGAAACATTCCAAGATCACTCATAGCACACTGCATGGTGTTGTCCTGTAAGTAGCAGATAAGTAGGATGTTAAATTCCATTTTCTATCTATTTCCAGGAAAGTTGTAGATTTCGAGATACTGCCTATCAAGTTATTAATAATTTAGGAAAGTGTGTGCAGTCCTTCAATGATCAGTCTAAATTCAATGATTGTTGGGAGAAGTTTGTCCAGAGTCATTGTCCTTATCAAAATGAGAAGAATATTTCAAAGCAGCATCATTTTGAGGTAAATATATTTCATATCTATATGGTGGTGTAGACAATAATACCATAATACCATATATTTACCTTATATAAAATATATTTGCATTTCTTTTTCTTCCGGCAGAATCTATAAATGTCCGTGTAGAAAAGACCATTGCTCTAAGTTTAAGGCAAAGACTAATGTTAATATCATTATATAAATAGAAATATGTCTTTCTTTTGATATGCAGGTATTTAATGAAGCATTCTATGCCATGTTGAAGAGGAGTTTAAAAGAAATCGCGACACCAGAAATGGCTTTTGCTTGGAGAGCGTTTAATTTTGATTGTACAACTAACAATATACTAGGATTATCTGTAGGAAGCAGACCAGGTATGTGTTTTAGATCTACTTAACTTAAAGAAAACAGAGCTTGACTCTTACCTTCAAGTTGGCATACTCGGACACTGATATCCAATAGACTATGACTGGCAAATCAGATACAGTGGCAGCTGCTTAATATTATTGGTATTTTTAAATGTTGATCTCCCATATCAGGATTTCACCTTGGTTATGTTCAGCCAGAAGCGAAATTTAACCTCCATTTCTGTCTTTATAATGGATTTTATATCTTAGGCATATTTAATGGAAAACAATGAGCTTTAATTTCGTTAGTAAAAGCAAAGTGGATGAGACAATGTCATTCACCTGATTTTCAAAATCTCCAAATATTTCAGCAACAGGAACCTCAACAGGGCATAGAGGTTCAGCTAAACCGGGCAAAAAACGTAAGTCATTCTGTAGCAGCACTAGTCTACTAATAGAGATGTAGTCTTTTATAACAATGCATACAGTACTATCTTGTAGACTCTTTGTGTCTTTCTATTAATCTTTCCTATCTTTGATTTTTACCCTGAATCTTATAACAACCAACTATAAAAAAAAAAACTCTATTTGATTCAATCACTACCAAGTTTGTTTCTCTCAAATTGCATGAAATTTCTTAAGCTGAGAATTAAATTAAAATTTCTGATGTAAATATATAGCATGTTGTGTTGTGGTAATATATTAACAAAACAATCTAATAAATTTGTTTGTAAATCAACTCCAATCAAGTCAAATCAATTAATATTAATCTAATCAAAATATAAATTACAGTGATTAAAAAAGATCTACATTTAACTTAAGTTTATACAAAATGACATGTTTTAAATGGTAGAATTATTATCTGATTATTGTATAATATTATGCTACAATGGTGACAGTTAACTTATATTTAAATTTCTTTTCTTTACTGCTTTCTTGGGTTTTATAGAAGCTGTTCAACCAGAGGGTAGGTTTATTATAATAGTAGATGTTGTATACAGTATAATTCTGAATATAAACCGCGCATAATACACGCCACCGTTTAAGTTTTTTTTTTCTGAAGTTTTTATGCCCAAGCCCATGGCAAGATTTTTTATTTATTTCTTTTCTGCTTATTCTTCCTTTCTTTTTATTCCCTTTGATTTTATCTGATGATTATTTTAGTGTAAAAATATACAATACAATATTCTAGTTATTTCTTTTTATCTATTTTAGGAGATTTAGAAAAATCAGAAAATATATGGACAAATAGGTAATATTATTTATTAACTTGTTTGTTATTTAAATTTTAAGGAATTTATTTCAACAGTGACCAAGTGGACCAGAATCTTTTCTTAAACACACTAAAATGCCCCAAGTTGCATCTGTGACTTTCTTTGCCATCAATGATTCACATGATTCACATGATTCTTGGTCAGAAGGGATGAGTAACAGAGTAACAGTGTTACAAAACTCAGCTATTCCATCATTGATCATTCTTAAACATGGATTCAATAGTTGATATATATTATTTGAATTTTAGGGAAGCCACAACAGATGAACAAGTAGCAACAGTCAAGATGCAGAAGGTTTGGAGAGCTCACTGGGTTAGAAAATTAGCTGAGGCCAGACGTACAGGTTAGTTTTATCTCAGTAGTAAATGACCAAAATTTTATTAAGGAAAAGTGGCATCGGCAACAAAGTTACTCAGTCTAGAATTGGCAGTTATATTGTTTTTTGAAAGCAAAGCCCAATCAAAGAAAGAAAAATCATTAAGCACCAGCCATTACTTTTTATTCTGATCTCAAATTAGTAAACCATACAAAATAATTCCAGAATATAAATTTTACATTACATTTATTTGTGTTTTCATTGTACAGGTACAGAAGAGAATGCTAAAGCTTATGAACAACTTCAGAAATCATGGTCTGTTATTGAACAAAATATGGAAGAAAATGGTCTCTTTTTATTTAGGTATGTGTATTTTTTTATATTCTAAAAGCTTATGCTTAATGTACATTGTGATACACATGCTGGTGCTTTTCAATTAATGAACATAAAGTTATTTTGTGCCAAATGTATTTAAAAGAAAGTAAAGAATAACAACTAAGGTTCACTGTTAAGGATCCTTTCTACAAGCTGATCCTTGGCCAAACCTCTTGGCATTGATCTTTCCCAGATTATCTGTTCCCATTTACAGCTGAGTCAACTGGAATTATGAGTGAAGATGACTTATTCAAGGTTATCAGACTATCACACATCGATCGAGAATTGAACAAAAATGAAAAATTGAAGACTCAAATTGGCTCATTGTTAACAAAATTTCAAATGGCTAAAAACAGAACTAAGGATGAGTAGTTGTAGTCTGATTGGAGTGGCAAATAAACCTATATTGATAAACCTATGGTATTGGATTAAAATATTAAATAGCTTCATAGAATAGCATATAATTGATAATTTTGTAGAGAATTATTTAAAAGAGATAGTGACCTAATGAAGAAATATTCATTCCATCAAGATGAATGGAATAAAATATCATATAGTGACTATAAAGGTATATATCCTGACCAACCACCAAATAACTGGTTCCTTGTCTTCAGGTAAGTCTTGTTTAATATTATATCTGGTACTCTTTAATAAAGTGAATAAGAGGACTTAAAACTCTTGCTTCTTTGAATGTCTGAATGGATCTTTGGTATAGGGCTGAAGCTACAACAAAACTCATATGTTTAGTAATAAGCTTATTGTCTAATTTAGATCTCTATAGCTTGAATATTTTATTACTCTCTGATAAAACTCATTTTCAGCTGTCAGTAGCACTCTCAGAATTGAAATCAGGCATCTGGTGTTCCTGCAATTCAAGAAAAACATATTTTGGACGGGCACAGGCCATCACAATACAGATATATCAAATTCTATTAAAAACATCTGATATCCAGATCATATCTATATCTAAACCTTCCTTTTAATATTATACAGGAAAATCATTAGTTATTAATTATATGAATTATTATTTGTAGAGAGATATTCTATGTTAAAGAAGAAATGTTAGCAGTACCTAAACTCTATGTACCTATTAATACTTGTCTATTACGTGTTATAAACAATGATACAGGTGAAGAGTTACCAAAAGTCTTCCAGAAGGTGGCACCATATGTCTACAAGAAGAATAAGGTATGATCTATATTAAATGAATTGTGTTTAAATTCTATACTGCTTATGTTAATAATCAATCACTTACTTATGAGTTACAATAGAAGTTCTGAAACATTAGGTGAGGTGCGCCGTACAGGGACACACAATTTTCAAAGGGTGGGCACAGCCAATTCTTTCACTATGTCAAATGATAAAAATTTGTGGGGGCCAAAGCACCTGTGACAAGTGGTAAAGATCTTTGGATGGAGCTTTTTGCTCCGTAAATATTACTCACCTGTTACAAATTGACTAGTCTAGGCTAATACAGCTTTCCTATAAAATCTCTATTAATGAACACTGTCTTATTAAATCAATCTTGAGCAGTAAGGTAGAACTCTATTTCTATTTGTAGAAAGGGTATACTATGGTAGCTGAAGCTAGGACCACAGACCAGTCTATTATGAGTGGTTCCTGGAGAATGAGATTAATAGGATCATTAAGTCCTCTACCAGCACCCCGTGGTACCGATGTTAACTGTAGTTTCAGTGTCAAAGAAATCAGAGATTATTATATTCCTAATTCAAAACACATCATTTTGAGGTTTGTAATTTCTCTATTTAAGATTGACCGTATATAAGACACACACCATGCTATTAGATTTTCAAGGAATTCAATCTGGGAATTTATTTATTATTTTTAGGCCACCAAATAGCTGTTAACTGAAATCCTAAAACAGAAAATTTTAGAGTTGGAGCATGAAAAAAATCAAATGTTATTTTGAAGCTCAACCAGCTGAAAAATATAGGCTTAATTACTGAAATTCCTTTAATTCTGAAATAAAATGATAGTGCTTTAAGCTTGTATTATTTAGAGCTGTAATTTCTATTGATTTATTTTTGTTTCTGTTTGTTATATGTAGATACACAGTGAAAGTAACAGAGGAACACCTAGCAAGTCTACAATTAAATACATCTAAAACTGATGTATATATTAAATTGATGGTATTAGATCACGAGGAAGAAGTGGCCAGTATGACAGGAAAGGGCCATGTTGTTATACCAGCGTTTATCTTCCAAAAGGACCATTCCAGTGGACAATCAGCAGCATCTAGTGCTCCACCACCTCTAGCTGATGAAGATACCAAGAGAGCTGGATCTAGAGCTTGTAAGACAGTTTTTTTAAATAAATTGATCAAGCACTGAACAATAGTGATAATATTTGACTTCTGTCATTATCTCAATTTTGAAACTGAGCGTCACAAATTAAAATATATCTAATCAAGTCTAACTGCTCCATTGTGGCTCTTTTATAGACCCATTGTAATAGAAATCTTATTTTTAAAGATATGATGATTATGCTGAAAACAACAGACAAAATTTTGTGTCACATCATGAAAGACTGCACTAATAAGATTGATTGTAAGAGTTTTTTTTCTGTCTTATTGTTACATTTTAATAAGGCATGAACTCAAGTTATCAATTTTTAAAGATCATATTATTGAGATATTATCATCTTTACAGCTAATAAAGGAATGAAAGGTAGTAGTCAACAGTTGAATAAATCCAAGAGAAGTTCATCAGCTAAAAGTCGAGAAGAACAACCTAAAGATGGCCGTAATTCTGTCAGTAGTCAACATTCGGACAGTGGTGATACTGAACTGGAAGAAAAGGATTTAAGGGTGAGTGATGATCCTCAAAATGAAGAAATTGAAGATGTATAGATATTTAAGATCCAGTTCAAATCAAATTAACACTGTTATAGTTTATACATTAGAAAGAGTGTTCACAGTTTCTTTGTTTTTAATGAAGTTTGTATAGCATTGTCCTCCTTTGAGTTAAATTATCATCTATTATACATTTAATTATTTTAGCCACATAAATACACTATTCAAGCTGTAGTATTACATCATAGTTGGCCATTGTCTGAAAGCAGCTGGCAGTTTGTGAATATGATGAAAGAATTAGAGAAGAATGAACTGAAAGGTAATACTCTGATTATAGAATTCAGTTGATATATTTATCTCTGTAAACAGATTTTTTGGTAGAGCCACCATTATTTGCATGAAAAAAGGTTCAAATTGAGAATGGAAAATACTAATACTTTATCAAATATGTTTGAATCTTCTGCCCAAAAAATATTTGTTTTTATCTTTTGAGATGGATTTTGTTTTACTAGAAACAGTCTGGAGTAAATGGCCCAACTTAAAGGCTTTATAAATGTAGGACATGCTTGAATTTTGTTGAAAATTCATAATAGGTTTTTAATAGTTTTAAAAGCTTTCATCGACTTTTCTACTGTGCGTGCAGATAGCTTTTGACGAGCACTCATTAAACATGATGAAGTTACGAGGAAACATGGCAGTCTTATTATTTATGAAGTAATTAATTCTGGATAATGTGTATATTCTAAGCTTGTTAAAGTAATTATGTGTATATATGACAATAGATTATATTATATAAAGGTATTATACTGTTTGATAATGTATGAAACTGTTATAACCTGTAAGCTATGAGGCCTAACAATGGTAATTTGGATGAATGATTATTGTAATAATTTGATTAAATCATTCTTATGAGTATTCATTGACTTCTAAAGAAGACTGTCAATGTCAGTTTCCTTTTTTTGGTAGCAAAAAGATATAGATTAGGACCTAATAGAAGAATACGTTTAAAAATAAGTTTTTTAATTTTGGTCAAATACAGAGTCGAAATTAGAGAATGAAACATATTTTTATATAGGCCCAGCAAGAAAAAAAAATCATATTCCATTCAATGATAGTCCAAAAAAAATAATTTGTAAAGCTCTGTTTCATTTTAGTGGCATTTAAGGAGAGAGCACCATCACCACCATCTAAAACGGAGAAAGCAGCTCCATCATCTAAAGGCAAACAGAAAGGGAAGGGAGAGAAGAGTAGTAAAGATAAAGAAACTAAGACATCTCGACCACCTTCTCAACAATTTGATTTTACCAAACCATTCTGGACTTTACGTATTGTCAGTGATGAAAAATCAGCAGTAAGTATTGTGAATATTTCCAGTTCACACAACTTAATTCATTCTTTAAATAGTATTTAGTTGTTGTGAGCATGATATATAGACACAGTTTTATGGAAGAACTTTACCCAGTACTCAATTCATATTTCCATCATTAAATACTTGCTATTTGTTATAAATGTATAAAACCTTGATCCTGAACATACATGTTAGAAAAATTACATGTATCATATCCTTCTTACCTTTAGCCTTCTACAACCTGTTAAGTGTATGGTTTTAATTTGATGTAATGTGGTATCCTTTATCAATAACTTTTGATCAGAATTCTGTGACAGAAAACATGGCCTTAAACTTTCTGAGGATTAACCCTTTACATTGAATGTGAATTCAGATAAAACGTTATTGACCCTAAACTCCATGTACTCGTAATATGACTTAGAGCGGATGACATTGACATCATGTGACATCACCCGGCAACGGTTGCTCAATGGCAAGAGTTAACTGACTTTGTTCAAATGTCTATTAACAGGAAGAAATAGAAGTAAAGAGAGATACAGAAAGAGCTGATGAAATCAGGGCTATGAAGAAAGCTTGGGAAGATGCTGAACCAGGCCGTGCTGCTAAGGTATGACTGATAATTATGTATAACTTAAAACCACGCTTTAGTACCGTTACTTCAGAGGACTATTTAAGATGCATTAATAATTGGGTTTCAGCAGCACCCATGAGTAATAGTTCATCATTAATGCTCTAAACCCTATATGGTACTTACTAGTCTAGTTTTCAAGAGCTGTCTTTGCATAAATAAACCCAATCTGCTTCATCAAAAGTTCATCTAAGAGCTTATTTAGAAATACATAATATTTGAAAAGTAATTGTCTACCCCCACGAGAGGCAAACTATTTCGCAAACTATTTTGACGGGTCATTTATCTATTACAGGCTTTACAATCAAGATTAAAATATCTCAATTCCCACATGATCAAAGTTGAACATGGTCATGGTGATGGTGATGTTGCTGCTGATGAAGTCACAGAAGGAGGTGCACCAACTCCTAAAGAAGCTGAACGATTAACTCCTGTACCATATTTAGATCAAGCTGATGATACAATATTAACATTAGAACCCCCACCCCCTCCTCAACCTACTGAGATACTTCAACCAATAGATCTTACACCATTTATAAAGTATGCTTACTTCTTACATATTCTTACAATTCAGAACTAAATTCTGAACATTAATCATTTATATGCACTGTGTACTTACGTACCAATCATCAGACAGCTCTCTGTAAATGCATTCGACTTGGGTCTATATGGCTACTTGATGAAGCATTTTGGGTGGACTTTGATATAATGAGGATTGGTAACTAAGGCATGTCTTTCTCACCTTTGTAGATCTCTTGATGTTGCAGTGCAATTTAGTATATACTTTGAAGGGTCCACAAAGTTAAGATAGTTATTCTAATTATTAGTCAGATGATAACTATTTTTGTATAATAGTCAATGTGTGATGTAATCTAACATTATGTTTCTTTATAGAAAAACATTGGAGAAACCGAAGTTTTTAGATGAAGAAGAGATGCAGAGAAGAATGGAAGCTAGACAGAAAGAAATACAGGAATATAAAGCTGCTAGAGAAAGAGTTGAACAATGGAGAGAACAGGATAAAATTAACAGAAATCAAACTAAAATAAGACAATTAGAAGAATGTGAAGAATTACAGGTAATGAGTAGAAATTTGGAAAGCTACCGTATAATTGTGAATATAGTGCGCACGCTTGTATAATGCGCACCCCTCTTTTTCCTGGAGTAATTCTGGAAAAATCTTTGTCACTGTACATAATCTGCGAAATATATACACAAATATACGGTAATTAATGAGTTGACACTGTACTGGCTATTGATATGGGTGATCTAATAAAAAGGTCAAGAGCAGGATCTAGGATAGCAAGTTGTTACCTAGGTTTAATTCACATGTTCTTTTTTGTTGTCATTTTCCTCTTGTAAGATATGCATTTAAGAGTTTTTTTCAGGGTTCTGGAAGTTTAGCCATATAAATGATGCACTGATATTTTTTTTATGAGGATATGATACTCAATTATTAATTTTTTCTTTAGTAAGCTTATATCAAATATCAAACAATATTAGTTATGTGGACTCTGAAAGGGCTCTGTTAATACAGACTCAGTATGAACTCTCCAAAAAGAGAGTGAAATTCCTTGTGGAAAGTAGCATCAAGAGTAACTGTTTTTACCTTATACTTTTGAATAGTATTTTAAGTGGAGCCCCAAGAAATTATTTGTTTTCTTTCTCTTACTGTAGGCGTTAACTGATACTAACAGAAAAAATTATAATAATTTACTGAAAAAATATCGTAAGAAACACCTTCACCTTGCCTCCATTATAAAAGAGTTTATTTCTGATAGTGATTCATGTCATTCTATCCATGATTCCGAATTAGCTTTTATATAATAGTTCCACCATTATCTCACCCTGTATGTCCTTATTTGTTGTTAAGTAGTTCAATTAGATAATAAGTTAGCTAGATAGTAATGAGTCACTCAGTAAGTCACTGTTAAGTCTGTGGGTCACTGATATTTCTGTTAAGTTTGTGAGTCACTGTGAACTCTGAGTCACTGATATTTCTGTTAAGTCTCTGTTTCTATTAAGATCGTGAATTGTTGTTAAGTCTGTGAATCACTGATATTTCTTTTAAGTTTGTGTGTCACTAAAAATTTTTGTTAAGTCTTTGTCTTTCTATTGAGATCAAGAGTCACTGTTAAGTCTGTGAGTCACGGTTAGTTTGTGGATCACTTTAAATATTCAATTTTCCAGTCTTTGAATAGGACACTAAAGAGAATCTCAAACTATAATTCCCACTTCAATCAGCATAGAATACCTTATAATATGAATTAAAACCTCATACATTATTTTAGTAGAATATTCCAGTCAATTATCTCACCTTGCCCCTTTAGTTCAATGTTTTTATCCTTCCCTTTATTATTTTTTTCTCAAGGCGGCATTAGATGCTGCAAGGAATGCAGTGAATAAACCAAGAGAGGCCTTTAGACAGAAATATTTAGAAGCTGAGAGGAAAAGATTGGAGGAGCTAGCTGCCCAGGAATTGAGTATGAAGACAGAATTAGAAGCTAAATCTCCTAAAGGAAGAAAAAGTGCTAAAGGGCAAAAGAGTGCCGGTAAAAAGAAGAAATAAGTAAAATGTGTATAAAAATAGAATTGTCTATATTTTTAGGTTTTTATTGTAAATATTAGGTATGTCAGGAATCTTCTTCATAATTCCTGTCATTATTTATTTTAAATAATATACAATTCCAACTGTGATATTTTTCATGTTCAGGATGACATAATAATTATTATTGAAAGTCAGTGCACCTGGTTAACCACTACAGTACAATATTACTGATTAGATAATGGGCAAATTAGGTAGTTTATTTTGGTTGGTGTTAGTTTGAAGAGTAGAATATGTGTTGTCAACTTGAAAAGTTCGTCCAAGTTAAATGTTGTCAAGTGTCTTCAGATGTCCTGTTTCAATTTAAAAAGAAACAGCCCTTAGCCCATGGCTCCGTCCCTATGGTTATTTATCTTAAATTCACGAAATTCCGTCCCTAATACAAAAGATGTTAATAACGTCATTTGATTGGCCCTATTTTTGTCCGTCCTATGTGATTAAGAAAAGTATGTTTAAAACTAATTGATGTTGTGATTTTTGATGTTAGATAAGAAATATGCACTTGGTTATTAGTGCTGTAACAATTTTTCCGAATGAAGCATATAAAAAAAAAACTAGTGATTTAGATAAACAATTATAGCGTATCTGGGCCTATCAAAGTTAAAGTGTTCTTATTTTTTCACATTCCTTCACTGCAAGGCCTTTATTCTTTATTCTTCAACTTTAAAACTTGTGAACTGTGAAGCTGTACCTTTCAGTGCTCTACTTATATTTCGTCCAAGAGTATATGCATTATATTTTCCTGTTGTCATTCAATTATAGAAGCCTATTTTTTGTAAGCTAGTATGTTTTCATATATGCATTGGAATATAAATAAAAAATGTTTCTCTTTGACAATAGTTGCTCTATATAATGTTGATCAGTTTAATTCACTAAGCAGTGATGTTATAATTATGTCTACCTATTGTTGCAGATAGCCAACACAAATAATTATTATGTCACAGGTTTGGCTGAAAGCGGTATATACTTATCTCTTCCAAAACCAGCGAAATGTAAATGATTTGATCCGGATTTTTTTAGAAATTGTGTACGGCGAAAAAAACGGGGCGAAATCTGATTGTTGAATTCTGTTAGCTCTAGGTTCATAACACCAACACTTACATTTCCTTTTCAATAAACGGTTTCTGATATTGAATGGTTTTGAAATGTAGAAACAGTTTATTGTTTTAACTTTCTACCTTAGTTTCGGCTTCAGACAGATAGATGTGTCAGCTATTTCAGATGAATGTGGTCAGAAGAGAAAGGAATCACCATTACTATTTCATTTTTATGTGGCACCAGAGATTAAAATCATAAACTCTGTGATTAATTTGAAACAAAAAACCATTGCTGCGAAGTGTTGTTAGTATAGTGTAGCAAAACGTGTGCTATATATATAACAGTATTTTAATCTGTAAATATATGTATCTCTGATATATCACAGTTAAATGATATTCAGACTACTGATTACTCAAAATATACAGTATAGGTCTGTTGACAATAACAAGATGATACTTTAGTTGATAAACTCTAACATTTGATAAATTTGATAAAAATAAAATAAAGGGATTTTTGATAAAAAAAAAAAAAAAAAACCCAAATGTTAAGTAAAAGTATGACATCCGCTTAGTATATTGGTTATCATTTGATATCTAAGCGTAACTTACTTCAAATACAGCAGGATTTTTGCTGAATTAACGAAGGCTTTATATACACAAAGAAATCTGAGAGGAAACACCATTTGATTTCTCCTGGTCCAAAATTACAGATAAAGTTTTGTCCGGTGAGGCTTTTGTCCGTCCTCCAGAAAGAAGACCCTAGTTTACGGCACAGAATTGTTCCTTATTGTTTCAGAGACTTCAGCTTTATCTTGCACGTGTACTCCAAAATGATTAATACGTTTTTCATTAAGGATTAATTATTAAACTAATATGTAAATCACAGATCGCGGTTATGTTACAGGAAAGAGGGTGAAATAAGAGCTAAGCGAGTAATGGAAAGAAAACCCTTTTTGACAAGAGATTTCGTTTCCTTCACTATTCATGAAGGATTCACTAATTATACAAGACTCATTGATTTGATAACTGACTTATTACCATAGTTTAATTTACATTGTCTTCCATCACTCCTCTCTGATTAATTTTCCTGTCTTCATTTGCTCACATGGAGCTGAAAAATAAGAGGTGAAAACTTTTCCTTTTTTTTTTTGTAATGAATAATATTCGAAAAGAAGACAAATCAACTACTGCTAAGCATATGCGTACAGTTAAACATGTATCAAAAAAAAGAGTTTAACGCTTGCTCGCTAACCTGAAGGACCCTGGTTCGATCCTGGCTAAAGTCGAGATTATTCATTTTTTTTTCTCAATTTATCAACCTTAAAAATGTTTCCCCTTGTCAGTGAAACAGCGCCTTGTTCGGATGTTCTACAGCTGTGCACTCTAAAGATATTTCAACAGTTGAAAAAATAGGCTAATGCCGTTGCCTGACAAAATTTTCTTTATTGCTGATGGTGTTGTCCGTCATCATTGGCCCGTTAGGTACAGAAAAGTAGGTCGTGAAACTCTATTCATTTCATTTTTATACGCCCACAAGTAGTCCAGGGTATTTTGTATTCACCCCGTTCACATTTGGCTTGTGCTCGCTCTACGGGCTACAATTCTCCACAGATTCTTTTGATTTGTTATTTTGGGGTCAATGTCATTATGAAGATGATCCCTATCGATTTTCGTGGTGATCTGATTATTTTTCATCGAAATATCGTGTCTGACCTAGCATTTTCAAGCTAATAGCTATATTGTGCAACTCGTTCTCACTCTACAGGCAACAATTCTGTATGGATTCTTTTGATTTTTATATGCCGATACATAGTATGGAAGCATATTGTCGTCCGTTCGTCCAGGCTACGATTCTTGGTGGATTATTTTGATTTTCTCGGCAATACTGCACAAGTTGCACTATATAGCTAATAGTCGGAATCTTCATAATGACATTTACCTTAATATTAGCATACACGCAAACAGATAAAGAAACTATTATGATCACCCGGACATAGATCCCCTGGGGTCTGGAGCGTGTGCTTAACTATCGTTACATTTAGTTGTTTGTGAATGCGAACATTACAAATGTGGCACGCTTTTCGTTTGGGCTAGCCATTACAAACTTCGTCTAATACCTTGATTGCAATAAACAATTTTCGTGTATCGCGGTATGAAGCGATTTGATTGAATTGTAGTGTACACTACCGAATATAGCCAATCAAAGCCCCCGACATACAAACTGTAAATAATAAGCCATAATCATAATCAAACTGCTTTAACATGAAACGACATGTCTTCTTATATGATGAGTGATTATTGTCAATTAGTTAATAATACTCAACAGGTGGTTTACACTCTAACCAATATGGCTAACACCATACCAGTGAGTGGCCATCGACTGCAACTGTTATGACTTTTTAGAAATCTAACCGAAAATGTTAATCACTTGCTCAAAATATATATATATGTGTGGTATAGTTTCACGAGCTGGCGAAAACTTCCAAATGTTAATTTAAGAATCGATATTTACAAACAAATTTTATATCTTTTGTGCGCGAGTCGTTTATTTTACCTTGATAACTGGTAATTCAGTTTACCAGTATTTCAGTATGACGACCACGGATACACCAAGCAGTTCGTATTTATCCTTCAGTCGTGGAACCAGATTTTCGAATTGTTCTCATTTCTGAAAATGAATAACGATTATGTGACAATAGCACTTGTTATGTTCTTCTTGTTACCAGCATTAACTGCTAATTCGCTTACACTTTATTGTGTACTCGGTGATATCAAACGCCAAAATACCCTGGCGAAGGAGCTGTTGTTATTACTAACTTGTGTCGATTTTATTGCCTCCGTCTGTATACCCCTTTTTCATATAATTATTCCTATCATAGACAGTCCATCCTTTTTCATATGTATGCTAACGGGATTATCGCAAACGTTTTTTTCACTCTTTGCTACTGGATTAGGCGTTTTAATGGCATGCGAGCGTTTTGTGGCATTGACGATACCTTATTGGTACTACAAAATTATGTTTCAACACAAGGTTCGTATTCCTGTTTTACTAATGACTCTGTACATCGCGGCTATCTGTATATTACCACCTGTTGGTGTGGGAAATGTTCACAGGATAACGGTGATCAATGGTTCGGAAGTCATAACCTGTGGTGTATTTCCTAAAAAACCACCAAATACGACAAGTGAGGGGATATTTCCTAAAATGTACGCAGGTTCTGGTTGTTTATTTACTCTCATCTCGGTGTTCTTAAACATTTTAGTTATAAAATTACTTTATTCAATGCGACACAAAATATCGCCACCAGAAATTGTACGAATAGAAAAAGAAATGAACGTCAGATCGAGAAAACTAAGTCAGGAATTTGTGTTGACCAAAATGGTTTTTATGCTATCCTTATCATTCCTTATTTGCCTGACACCATTGTATGTAAGTAGAACTACATTTTTAATCTTATTATATTTCAAAGAATTCTTATCAGCTATTAGAGGGGGAAAAGGCCAATTTCTATCCCCTTTAATCAATGTTGTGGGCGAAGCTTATGCCTCCAAGGCACATCATCCAGTCTATGAAGCTATTTGGTTAATTGCCATATCACCCCTTTAAATTCAAATCGAAACAATCGCAATTTATTATGTGGTCTAATTTTTAATAAAGGAAGGGGCGAATTTGATAAGGACGAAGCGGATAGGGACAAAATGGGTAGGGGGCGATCTGGGAAAAGGGCGAAACTTAGAAGGGGTAATGAAGCGCATCGCTTGCGCCACTCCAGTGCTAGTAGTGTTAGCAATACACATCATATTATAAATATAGCAAATAAACATTATCAGCTATATGTGGGTTCGACGTTAGGATGTCCATTTTACAAATCCATTCATAATTTGGCAGCAGATGTCCCGGAAGAGTGTACGTAATGAAAAAATGTCTCCCATGTATCTCACTGTATAGGGCCATGTCCGTCTTTAAGAGCCCAAACTGTAGCAGGAAGTAAAACTTAGTTTCATTTCATTTCAGATCGTGCTATTACTCGAACAAACTGGAATACAGATACCAAAATACTTAGTTAGTATTACTCATACATTAAATGCCGCGAGCACTGTAACAGATCCCATCATCAACATTGCTATCAGAAAAAAATATCGTAATCAAATCAAAGCTCTCGTTTGTTGCAAAAAAACATCAACAAATGCCATTTTAGGTCCTTTACATTTGCCTTTATCGATTGTCCATAAGGCTGTCCACCAAGACTCTATCCCCAGTCCAGTAATTGTGAAATGATTGTTATGTAGTTCATCAAGAACGTATAGTTACCGTAGGGGAGTCACCTGACTGTTCTGCTGCCGCGCGTATTTAAGTCACAGCGAGCCCCAACTCTAAAGTGTGCTTATTTGTGATACAGGTCGAAAGCCAACGCTGGACCTACATTTGGAAGCGCTGTCCGTACGTCAGAATTTTTACCTCTAGGATTTGAGACCACGGCACCAAATGTTCCATTCCAGCGTAAGAGAGAGGTACGGAGAAAAATACAGAACTGTGAAATTGCATTTATATTTGATAGTGAAATATAGAGAGGCCCACAACAATATGTAGTCATAATGTCTAATGAAATAAAGAACTATTTAAAGAAACGTTTTATCATTCAATACTACTTTACATAATACATTTATGCAGCATCTGACATGATACTAGTCCAACATAGGACATGATACTAGTCCAGCGTCTGATATGATATAGTCCAGCATCTGACATGATAATAGCCCAGCATCTGACATGATATAGTCTAGCATCTGACCTGATATAGTCTTGCATCTGATATGATATATTCCAGCATCTGACATAATATGGTCCATCATCTGACATGATATATTCCAGCATCTGACATAATATGGTCCATCATATGACATGATATATTCCAGCGTCTGGCTTGATATAGTACAGCATCTGACATGATATATTCCAGCATCTGACATGATATAGTCCAGCATCTGACATAATATAGTCTAGCATCTGACATGATACTAGTTCTGCATCTGATATGATACTAGTCCTGCATCTGACATGATTAGTCCAGCATCTGATATGATAAAGTCGACCACCTGACATGATTAAGTTCAGCATCTGCCATGATTAAGTTTAGCATCTGCCAAGATTAAGTTCAGCATCTGCAATGATGAAATCTAGCATCTGATATAATAAAGTCGAGTATCTGACATGATTAAGTCTAGCATCTGATATGATTTAGTCTAGCATCTGATATATTGTATAGTGTAGTATCTGGCATGATACTGTCCAGCATCTGACATGATTAGTCCAACATCTGATATGATATAGTCGACCATCTGGACATGATAAAGTTCAGTATCTGCCATGATTAAATCTAGCATCTGATATGATAAAGTCGAGCATTTGACAAGATTTAGCCTAGCATCTGACATGATTTAGTCGAGTATCTGACTTGATTAGTCCAACATCTGACATGATTTATTTCAAAACACTGCTGATTTAGTCCTGGAATGGACATCTGGCATGATATAATCGAGTATCTGACGTGCTATAGACTCGCATCTGACATGATTAAATCTAGCTGTGTACAACTGCAATCACGTTTGCTCACCCACAATATTTTGATTTGGGTAGAAGTATTATTGGTGATGGTAGTACTTGATTATTGAGCTAAGGGTCACTAACAGCGCTAGAAATTTCAAATTTTCTTTACAACCAATTATTATCTTCATGAGTCCAAAAGAAAGGGGAAGCAAAATGAAAAAATAAAACTCCAGTTCAATTCACAATAACTTTTAATAACTGGTATGTTCTTTAGTGAACATGTTATAACAGAGAAGACTTCATTAAAGTATTAATTATATTGTAAACTAAACATTATATACACAGCCGTGTTTCAAGACATACGGACTAGATTAAATCATAGAATAGGACTAAACGACCTCCTTGGTCAATTCGTCTTAAAGGGACATTACTCTGTTATGATATCCAGACTACATTTAAGCGTATGAGTCTGAATATTCTCCATCTCCTTCCCTTATATAAAGCTGAAATGAAAGCATAGTATAAATTCACATTTCACATAATTGTTTTAAACTATTGTTTATGCCTGTGTCCATATATATATATATGAAACTATTAAACTGAATTTTAAAACTTATTTTAAATCATAGTCTTTAAATCTCACAGGCATTTGCTTTGCACGCGATGATATTCTCACTGGTTGAGTTTGGTCTCTTGTCTTTGGACGTTTCAAAATTGGTTTTGGAACAGGAACATGGACTGCTTCCTCTACTGGAATTTCAGGTTGTTCTGCATTTGGATATAACTTGACTTCTCCATTTGTATCATTTATGTTGGGTCTATAATCATCTTCGTCATCACTATCAGAATCGCTGTCATTGTGCTGATTATCTTGACTAGATTGTTGAACTGGTTTCAAGTGTTTATCTGGATCATTTTGATAATCTATGACGGGTAACCAGAGTGATGTTCCGCCATTCTTATGTTTTGGTGGGTAGCGTAATCGTAAGTCTTTGCGATTGCGTACAGTGATTAATCCAGAAGATAAACGTACTACATATTTCCTAACCTTCAGGTTTCTCTCTTGAATAACACCATCGTTTGGATTGTCTATTTTGGACGACCACTGGATCTCCGATCTTTAGCACAGGAAGTTCCTTTCCTGGGCGAATCTTATCCATTCTTTGTCGCTCCTTCGCAATTTGTTTGTCATAGTCACTAAGTTCTTTATGCCAATCTTTAGACAAACTACTCTTATGAGCTGGAACAGTATCCCGGACAGCTTGACCATATACAAGAATAGCTGGAGATAAGCCTGTTGACTTGTGTGGTGTATTACGAATTTGTAAAAGTCCTTTAGTCCATTGCTCATAGTCTATTTTCCCACGAGTAAAACATTTCCTTAAAAGTGACTTGGCTTGTTTAACTCCATTTTCAGCATACGAGTTACTTTGTGGATAATGCGCTGAAGATGATATCCATCTCACTCCCCATCGTCTACAGAAATCACTAAATTCCCCTGAAGAGAATGGTGGGCCATTATCTGTATATAAAATCTCAGGAACAGTTGTATCAGCGAAGAAATTTCTCAGTTCCTGAATAGTTGTTTGTGCTGTCGTCCTTGACATTTTGGACACACTGAACCATCCACTTTTCCAATCGGTTATTATCAAAAATTTACAATTGTCTATATCTGCAAAGTCGGCTGATACATATTGGAAACATCGTTGTGGAACTGGAAGATGAATTTCTGGTTCGGCTGGTTGACTAGGTCTATCTTCCATACATAAACTACATTGTCTGCATTTTTGTTCAATCTGGGCATCAATTCTAGGCCAATAAACAACTAATCGGGCTCTAGATTTTACACCAACAATGCCTCTATGTCCAGAATGCAGTTCATTTAAAACATGTTGTCTTAATCTTCTTGGGATTAAAAGTCTAACTCCATACAGAATAAAATTATCATCCCTTATGGATAATTCATCTTTAACATTCCAATAGTCTCGGATTGATTCATCAAGTTGTTTCTTACTATCAGGAAAACCATGCTGTATAGTATCTTTTAACAACTGGTATTCAGGATCATTGTCAGCAATATTACGTACATTTTCTAAATCTAATGTACATTGGGCTTGGTCCATAGATGCAGATTGTATTGCTTTGACATATAAAGATAAAGCTCTTGAATCTTCAAAGTCTTCTTTGTTTGGTTCAGAAACTGGATTTCTAGAAAAAGCGTCAGCTATGATATTACTGGATCCTGGAATGTATTCCACTATACAGTTGTAGTCCATACATTTCAATAAATTCCGGAGTATTCTGTTATTAGAAACTTCGTCTAATCTTTTAGAATTGACTAATGATACTAGGGGTCTGTGATCCGTAAATACTGTAAATTTAGGTCCACCTAGCAAAAACTTCTTCGATTTTTTCATGCTCCAGGCTAATGCTGTTATTTCACTTTCTATAGGTGCATATCTCGTTTCAGCGTCGGTTAAGCTTCGACTTCCAACCATAATGGGCATCCAATTACCATTGGGTTGTTTCTGTTTCAGGACAAAACCAAATCCTGTTATACACGCAGCGTCCGTGTATAATTGTAGAGGTAATCCAGGTCTAAAAAATGCTAACGTTGATGGTGATGCAAGATGCTTCTTTGCTTCAACAAAGGCTTGCTGTTCATCTTTATTCATCTTATAACGACCTCGTTGTTTTTTGAGTAAGTGACGAAGAGGTGCTAGTTTTCTTGTTAAGGCTGGATCATATGGAGCAAGTTGATTGGCTAAACCATGAAATGATCTCATTTTCTTCAACGTATCTGGCTCTGGAAACTTTTCAATAGCCTTTATTGTTTTCAGATGTATAGAAAATCCATCTTTGCTGATCTTCAATCCAGCAAATTCGATCTCAGATTGTTTCCATTTGAACTTCTTAGGATTGAGTCGTATGTTTTCTTGCCTGCAGCGTTGTAAAAAGTTTCTAACATTTTGTAAATGTTCTGTATGATCTTTTCCATACACGAGAGTATCATCCACCAATCTTGATATTCCTTTAAGACCTTGTAATGCTTCACTAATTCTACGGTTATAATGTTCTGGTATAGAATTAATTCCAAATGGAGCTCTTTCAAACCGAAATTGACCAAAGGGCGTCAAAAAGGTTGTCAAGTCTTTGGATTGTTCGGACAATTCAATTTGGTGATACCCTTTTTTAGCATCAAACGACGTAAAATGTACTGCAGCTTCAGCCTCTATCATCTGGGCACACTCTACGACTCCTGCTGACTGAAAGTATTCACGTTTACAGAACATGTTTAATTTTCTAAAGTCTACACACATTCTGATATCTGTAGTTCCCTTTTTCGGAGCAATTACTACGGGACTAACCCAGTCTGTCGGGTACGTGACCTTCTTTATGTGACCTTCAGCTTCTAGTTGAGCTAATTCAGCTTTCAGTTTATCATAGTATGCAAGTGGTAAATTTCTTGGAAAATGTACCTTGGCAGGAATAGCATTTTCATCCAACTCAATATGAAAGGGACCTCCTTTAAGTGGTTGGACTTGAGCTGAGAATATATCTGAAAATTCTCTTTGAATGTCTTCAGCCGTAACTTTATCTGCTGGCTTATGTGTATCAATTTTCTTCATTTCCATTGGTTGTAAGATAACATCTAATTTACTGGTCACCTGGTTTGGTTGATGATTTTCATCGTGAATTGAAATCTCCTTCAATGAATATTGTGGCTTAGTATTTATGGTAACAATGCCTAATTCTATTAGAGCATTTCTGGATAAAATGAAAGAGTTCAAATCATTAAAAAACACTAATGGCTTTGTAATTTGTCTATCACCAAACTTTATAGTTGCATCATAATATCCTATAACATCCATTTTACTACCACTGGCATTACAGGTATTTAACATTTCAGTTGTTGGAGGAAATAAATTAGCTACATCATCATCTAGTTCAGCTATTCTATTGGTTGGAGCACAACACCAATCTGACCCAGTGTCTATTTCAGTGTCTATAATGTGACCTTAAATATAAACATCAACTGTCTGTGCAAAGGATTTCGTAATTGAACAGACTATTCTGCTCAGTTTCTTCTGTCGAAAAGGTCTATCCCTGTCTCCATTTTCTTTCGTCTTAGATCTGCATACAGATGTGAAATGATTCCGTCCTTTGCAGTTGTGACAATCTTTACCATATGCTGGACATCCACTTTGTTTATGAGATTGTTTATAACCACAATAGCTACACTTAGTTTGCTCATTTCTACTTAATGACCTTTTGAATTTATCATTTCTGCTATGTGATCTCTTTTCATGTCTTCTTGGACCAATAGCATTTACATTCTGTTTAGGCCTCTCTAATTCTATTTGTGTTTTCTTTAAATTTTCATCTGCCTCCAGTTCTTCTAATGCCATTGCCAAATCCAATTTCTTCTTTTTCAACATCTCTTTTCGAGCATCTTCGCTTCTGGTTGAAAATACAAGTTTCATAAGTATTAACAAATCGGTTGCAGTTTGTTTACAATTCACACAAAAGTTTTCCGAAAAATCGCAATCTTCAGATATTTCAGCAATGCAAGAATAAAATTGTCTTGAGGTTTGGTCTGCATTTTGCACTGCTGCATTGAACTGGTGTCTAGCAACCCATACTGGACGGTTGGCTTCTATTAAGTCTTTTGCAATATTCATCACATTTTCAAAATCACCCCTTTCATCAGGTCGTAACTGTAACATAAGTGCATTGACCTTTGAGAATGTTTCAGGAACCATAGCCGTCTGTAATGCTGTAAGTTTTACTTCCCAGGGTTTATTTTCTATTCTGGCCTCCCTTATGAATGATCGGAATGCTGATTCCCAAGTGCGGTGACGTAGTCTTGAACTCATCAAAACATCCAACTTTTCAGGACACAATGTTTTCAACAGACTCCAGGGTATTTTATCTCCACCTAGATTTCTTACTTCCTGTTGATTATCATTATTCTGAGGATTCCGACGATTTTCATTCATCTGTCTTGACTGTAAAACAGCGGTAACTGTTTGAGCAACAATACTCGAAATCATCGCAGGGTCTATCATTACTGGCGTTCCTGTGGCTATTGTAGATGATCCTTTTGCTCTGCGTGATGTATTTTCATCCTCACTATCACTCATTTTGACTAGTTAGTTGTGTAATTATTCACAAAAGTTCCAAATTCGATGTAAAAAGCACACTTCCGGTTTTTTACATGGGGGCAGCCATCTTTGTTATTCATCTTTTCGTCAAAATATATTTGTGACTAAAAGTTTATTTTCCCACTATTTTACAGTTCAAAATTACTTCTGTTTCGTTCGCAGCGCCATGGTATGTTCTTTGGTGAACATGTTATAACAGAGAAGACTTCATTAAAGTATTAATTATATTGTAAACTAAACATTATATACACAGCCGTGTTTCAAGACATGCGGACTAGATTAAATCATAGAATAGGACTAAACGACCTTCTTGGTCAATTCGTCTTAAAGGGACATTACTCTGTTATGATATCCAGACTACATTTAAGCGTATGAGTCTGAATATCCTCCAATAACAAGCTCAAAGTTCTCTTTTATTCTTATCTTATAAGAAATATAAAATACGCCATTATCGCGTAATGTAACTACTGTTTCGTTTTATTTCATTCTTTGAAATATTATTGAAAGTTTCCAACAACAAGTCTGTGTGTATGGTTCAATAGACTTTGTCAATTTGTGATTGTTTGAAATCAAATATTTTTAGAATATAAAGTGTCAAGTGACTTGAGAGTTCGGCGTGTTGTAATAGCCTTTATTTTCCTTGTTTTATTGACATTAAAAGGAGTATTATGACACGTTTTACAAGTTTAGTAGGTATAAGATATACATTACTCAATGGTTCTGCCAGTTGGAAATTATTCTGGATTGGCGCAATTTTTCTTGGTACAGGTATTTACTATTTTATATTTTTTGATTTCGAAGGCATTTCAGGAATAAATTTTTTGCTCTCCAATATTTCGCAGACAATAGAATGTCTAGAAATTCTACAACATTCACATTGCTCTACAACATTTACATTACTCGATAACATCATATTACTCTAGAACATTTACATTACTCTACAGTATTTTTACAACATTTACATTACTCTAGAACATTTACATTACTCTAGAACGTTTACATTACTCGATAACATTCATATTACTCTACAACATTTACATTACTCTACAACATTTACATTACTCGATAACATTCATATTACTCTACAACATTTACATTACTCTACAACATTTACATTACTCTACAACATTTACATTACTCTACAACATTCACATTACTCTAGAACATTTACATTACTCGATAACATTCATATTACTCTACGACATTTACATTACTCTACAACATTTACATTACTCTACAACATTTACATTACTCGATAACATTCATATTACTCTACAACATTTACATTACTCGATAACATTCATATTACTCTACAACATTTACATTACTCGATAACATTCATATTACTCTACGACATTTACATTACTCTACAACATTTACATTACTCTACAACATTTACATTACTCTACAACATTTACATTACTCTACAACATTCATATTACTCTACAACATTTACAATAGGCCTACTCTTCAACATTTACAGTACTCTACAACATTTACATTACTCGATTTCATATTACTCTACAACATTTACATTACTCTACAACATTTACATTACTCGATTTCATATTACTCTACAACATTTACATTACTCTACAACATTCACGTTATTCTATAACATTCATATTACTCTACAACATTTACATTACTCTACAACATTCACGTTACTCTATAACATTTACATTACTCTACAACATTTACATTACTCGATTTCATATTACTCTACAACATTTACATTACTCTACAACATTCACGTTACTCTATAACATTTACATTACTCTACAACATTTACATTACTCGATTTCATATTACTCTACAACATTTACATTACTCTACAACATTCACGTTACTCTATAACATTTAATTTCCTCTGCAACGTTTACATTACTCTACAACATAAACATTACTCTACAACATTTACATTACTCGATTTCATATTACTCTACAACATTTACATTACTCTACAACATTTATATTGTTCTCTAACATTTACATATCCCAACATTTGTATTACTCTACAACATAAACATTACTCTACAACATTTACATTGCTCGATTTCATATTACTCTACAACATAAACATTACTCTACAACATTTATATTGTTCTCTAACATTTACATATCCCAACATTTAAAATTACTCAAAACGTAGGATGCTACACAATAGAAAATATTTAAACCTCGGCAGACTGTCTAAGCCGTTTTTTTTTCAGTAACATTTTCAATAGATTTGAAAGATGTAAAATTTGGCCTTTTAAATTAGATCAAACTTGTAGTAAAATAACTGCTATAGGATTTGCAGTCCGAAACATCTGCCTCCAATCTCTGATATAATTTGGAAGCCGGTTGGTTGGTAGATGACAAGTTAACGTTCGCTTCCAGCGGATGCTGATATCGCAAACTATGTAGTTGTTGGTAGTCGTAGTAGTTGGTAGTTGGATTGGATTTGATTGATTCTGTGTTAGATCTGGTCGGGTCGAATGACATGGCGGTGAAACTCGGCCCTGGATGGTGTGGCGTGAGTTACTCGATCTCCTTCATTCTTCCAAACTCGTTCTGATCATGGTATTTCTTGTTGATTGGTAGTCGAATGGTAGTCGTTGGTTTGGTTTGGTTAGATTATCTGTTATCTGTTGAAAAACTAGAAGACCTGAAAAAAAAGAAAGTGAGAAAAGAGGGGGAAAAATAAAAGGGGGAAAAGCTTTCAACAAAAGGGGGAAAGATGTTCTCTGATGTTTCTGCAATGAAACTTGTTAAATTGATTGGATATAATTTGGAAGCCGCGGTGGTTCAGTGAGTTATACGCTTGCTCGCTAACCTGATTGGTTACTAGCTGCATTTGATTTGATCCAATAACCAATTAGCAATCCAAGACCACATAAAAACTACAGGCTACAAAGTTAACTGGGATAAAACCATAACATTAGCTATCAATAAAAACAATAAAAAAGAAAGAAAAATCATTGAAGCCATCCAAATTAGAAGACACAATCCATCAATCAATGGAGATCCTGAAGTTTTTTTCCGTAGAGCCTATCACCTCATCCATTAATTAACAGTTATAAGTCACAATTAATATTCTTAATCCCTTGTTTGTTAAGTTGTTTTGTCTATCACCCCATCCATTACTTAACAGTTATAAGTCACAATTAATATTCTTAATCCCTTGTTTGTTAAGTTGTTTTGTCTATCACCTCATCCATTAATTAACAGTTATAAGTCACAATTAATATTCTTAATCCCTTGTTTGTTAAGTTGTTTTGTCTATCACCTCATCCATTACTTAACAGTTATAAGTCACAATTAATATTCTTAATCCCTTGTTTGTTAAGTTGTTTTGTCTATCACCCCACCCATTAATTAACAGTTATAAGTCACAATTAATATTCTTAATCCCTTGTTTGTTAAGTTGTTTTGTCTATCACCTCATCCATTAATTAACAGTTATAAGTCACAATTAATATTCTTAATCCCTTGTTTGTTAAGTTGTTTTGTCTATCACCTCATCCATTAATTAACAGTTATAAGTCACAATTAATATTCTTAATCCCTTGTTTGTTAAGTTGTTTTGTCTATCACCTCATCCATTAATTAACAGTTATAAGTCACAATTAATATTCTTAATCCCTTGTTTGTTAAGTTGTTTTGTCTATCACCTCATCCATTAATTTACAGTTATAAGTCACAATTAATATTCTTAATCCCTTGTTTGTTAAGTTGTTTTGTCTATCACCTCATCCATTAATTAACAGTTATAAGTCACAATTAATATTCTTAATCCCTTGTTTGTTAAGTTGTTTTGTCTATCACCTCATCCATTAATTTACAGTTATAAGTCACAATTAATATTCTTAATCCCTTGTTTGTTAAGTTGTTTTGTCTTTACCAATTTATACTTGTTAACCTTTATAATATCATTCATTTCTTGATAAAGACCAAAGAACAGTGGTTGAAAAGTCGCTCAAATAAAGTTAGTAATTGTAATCCATAAGAATTGTTTTATTATGTCCAACACCTTTACTAAATCCCATTTACTGATTATATCCCTCGACAGTTGGAAATCGAAATAGAGCAGGCTAATGCCACTGTCCTTGAAAAAAGTTCCCCATTGCACTCTGTATGGCGTTGCCTGTCTTCATTAGATTAGATGGTGCAGAAAAGTATGACGTAAAACTCCATTCATTTCATTTCTGATAGATATTTTGACAGTTGACAACTTTAAAAAAATACCTATTAAAGGCTGGAATAGAGGCAGATATTTCGATATATACGATATCTCGGGGTGATCTTGGACTCCTTCGGACTCATGGACGAGCACATAAAACGTTTGCAGTAAAGCGTCACATTCGCTGTGACGGAGAGGCAAAATGCCCCACTTTTGAACCACTCTAACTCAGAAAAATGAGTCCATGCCTTTGTCACATCTAAGCTGGATTACTGTAACAGTATCCTATTCGACCATCCCGACTAAGAAATGAATAAACTACAATGCAATACTTATATAGTAAGATTTAAAGTAAGAAGCTTCTTCGGAATTAAGTGTCGTAAAGCTGCCGCTTTGTTAAAAAAAATTGGTGCCTTCTTTGACCGGTTAGATCTTTCTCACACTCTGGACCATACGATATAGACTTTCTTCTATTGTAGGATGTTCAGTGTATCATCTTAACAGATTGTTTTTAGTGTTTAGAGAACACACGATTAAGACAACTATTAATCATGTTCACAGTCGAACTCAAAGATTTCCACATGTAACAATCTGTAACCTGAATCATCTGAGGAGAAGTTTGGTTGCTCAGAATTCTATTTATGCCGTGATAAGTGGACTGAAGGTATGAAATAAATCCCCCCTGGATGTCAATCTTTTGAGTAAGAATCATGTTATCGATGGTAAACAGACAACATTGGTGATATACTATTGAATACTTCTATATCGTAGATATTTTAGTATTTGTGTAACTTGTCTGTACTAAAGCTTCACTTTGTCCTTATTTAGCACCGTGGTGTGGTTTACTGTGTTCTCACACATTCACATTAACTCCAAGCTCATCAGTGCCTAAACTTGATGAGTGGAGGCCGTGGAATTAAGTAGCTTGGGGCCCTTCCCCTGGGAATATTTTTTAACATCAATATGCTCTCCTGCATTCTGAAACCCCTGAATAAAGTCAATTTATTGTCTGTTACTGGAATATTTAAAGACTTTCAGTCTGTAGTTAATGCTTATTTTGGTAGTGGAACCGCCTTATGTGTGGGGGCCCGTGGACATGGTTCAACCAGTTCCTGTGGTAGTTGAGCCACTGCAGCTCACACGTCCAAACATACGAACTTAACCCTTGTTTCCCGCCCAGCTGTACTTTTACTGGACTTGGCTCGGGGGACACACGTCATCAGAATTCAAGATATCAATTCAAATGTAATTATTGTTTCATTTGTCAAGCACTTTGTAACATATCTTTAGAGAAAGCAGGGAAAAGACTATGTTAAGGATGGACAAGACGTATTCAACACCCTGGAAAAAATGGGTCAAAAGGAAATTTTAAATCAAATGGCAACTGAATTAAAAACACGTCAAAGTCATCAATTAGACACCATGTTAATCAGCTGTATGTTTGATAACCAGCCGTGTAACGTCAGGTAAGCCTCGCCCTGCTTGTTTCAGGGATTAGATTTCAGGGCATGATAATTAGGGAATTAAAGATGGATTTCCTTATTTTTTAGTGTCAAATTAAGCAAATTCCAACGACTTTTCGGTCAGTATAACATTTCTGGAACCAAATAAACCAAAGTTGTTTAAAGAGCTGAAAATTGTGGAACGTAGTTTGGGGACTGGAATGAAATAACGAAAAGATGTGATTTAATATGTCAAAGACAAGAAAGGGAGTGGAAATGAACACCCCCGTGACTTCTCCGGTTGGTTTTCCGCTTCCACGAATTGCAATACATTCAAGATCTAATAGGCTTAGAAGTTGAACTTCGCCTGCACCTTTCATATACACTATATTTCACTATAAATGTACCACTGGATAATGTTTTATAAAGTTGTTCTCAATTATTACATTTTTTTCATTTTTCATTTTGTTCTTTTATTGAGAAATTTTACCATGTATTATGATTATGATTTTGGAAATTGTTTCATTTTCAACGCAGACACAGACAAGAGTATTATAAGCAATCCTTGGCCTAAAAACGGTATATTAAATATTTCTTTAAAAGAAGCCTTATCATTTTTATACAGATTTCTTTATGTGTTTATTTGTGTGCATGGGCTGCGAGATTTGAGCTTTTTGTATGTGGTCGTGCTTGATTGTAAACTTTCAGTATTTGTTGATGGTAAGCTTTACGCTTGTTTTTGTGGTTAGTCTCTAGAGTTTGTTGCCAGTCAGCTTTGAGTGTTTGTTGGTGCTGGTAAGTGGTGATAATCTTTGTGTTAACTGTTTATTGATAATGGTATGGTGCGTTTATTTGGTTGCATGCTTTGTGCTAGTAAATGGTTAGCTATGTGCATTGTGACAGGCTTTGTGCTCACAATTACAGTCCTGGTGCTGTGTATTGCATTGATACGGTTTCACAATTTAAATTTTGATCAACTCAATTACAGGATTACGCATGGAGTTATTTGTTGAACTGAATGAATATATTGGTAAATTCTCCTCAACATCTGGCTTTAAACTATTGGTACATGATACGAATTCGGTGCCGTTTCCTGTTGAAGATGGTGTTATAGTCAGTCCTGGAACGCATACACAGATAGCTTTTAAAAAGGTACTTGTCTGTGTAAATGTTGCTCAATTAAATCGATATTTAGATAAGTAATACATCAACCAACGTCTTCTATTTACATAGAAACAAAGACCTATTAGATAGTACTACGATCAGTAGTGTAGGTCTACTTTGTACGACGTCGTCTGGACAATACCTTATCAAAATTATTCATTTTTCAGACTGTTATACACAATGTACGGTATCCATTTGGTAACTGTCGTGATGGAGAGACCCGTAAATATTTCACTGAAGTAAATATTTTTATTAAAATATACAAAACTTGTTACTTTTAAAAAGCGATTTTGTAAGCCTATTCAAATTTAATTTTAGGGGTAGCGTAATATTTTGTAAAGTTATTTCCTCTGACTAAAGAGTTTTTAATGAAAACATAATATGTTGGTATTATAATATATATAAATATTCTAGAAGTATCTATTCATAAGTCTATAACTTGTGCTACTAATATGCCATTGAAGGATTATATGCTGGTATTGATTAAACATTTCAAGATATTGTTATTTATTTTGTCATAATCCACTTGACTGGGCAATATCACAAAAAGCATCACCGTATGACTTATTAATAATTCTCTTATAATCAAAGCATACTGTATACAGATATTGATATCAGTGTCAATATGTTTTCATTGATAATCTATACAGAATCAAAAACCTTTTGTACAAGATGTCATGTTTGATCAAACACATATAGTTGTACTTTAAAGGGAGACTACCTCTTAGAACTATCAAACCTGGTCAACACATGTATAAATGTATCAGTTCTAAGCGTGTTTCAAAATTACTAAGTTTAAAAGATTATTGCGTAGTTTTATGGATTTATTGGATTATAGAGGGATTCTGTTGTATAGTTATGACACCAGGTAAGTCCAATGATGAACACAGAATTATTTAACCAAGTTTTAAAATTTTTTGATCATCCTAAGAGGTAGTATATCTTTAATTGGTTCAATTTCCTTGATTACCAGCAGTTGGTTGTACCTTATAACAATGATCCATAGTACACTTGATGTACGACATGATAACGCACATCATAACCAAGCAATGAAAATGTTTAAATAAACGACCATCGTGCATGTTTCCGATGACTAGATCGCGTAATTGGCGAATCTCTTTCAAATGTTTTAAGTATGTATAAGCACCCGTTCCTGTCAAGGTTGTAACAGAAATTGTATGTTACGAGTAGCCGGAACGAAGGCTGGCTATTCATCATTTTTCATTACTAACAGAAACTCTCTGTATCTTACCAGTTCAGACAAATATTCTAAATGGTCAGCAGCCATCATCTACAATTGCTCATAACAACTATAAATATCTATCAAGGGCTTGCGTTCGCTCAGTAATTTATATTACTAATGTTTGTGTTTATAATAGTCGGCCTATTTTTTCTTTTCTAGCAATGTTCCAAGTCCTGTCTACAAGAGCACCTGTTATCACACTGTAAATGCTACGATCCGAGATACAGCTTTGGCACCGATTTCAATCTTCGTACTAAACTTCTGGGACAGTGTGATTCGACGCAGTCAGGTAAGGCAGAATATTTTTTAGGATGCGTGGGGGGATGAAGTTCAATCCATTTATCCGACATTTTTTGCAAGCATTAATGTCTGTCGCCTTGACACAGGTGGAAAAATCTTCTTAAAACACACAAGCTATATCTAAGTTCCCGTTTCTCAAATAATATTGTCACCAATTCTAATATGTCAAGCTCTTTCTTTAATAAAATATGAAGGAAAAACAGAATCTAAGTGGTTGTATACCCTATGTCAAACCAAACTGTTTAAGATTGTTGCAGAACCGATCACCGATTTCTCTGTATTTTGACTGACATTCTAGATACCACTTTTTCCAGAGAAATGTGCTAACGAAATTACCAAGCAGTATAATGCAGGAGGAATTTGCGTAGAAGAATGTCCTCTTCGATGTATGTAAGTACTTTCCAGCATAGGCGTATGGGGCGGGGGCCATTATTGGTTTTGAGTCGAATATTTAGAATTTTTCATGAAAAGTATCTCTCTTGAAGCTATTCGTTAAATTTTGCTTGTGGACGCTGTGTGGTCATAGGACTATAATATAAAGATCTGCTTCAGTTCTATGATGTGGTTGTGGTTGGACCAAAATGCCAATGTATTTAACATTTACTGTATTTGTTTTTTATTCGCAATTTTTGTTTTACAGTGAAAACCAGTACGATTTTCATTCGTCATTTGGTGCATGACCAATAGATGATCAGATAGGTTTTACATTACAAAGGTTTCAAAACGCACTAAGAAATGTTGGGGTTTTCCTTCCTACTGATGTTTACAATGGAGGACATTTCCGTCAAAAAGAATTTATAAGGTTGTTCTTTAATAATATTTGCTGAGGTCGTAAGTTTTCGCAGGGATAATCATCATCTGGATCAGTAGCCTTGACAAGCACTTGCTGGTCGCTTTCATAGAGCCAAAACACAGTTAACGAATTAACCCTGGTTTTGATCAGTATTGACAACCACTTCATGCTGGTCTTTTAAGAGATATAATGGAAAAGACAAGACTGGGATTCTTCAAAGCATGTTAGTTTATCGAGTCTAAATGGTTAGATCACTACTGATAAAGGCGATAGTTAACAGAATACATTTGTGTCGATGTGAGTGGCCAGTAACTAGTCTATAACAAGCCTCTTACAGCAATTCCGGATGTTTTGGTTTGTGCTACAGCTGCAGGTTTAGTAAATAGCCTACGTGTTTTTCAGGAATAATTTTGTTAAGCTGGATGTATTTTATAATCAACTTAATAACATACTTATTGATAAGCATCCATCTTATTCGGTAAGTAGCCTAGTTGCGCCTGACATTGACGTAAAACTCCATTCATTCCATTTTCATTTACCTGACATCAACGGAACATTACGACGTGCGATCAATATAGCAGATAGGCCCCATAGATACAAGGGGCCTATGCCAAATTCGATACATGTATGAATAATCTGTATAATTTATTTATGATTTGCATATTCATGTCTATGTGATCAGATGCTTTATTTCTATCAAGGATACGCAAGAGACATCTTTGACTTGGTATGCTATTATGTTATATATTTTCAATGTTTATTTCGTCAATAAGCTTTTGATCTATCTCCTTTGATTAAAGGCACATTCCGCTTTTCTTGATGGTCGAAAAATTTTGTTGCTCAAATTTTTGAAAACTCTACACCATAATCTAAAGAAATGTGTCCTTTAACATATCTGAAAATTTTAACTAAAAAAATCCAGCCGTTAATTTTTAAACGCCAAAAATATTTCAAAACATTACGTAAGGTTTTTAAGTTCGTTATGCATTTTGGAAGCTGTTAGAAAACTACTGTACAGATTTGAATAAAATAAACGCCTAATTGTAGATTATACTTACTAGTGTTAAATATGGAATGTTTGGAGTGCTTGTGTAGTCGGACCATGTTCTTGAAGATTTAAAAGGGTCCATAATTTTTTTGGCTCTTGACGAGCACGAAAAGGGCCCCATATACTATGTTTTGTAGTATCGTTTAAAGGGTTGTTTGTCATATATATTTTTTATTTTATCTTTTCATTGCAAACAATTTAAATTATTTGTATTTGTAATTTTTCCACCGAAAAATGAAATTTTATTCTTGCTTACCTTACATCGACCATGTCGTTTTGGGAATAAAAAAGTTGATAGTGAAGACGATGGCAGATAGAAATGTTTCCTAACTCTGTTATGCTTGTTAGAAGATAAGGGAGTTAACCAATAATTTTAACATTTAGGGCTGCTCTGCAAGGTTGGATTAACAGCGTGTTTTACAACAGCAGCATAATCTTATTTGATCACTGTCCCTGAGTGATGATATATCTTCTCCATTCTTTGTTCATTATGGGTAACACTACTTGTAAGGTATTCGTCGAACAGTGGGCAAGATTTATTTACCCATGGAAGAATATCACAATGCAGTGAAGTTGTAGAAATAATAATGATGTAATATTTGAAAAAAAAAGACTCAAATATTGAATTATTCCAGTACAGTCCTTCAAAACCAACTGAATAATTGAAAAAGGTTAACAAGAATAACATATTATTTTATTGTATCACATTCTGGTTTAGCCACAATGGTCGTAAAGAAAATTATACATCACAGCAACATACACACATCAAATTTCAACATTGCACTTTTATATGTTTGCACTATTAAGTCTTAATAAAGTTTTTTTCCCCAGGCGAATTCTTTATTGCTAAATGTAGGAGGGAACTATTTTCAACACGTGATGCACTCCAAAAATTTCTAAGCAGTGTATCATCTGTCACTAATACATATTGAGTTGACACCACCAACAAGAACAATATTAAGTACCTCACCACAAATCAGTTTAAGACCCTTCTCAGATTCAACAGAATTGTTTGGCAAGAAGAACGACTCCCATCTTGTTCAGAAATCTAATTCGTCTTCCGGTGTTAAGGAATGCCGTCTGCTGGTGTTTGAATTACGTCGTTGATAGAAAGCTTTATCTACTGGATCGTTAGCTGAGACTGGCTGTTTTCCTGAAATTCAAAACATTCTAGTTGCGACAGAGGGGAGTTAAGTGGAGGACAGAGGGAGCAGTCCCCCCTCCCTCGCAGCCGAAGGTATGTTAGCTTCTTTAAGTACAATTTTAGCTTCTTTTCAGTACAATTTTAGCTACTTTTCAGCACAATGTTAGCTACTTTTCAGCACAAAGTTAGCTACATTTCATAATGAAATTGGACGTAGGGTTTGTCTTTAAAAATTTAAAGTCGCAAGAAATTTGTTCTATACCTACCCTCAGACAGTCCGTTCGTTACTCGTATCTGTCCTGTGTGGCCTGGAAATGAATAATTACGTGCTATAGTAGAAGCATGGGCCCCTTCTGGAGAACTACAGATGGAGAACCAGACAACCCAACTCTATGGCGCTATGCCAATTCTTTCATCTCACTTCCCTATTCGAACCTACCCCTTCAAATTCGTTCGATAAAATAATGTCAACTACAGTTCCTCTGGGAGTGCCACTTTTTAGACTTCTTATGAAGAATGGTTAATTTACCTGCAAGATTATTGTAACGTGAATAAAATTTGGTATCGGCGTTGAACGTTAATTTATCATCATGGACTCCATCTTTATTGACTCCAACATTCTTCTTGATACTCCAGACTGTATCTAGGTCTACTGGGTCACCTGAAATATTGATGTAAGGTTTGATTTTATTGGTGAAGAGCTGAATCAAGTTCTTTATTCTCGAAACTTTACCAATATAAAATCCAGATTTTCAGAAATACAGGATAAACTAAACGGATGATTGGAACACAAAAAATACCTCAATAAGTTTGACGAAAATATATTAGGTATGTATTTTGTTGTTGTTACAAAATCCCTTTAAATCATAGCTTATTGTTGTTCGACTACGTTTCTCTTATCTATATCTAAATTTGTCTGATTTCAGTAAAGAATTTTGAATGTTGAAGTTAATGCGAGTTAAATATACCTCATGCTTCCGTAAAAATGTCAAGACATCAGCAATCGATTTGTTGCAACAAAAGAGTTACAAAAATGCTGTTTTTTAGCATACAGGGAAAATGAATTAGATGAAACAGCATAAAATCAATGAATATTCAATGTAAATATCTGTAAATGCCACAAACCATCATTTCATTCAAGTCCTAATGCACCATAGTGTATATCTATATGAAGGCAACTCACCCTTTTCTTTTTTACGAGATGAAAAATGCCATTCTCGATTTTCAGCTTGATCTTTTGGTTTTGGTGGTCCATTATACAGAAACTTCTTTGCTGATCCTATAATAAGTCAAACTGATGTATCACTGAAGAATCTTTAAAAGGTTAAAGTCGTCTAGGCAGTTTTTTTTATCTGCGTGACTTGTTATGAAGTTATAAAGAACATTGAAAGAAATTTTCAAAAATCACAACGTGTTCATGGATATATTGGGTGGTCTTATGATTGGGTAGGGATAGATTTGGTCGATTAAGTGCTCATATTTTGGAAGACAAGATAGAGTTTCTAAATTTGAAATAAGGAGAGGGTAAAAGTGAGTTTTAAATCTAAAACATACCTTCCTTCTTCGACATGTTCTTAATAAAAAAAACAATCAGACCAAATACCACTTGAATTGATCCAATTGATCACAATAACACCTATACAGAGGATTGGTAATAAGTTTTAACCTAGATATATCTAGGTTGTATTAATCTAATTAAATATTTCATTAGACAATAATAATACAGTCCTTCAACACTCCATGTGTTTAAATAACTACGTTTATTGCATATCGATTATCACTGAGTTTGATCGGGAACCGTTCTGGTTGAGAACACACTATTTCCGATGATCAAGATGACTGGAATTCTTTTAGTACTCTCGAAGGGAAATCGATTGGTATATTTGAACTCCCTCATCTGTTTCTGATTCCATACGAATCTGCTCTAATTACAAATTGGTGCTGAAAAAGACAATTCATTCGAAGTTTTAAAAACATACCGAAAGAATTTGCGGAACATAAATTCGTATTTTCTTTCCAGGGATAGAGATGTTTTCTATAATAAGTTTAGGCATGGATTGTTGACTGACGTCACAGAGATGTTGATTTTTAAAATTTCAGATGATTTAACCTTTTTTTTTGTAAATATTGGGTTATTAATTTTGTAATAAGTTACCTCCCTTGAATATAAAAATTATATAGGCCTACTTAAATTTCCTATAAATTATCTCCCTTATAAGTTGCCTCTCAATTATTAGCATCATTGGCTGTAGGATGGGCTTCTGTGTCCGCAGTATCGGTAAGAACATAACAGCCAAAATGTTGTTCTTGGACTGGTATCGTTCATATTTGAAGGGCATGTAGAGATATTACACAAAATCTTTGTAAAGAAAGTGGAGTATTAATATGGTAGAATTTATTTTAGCCAGATAAAATGTCTACATCCGAAAATGACACCATAATCGCTTTAACAATTCTAGAATTGCAGTTACGCTAAATGAACCTATACGACAAAATTTCAGAAGAAATTTTTTTATAATTCATTCTTCGTAACATGAGGAAATTCTATCTTTAATATTTAACGATAGGCCTACATCTATAACAGAAGTAACTATAGAGACTGTCTGTATTTTATTGTTAATAAATAGAATAGATTATTACATTGTAGTTAATCAATATAAGTTTCATTGAAGTTTTCCTTCTTTTGAAATCTTTAGTGAGTATAATTGATCTTACAATTGAATTGTGTAATGTTTTAATCTGAAGTAAATGTTTAAACGTTTTCTCACCTAATGCAGCCCATAGCTCATTAAAGCCTGTGTTGTTGAACAGCTTTTTAAAAGCATGCACTGTGTGATAATCCTTGCTAATGGTGTCGAAACATTAGACAAAGAAATCAATTTTATCAGATGGTGTTGCATTATCAAATTTGTATTGCAGATTCGTTTTCATTGTGACGTCAGTGATGTGTCTATGAATCGGTAGGTAATGTGGCCGAGCAGAGAAACAGGGCGCACCGAAATGTCGAGTAGATACAAAAGAAACGTCACTTTATACGAAGGGAAATAATCCTGTTTGAAAAAAATCTAGCCTAACATTGTCACAAATTGTAACTGTCTTATTTCCAAGTCCTGTTCCTCCAGCAGGAATTTTTGAGAACATTTTAGATTTCTAGTCATCTGATTGGTGGGTTTTGTAGACATCTGAATGGTCAATCACTAAAATTCAATTATAAGCTAGTTTTATTTACCAATCGAATTCGTTTACTGTGTTTCTTAAAATTTAATCTTGATCTTAATTTCTGTGTAATACGATTTTTTGCAGATTATACATGTATTATGAATTAACAACAGCTTGTGATTGTGCGAATTGAAGAAGACCTATTCATGTTCCGCTATATCATAGATGATTAGACTATATTTTATGGAAAGAAGTTTAAGGATTTATGATTTTCATGATAAGAAATGATATTGTTTGTTGTTTTTATGTGTATCGGGGACACCGGTAGCAACTTACACCGTTCCAATTTTCAATCAAACGTCTGTGGTTCCTACAATTTCACAAAAAATAAGTGTTTGATGACGTCATTAATCGCAAATTATGATCTATCACATACATACCTTCGCGATAATTGACGTATTCAAACACATAGTTGTAGTGAAATTGCAGGGATCACGGTCGTCTGACTGAAAATTGAAATGGTGTAAATTGATGCTGTAAGTGTTCCCGATACACATGAAAAGTTTAACAAACCTCTCTTACATTATCTTTAAGTATTTGTAGGCCTACTTTAATGTATAACTTATGAAGTGTATGAAACATGAAATGGCTATATTGAATGTTGTAATTTGAATTCTATAAATCTATTTATGTGTTTATCTAATGATTTACTCAGATAATAACCTTGGTGAAAATTGATGACACAATAGTTTGATTAACCAAGGAATTGAAAAATGACGATTTAAATAACGATGAGCATGCGACGGGGTCTTTTCAGTTTGCACCAGTCTCCCAAGACTGAGGGTACAAACAGAGGGATACTGGTTCAATGGCGGGACAACTGTCGAACCTAAATTCAAAATGCGTCTGTGGAAGCGGCATAAGTGCATTGTTTGTTTTTATCGTAAAATGGTGTAGTAGAATTTTTTCTACTATCATATGCGTATCAATCTATCAAAATGCATGTTTCGATTCGCGTTTTTGAGACGGATGACTTAATTTGCCTTCCACCAAGAATCAAGATCTGCATTTAATCTACTTGTATTTTTAGATTTCAGAACAGAACTCCCGCTGTTTAAAACTCAAAAGACGCTGATATATTACATTGTACGAGATCATAGATGTAGAACTATTTTGTCCATTGAAAATCAGCTTCTCAAGAATATTTTCTGTAACTATTGAAAATGGCCACTGTTTGAGTGATCTCAGTTTCTCAGATTCTTCGTCTCCCAAATTAAAAAAAAGCTTAAAGTGACCGACATTAAAACCTTGTCCACAAAGTTTTTTTCGAGACAAGTTAATAATCATTTCGAATATTCATTCTAAAATGTCTTGTGTTGTCAAACTTGATCTCGTTTTAAAGATTTTGCTTCTTCACAGAATCCGATTTGCTGATCCCACAGAAACAAATGTCCTTTAAAAGCACCTGCTATATAACACGTGTTAGTTGTAATAATTTTATAGCAACCTACCTTTAGGACGTCCTTCAGTGTTTGACTGTTGTTTTGTATGAATGTAGACTAGTTGTTTATGGTAAAGATCGACTTATTGACTGGTATTCTTCTTTCTTTTATTTTAATCCCCTAAACTCATGAATATTGATACCTTTACATGTCATTTACATTAGTCTAGTGTTCGTTTCTTAAGCCGCCATTATAGCAAACAGTCAACAGTAACACTGTGGTGATTTAAAACAACAGTAAGAAATAAGATAGTCTATATGTAGGCCTATATTGTAATTATACCAGGTACTATATAGGTATTGATTATCTACTGACGTGCTGTTCTATTTAACTGCCTATTAGTATTGATTTATGGTGTTTATTTGTAGTTTTGGTCAGTGGCGGCGCCAACCTGGGGGTACAAATAGCGGGCAGAGAGACTCAATATGGGACAACACTGTCGATTTCAAAATGCGCATCTCTGGAGTCCAAGAAAAATATCCAAAAATAGAATTAATTTGGTGCATGACACATATTTTAAGGATAAAACGCACAAAAATCATAGATTATTACAGTTTCGCTATTTTCGGAGGTTTATTTGGGTATTGAATAATTGCAAACAATGTTCAGAATTACTAGAAGTGTACATCATTCAATTCCTCATAAATAACCCAAACTAAGAATTTCATTTTCTATATCTGTAAAGAAAAGACTATTTTTAACTTTCAAATGCGGATAATTCTATACTCACACAGTGTTTTGAAGACTCAAATTTCGACAGTGAGCTGTGAACACTATTACCGATTAACTTGGCGAAATCACTCACTCTTTTCATGTGCTTTATATTGCGGACACGAGCATAGAGGAGAGGGGTACAAATAGTCGAAAAGTTTCAGTGTCACAGGTGTAGTATAAAAGTAATTAATGGACAAAAAGGATTGGATGAAGCAACATTACATGCGAAGTATCATTATGTTAATTATGAAATTAAATATAATCCATAAAATTGTATCCAGTTGTTATATATCGTGTTATTTGAAAATTTGCGACAGATTTCCGCTAAAGAAAACCATAAAAAGTATAATTTACCTTTATTTGGCTTAATTTTTCGTTAATAATCATTCCATCAATAATTACATCAATTTAATATTGGCATCGTAAGATTTTAATTTCAGGATTTAATCTTAGTCATTACCAATAGAACCATCGTGTTCTCTCATTTAGATATAATATAATATATTAGATTAAATAACGCTTGTTTGTGTTTTGCATTGCCATTATTATGTTAGACAAAATGTGACACGAATTCATTGTGGGTCTTACAGTGAAGTCCGCGCTGAAAATTTCTATGTAAAAAACAACGACAGCCTTAGTTTGTAACCAATTTGCATAACATGCTAATATTCAAAATAATTGATCTAGGTCTAAGATTCTATACAGCAAATTAATTTGGTTATGTAAACGTTTATCAAAATATTACAGTTATTAGTGATTACAGCGACGTCCGCGTTGCATAAGAAAAAACAAATGATAAACCCTTACAGAGACCTTATAATACGATTTAATAGATTTCATTTACTTCACCCTTCTGTTATTTATGAATACAAACAAATATAGTTTTAACATGATAATGAATAATTTCACTTTCTGGCACTAATAATATTATGATATACATTTTATACATTCATTTATGGTATAAATAAACATAATGCATTCAGTATTTATGCTTTTATGCGATTACTTTTGTATAATCACACATGATCACAAACGGATTAACAACAGTTTCTGACTTCGTGTTGTAATTTCATGCATCATTTAACTTATAGCTGTACTACAAATACATGGAAGCTTTGTATTTTGCAAAACATAAATCACGAGGAAACGCCAGATTAACCTGATTATAGCAAGTGTTAACCACTTTTTCCTTTATGTACAATCGGCGATAGTCTCAAATTGACATCCATTCACCGAGGAAAAGCTACGAAGGCACTTCACTGACTTCTCAGAGGATAGATTCCATTCAAGCACAAGAAAACATTTCACAAGATGCTCAAAGAGAACATTAATGCTTTCATATTATTATGGGACTATTTCATTGTATATACATTACATGATAAACTATACATCAATATCATCATCGTCATCATCAAATTCAAAATTATGTTCTATCGATATACTTCTTGGTTTAACTGGTTTCCGAGGAACAAGTTCACTGGTAGCCATTGGTTGAAAGTCAGAATCCTCATCTGAATCAATGTCTTCTAAAGCTTTCACTATATCATCATCAGTAATTGCATGGTCATCACTATCACTACCAGATAAACTGAGTTGACTCACAGGTTTGGCACTTGGAGAGGCAATATTCGTCGTTATGCTTTCATTTTTTAAAGGCAGATTGTCTTGTGACCTTATAGCCGAATCTGGACTAGATGCCACACTAGAATTGGAGCGAGACGGAGATCCCGGTTGTGACTCGGACGTAGATGGTATATTGACAGCACCAGCAACATGGGGACTATGCAAAATTTCGTCGGCCCCACCAACATGGGGACTAGCAACATTTAGTTCTGGGTTGATCATATATTCACCTTCGTCATCAGAGGACAGTGATGCAATGGATGAAATTGTGGTTGAATGAACACTCACACTATCAGCTGTGAAGGAATTATCATGAACTGTTGGACGAGACAATCCTTCTTCTACTGGATCGTTTGGTGACCTTAAAGGTTCGTCTTTAGGATCATTTCCCGGCAATTCGTTTGAATCAATAATGGAAAGACTAGAGTCCTTGTCGGATTGACTTGCAACATTGTCCGATTCTGCTAAACTAACACTTTCATTATACGGATCGTTAGGGTCTTCGAAATTTGGTTTTGATTCTAGTGAGTTGGTGTATGTGTTTTCTAGATTTCCGGAGGAATGTGTTGAATCATTATGTTCATCATTATTGGATGGACTTTGTTGTAAAACAGTGGTCAAATCTGCTCCAGAGAGCCTTGCATCTGGTTCTTCAATACCTCTTACATCTTGTGGATATTCCTCTGGGTTCACCACTTCGATATTAATAACGCTCAGTTCATCTTCAGAGCTTGATTCATTTTTACCATTGTCAGCCAAATCAGACCTCGATCTTTTCTTTCTACGTCTTTTCCTAATACCCTCACCAGAACTCCTCGATCTGGTTGATGTTTTGGATGAAGATGAAGAAGACGAAGAAGATGATGAAGATGACACAGTGTCCGAATGCGACCGCATTATCATTTTATCATCCGTTGGGAGTATTGCATCATCGACTAGTTGGCTTCCATTGTGACTCAAGCTTTCATCGTTGATTGAGTCATTCTGATTGTGTTCAAGGGAATTATTAGGCATGTCTGTGTCAGATAAGAATATCTCTTTGGATCTCTCGCCTGGGGCAATAGCATCATACTCATCCAATGCTTCAATTTCTCCCCTCAAGGACGCTACACTTTCACTTTTATTTTTAAGTTTTAAAGGAATGTCTGTCACAGATCCATTATCTGATAACTCTGCATCCTCCAGAACGTCTATATAGTAAGAATCATTACTGACACTGGAATGATGTGACCCTTCTGCATGACTTTCTGAACGTGTTTCTTCAGAATGACCTGAGTCAACCGAGGAATTCAAAGTAAATTGGCCTTCGTTTTTGATTTTGTCACTTTTCAATGAAATGTCACTCGATTTGCGTGGTACTTCGTTCTTCAGCTCTGTCTCAGAATCTCTTGTTTTTAATGAAACAATATCACTAGATGAGGAGCTTTCGTTTCGCGATACAGAGATTTCAATGTCTTTTTTATCATTGTTAAATTGAATCATTGTAACATTGTCTGCAGATTGCGATCTGAAACGTGCTGAAACGGCTTCTGAGGCCTTCTTTGGAGCTTCATCCTGTGTATACGCACGTGTTCGTTTCACGGATTCTGGGACAATAGTTTCGGTGTTCTTCAGGAAATGTTCTTTGGCATTTTTGAGGTTATGTAGTTCCTCTTGAGAAAGATGGATTTTATTTTGAGTACCGTTATCACTAACAGGGTCATGTTCCTTATCATTGGATGGTTCGTGTTCATTATCACCTGAAATATTATCACTTTCTGTTTTTATCGCTTTAGCTTTAGAATAAATACTGTCTTCTGATTTTGAACTACTAGCTGAGGCAAATTCGGTTTCCATCCAATTATGGTGTTCGTCTAAAGATTTGAATAAAAAGCTCTTTCGTTTCACTAGATCGTCTCCATCAGAGGGGTTATAATTCTTAAAATCTTTTTCGGTCTCAAATGCTAGATTATCATGTCCCGATCTGGTATTCAGACTCACAGTTGAAACATTTTTAGATGTCGCATCTTTGAAGTAATCATCAGCATCTTGCCGAACCAAAGATAACGTGGAATGTGTGTTTTGATAATCTGGGTTTTCAAATTTACCAAAATCTCGTCCCAGTATCATTCTGACAGGATACTTTCGGCGATACCATTTATAGAACACAAAGCCAGCAATGATAAACAATATTAACAAAGGTATTGTCACGCCAATGGCTATCTTAGTCGCACCATCATCATCGCCCTTCTGATCTGTATTGCCAAGAAACGCAGTCGTAACGTTAGCCGTAGATGTAACAGGTGTTGTGGGTTCACTTGTTTCTAAAGTTGAAGGAACAGTAGTCTGAAAAGATAAAGGGGTAAATTTTATATTGGAAAGAAAAGAATTAATCTTGATAATAAAGTCTAAGCATTAAAGCAGTAACCATTTTAATTTTCTGCAGGCAATATTAAAGTTAACGACAGATATCTAGATCGAGAATGGATTTCAGTTACGGCGATCAGCTGCTTTTACATTTACTTTACATTACTTGTACCTCTTATACTATGTGTTTTAGATCTTTAATTTCTATCCCGTGTATTCGAAATTTCGAAATGAGATATCTTGGCAGTTGTGTTGAAGGATTTTTTTTTACTTTTTAAAATGTGTTTGCAGACACAAAGATTATATCGGGCCCTAGACTGTTATAATTAACATACTAAAAACCACAAAACTGTTGTTACATATTTAACATGAGTTTCGGGTAGAGTGTAGTACGGAGACGGATGAATCAGGTCCTTTTTGAAAGAAGAAAAGAGTACACTGCGTTTTCCATTTGTAAAAGTTACTTTGTATGTTATCTTCATAATTAACTCTCACTATGACCTTTCTGTTGTGTAAAGAAACAAGTGAATCTAGTGGATTTCCGTCATTTTGTTAATTACTCTCTATGGGAAATGATAAGAAAACATAATATGACAAATGGTGAAGATATAAACTTTAACCTACAGTTCCTTGTATAATATGTACTCATCTTATTTCCCAAACTTGTAACAAGCCTTGCTGTAACTTCCGCCAACTTTTAACATTGACCGATCACGTCTATCTAAACCGATATTTAACCCTTTCAACGACAATCTAGTTAACTTTTAACCGACAATCTCATTCATCTTCCCACTACATATATTTAAATTATTAAGAATTTGAAGCTATAAAACTTTAAAAATTAATTTGCTAATAGCGCTGGGATACCAATGATATCCGGGTTTGCGGATTTTGTTAAAATAACCTGTGAAAATTGAATTTTTAAATAATTTGTCTCTTTTATTTGCATATTTTGCTATAGTTAATTTTGTTTTTTTTTTTAAAAATACAACATGCTCAGTTTCGCCTCGATAGTATTTCACCAAAATGCAGAAAATCAAATTTCGGACATTCCATACCTGATTTAGATCTAGACTTGTTGAAGTATCCATATCCCAAATAATAAATAATAAATAAAAATAAGTATAAACTTATTGGCCTGAAGGCGAGCAAGTTGAAGCTTCCTAGTTTAATTATATTATTAATCATAATAAGTTCATTAAGACTATAATTACTAGTGAACTAATTACTGATGAGCTTTTCAACCTTAATGTGTCATATTTTGTAAGAAAATGGCTGTTGACGCTTTTTCTGGCACATTTTTTGTTTTTATTTGGTGCAGGACCACGCAAGAGCAGAAAATCTCATAATTATGAAACTTCGTTGTCTTCGAAAGATTATATACGGATTAAAAGCCAACACCCCAGTGACTTTCAGAGACAGTGGTCTTAGCCGTGAAACTATCAGATAAAATATTACTAATAAGACAGGTTGATTCTTGGCTACTTATGTGGTACAATTATTTAAAAACATTTTTTCACAATTAGAGCGACTGTGATATCTAAAATATTATATCTATATAGAGAATATCACTGACCTTGTACTCTGAATATAATAGTTAGTTTCAGGTAAGGTATTGATGGGAAACAACTCCATATAAACCATGTTCTTAATTTCTCACGTTATGTTATTGTTATTGTGACACAATCATCTACCCCAAACCATTGTATCATGTATAATTTCCCCATTGTACACTGTATTGGTTTGTCTGACGCAATTCTCCAGGAACCCAAGAAAAAGTTTTATCGTGATGGGTACATTCATTGTGAATTTCGTTTCAACCCATGTTGTCATTTTATTACATTTTACTTGTCGGGCATTTTTTTTCAAACATTTTTATCCATTTTTACTTTTTGAAAAATTGACTTCGACATAGGTCCAATATTGATATATTGCTAATAAATGTTAACAATATGTTTAAACAGCGAGATCGTGGCGAGTTGGAAGATGAACTGGCAGATTGTCATGTCTCTAGCACCCATTATCAATACTATTTATATTTACTTTCACAATATGACAAGTTAAAGTGGTAGAAAAAAGACAAAAATAAACAAATAAAACAAGAAGAAAGAGAGAATCTTGAGAATTAAGACGTCAAACGATGGTTGATTGTTTAACAAAGTGTTGAACACAAACTTAAAGTTAACTATCTATATCAACAACTGATCGTATATAAAACGTTTTGGATTACAGATTAACAATGTCGCTGCCTCCACACCTCAAATTTGTCTGATTTTCTTACAAAACGGTAAATTTAGTTTATGCTTATAGATAAGTGACTTAGAAAAATGCAAACAACAGAAAACAATTCTGAAAGTAATTGGTATCGTTACATAATTACACCATGCACAAAGAGCAAAAACCAATTCTTTAAATTGAAGTAGTGACTCGTCAGTATATAAAAATAATTATATGACTGCTGTTAGGTCATGGGTGCTTTCAAGCATTCTCAACACAATACATTATACAATTTACCTAAGAAGACTTTCTCGAGTTAAAGCATAGCTTATCTAATACGAGATACATACCGTTATCAAAGTTGTAGATGTAATTGTTGTTTGTGTTGTTGAAGTCGTTGCCTGTGGTGTTGGTGTTGACACACCAATAGCATCAATAACAACGTACTTGATGTAAAATCCTCGGAAATTGATGGGTTGCTGCGTTGGGCCATGATAGAGGATTTCAACTTTATTTGATGTACTAACAGCATTTATAGAATTGGTTTCTCCAGTGATTCTATCAAACGCTATTCTACTAGCATTCACAACGTCCGAAAACTCCACAAAACTCTGATCATCGTTGGGAATATCGAAGTATAAACTGGTGAATTGTATGGCTTGACCTACATATGCTACTATTTTCCACGTGCATTCTATATTTAGTTTTAGCACAAACTCCATAGGGAAGGATGGATTGACCAATGCACCAGATGGTTCTGTTAATGCTATAGGGTTTGAGCAATTTGGAATAATACATGTTGGAACACGGGCACTCCAAGCCCCACCACCATTACTTTGTCTTTGACACGTTATGATTGAAGCACCTTGTATAAGAAATGGTTCGTTGCAATCAAATGTTATATTAGAATTGATATTAACGTCCGAGCCATTCCGTATTCCATTGACAGGACTGTCTGGTTGAATACATGAAGGGATACATTCGGGTACAGCAGATGACCAAACTTGTAAGGAATTATTACTGATACACGTGGCGGTTTGTGAACCTTCCAATCGAAATCCTGGGTCACATGAGTAATCTACTGAAGATCCAAGAAATAGAGAGTCTCCCAATACAGAACCATGATCAGGTTTTCCTGGTGCTTTACATGACTCCTTTAAAGAAAACACTTGGTATCTGATAGAAAAGCCAATGATTTCTCCTTTGGGAATTCCTGTTAGATTAGCAGCAGCTTGAAACTCCAGCCATAAAACACTCGTATTGAAGGAAACACTAAATCCCTGTTGTTTTAAGCCACTATACACAATATCTGGATTAGTGTCCGTCAAAGTGGGATCAGATTGATAAGCAATCAACTCGTTTGATGATTGACCTTGGTTGGAAAGTGGAAGGTTGAAAGTAAGAAACGTTAGTTGAATTCCATCAAATGTATTTGCAACAATTTTCCATCTGCAGAATATATCCCGTGGATAATGTTCTGGAAAATTGGGTGTCTTTAGAGATCCTCTAGGTGTGGTGAGCACCTGTGTACATATTGGATTTGGTGTGGGTATAACAGGGTCATTGGCTCGCACCAATGTTAATATATAGGCAAGGATTAACACAAGCGCTGTGTTCAAGCTCTCCATCTTTTTCCTCTTATAGCATGTTAGAACTTCCTTTGCTTCATCCTCCCTTACATCCCATAGTTCAAATTTGTTCGGGCACAACCCACACGTTGAGTAATTTCTCTCCAGTATCTGTTATCATTGATTGGTAATATCATATCTGACTTCATCTTCTGTGTATATAAAAGGAGCTTTATCAACAGGTGAAAGTCCAAAGGGAGATAATTTTCTTGTAATCAGGTTTCCATTTCGAGGTTCATAATCATACCACTCCTTTTCATCACGAATCTGTTTATCTAAAATAGAAAGTTAGATGAAATGGGGTTATAGATCCTGTTATGTGAACGTTACTAACAAGTTGAAGACGAACTTCTTTTTTCTCCTTAAATGATCCAAGATGCGGAGTATTGGAGCGAGTGCTCCGAATTTGTCAACATATTGAATTAATGACGTCACTAATCCCAGATTTGTAATTTGAACCCATAGAGTCTAATTAATTGTGGGTTATGTCATAAATATATTCCAAAATAGTTTTTAAACGATGTCGAGATTCTTAATGTATTTTATCACCTCTAAGCTATATTTAATCTATAATTAAAGTGCGTATTTCATGATTCATGTCATGTTTTCTCCTAAATAGGAATCGACACTTATAATAGCTTATTCCGATAGCACCATTCCGATTTCAACTGATCAGGAAATTCCGCAGACTCTAATAATTCCAATCTTGCCTAGATAATGACGCCAATATCCTAGGAAATTACATATTGTTGCATTAAGTGATACTGGTGAGATACTCAATTACATTACATCATAATAGGCTTTGTGAAAAAAAATCATAAAACCCCAATTGAGAAGTAGCATAAGGTGCCCCAGAGGGATGAGCATTAGTGGTATTTGGTTTCCAGATTATTGGAAGTGCAAACCTTCCTTTCAGTTGTATAATAGAGTCTGGGTGTGTATACCTAATTAAAATATGAGAAAAACTTGTAAAACAATTGATATACGATCAATGATATTATAATAAAGGAAAACTGTACTTGAAATTAGATTTAAAAGCTAATATTTTATGATCTACATTAGAGTTTATAAAACATAAAAGTATTTTGGTAATGTATAATAATATTTTCCTACTTTTTTTTCTAACAGAAAATTGCCGACTAACAATTTGAGCTACATTGTTTCGTATGAAGTCAATATCAGCTACAGTACATTTATATGGGTGGAAGGTGACTCCCGAAAGCACTGGTCATGGGATAATATTTTTCTTTTCTTTTTCGTACACAGTTTCGCTGTATAATAATGTACATCAAGCATAGTTTGAGAAAAGATTATGTATGCAGGTTTATCTTAGAAATTAAAAGAGAATCTGAATGTATCTGAATGATTTAACTCTTACAATAATTATGCTTGATAAAGACATATGGATACATGTATCGAATATAAAAAAGGGAGGTGAGTCCCAACCTTTTCCCTTTCCACCATTTCCTTTTTTTAAATGAACTTGCCGGAATAGCCTCATGGCGAAAAATATCATTAAACAAAGTCATTAGCAAGTAAGGTCATTAATAAGTAAAAATCATTAATGATTATAACACATAGATACAGCGTTCAATATTTATACATTGCTGTTTTTACATGTCACTAAACATCGTCGTCAAGCTGGCATCGATTAGGCCTAATATTCTCATTTTTCTTTTCGTTTAAACACAATCGTGGAATTTCTTTACATATCCTTATACATGCTAGTTTAAAAACCATTCATAGTCTTATATAAATCTGTTTATAGGTAGGCATAATTTGTTTGGAAAAATAAGATAGAACAGGACTGGAATAATTCTGCCTAAGAGAAGACCACACCCTTGCATGCATTATGCACCTTGACTTGTAAGCCTTTTGCATAAATATAGAAATTCTGAACTTCAAAACACTATCCTAATTCATAATTTTAATTATTAATTTATATTATAAGGGGGCGTTTTCTTCATTCAGTCGTATATCAGTAGGTCTAATAATTAAATATTGCAGTTCTTTTCCTTATGACAATCTTCGTAGAGCACCTTGGGCAATCATTCAGAATGACAGATATCTAGGTCCATAAATGTGAGAAAATGAAAATCAAATACAGACCTGTCAAATTAAGTGTGAAATCCGATTATTTACTTCGAAGTTTTTAATTACCTCGTTAACTGGAGCAGTGATGGATTGTCAACCGTAAATAATCAAAGGGGTGTTTCCGTATGATCACGTGACGGGGGAAATCTCTGACGTCATAGATTTCGGCGCCATGTTTAAAGTTGGGAATTTCCTCAGCTGAATGAATGTAACACGAAGAAAGAAAAAAAACTTGTTGATGAAATTTGAGAGGTTTTGTAAGTGTTTTATTATAGAATAGGTTAGATTAAGGAGTCATTATTACAAATCTTCCATGGTTTAAAACAAATAAGACTTATAAAAAGTGAAATGTGAGCAATCAATGGCTCTGATCTCACTACTTTTTTATGGTAATTCGGAATACCTTGCAAGATTAAGAAGATCAACAAACACAAACAGTGCAGACAAATAGGCATCCGTCGCAGATGTTCAGTTAGCAAAAGAATAGAAAAGAGCTATGATAATCTTTGCTTAAGCATTAATTTCATTTTAGTCTACCCTATGGCTATGGCTACATTTTTATTGATATTTTGCAACATTTTCTTTTTCTTTATATGAGACCGGTAGTCTAATTATGTATCACATATGAAGCATCCTTATATTATTTATAATTATATTGCAGACTGTAAATTAAGTAGGCTAAGAAAGAAACCTTCACCAGTGCAGTGACAGTGTCAATATGACAGATAAAACTGAACCCTTTTTTAAACAGTTGTATAAACTGACCCATCATATCGATACTAGTATCAGTGAACTCCATGGTAAACTAGAGGAGAAGGTCGACTATAACTGTGATAATAGTCAGTCTGTTGCTATTTTACATGATACTAAAAAGGAAGTGAGACAATTGAAGGTGGGTAAAAGTAGTGAAGAAATTTGATTAGTTACAGCAGATGTCATCAGATAAGGTAAATAGGTTAATTTGACCAACATTCAGTTAGACCCTAACTGAATTGGCTATATTAAAAATTGTTAAAAATAACTCTTGCAATTGATTGGCATTTATATTCCTTCAAAATATCATGAAGACAGATTTAGGTTAATGTGAGCAGTTAAAGGGAAATAACTCGTTTAATTTTACTTTCAGAAAGAAGCTCAGTCAACTTTCACAGATTTTTCATGCAATGGTAAAAATTTTGGCAGAATTTTATCAGCTTGTCAGAGTTTTATAGATTCCTCTAGAAGTCAGTTGAATAAAATAGAGGAACATTTATCTAGTTATGGCTACACGAGACAAGGTGTGTGTTTTAATATCCTACTTATCTTACTTAGGAGTAGATTTTCACTTTCTGAACATATCTGAAGATTATCTGTTTACATGACTAAATAATGTGCTTAATCAATTGCAAGACTTCCTTTTGAGCTGTTAGGAGTGAAATCTTTCCATAAAATCACGTGTTACAGAAAACTCAATTGGAGTTGATAAAGCAAATGTTTAGATAAGTATATCCATTTATTTGATATGATTTTTAGTTTCTCAATCTAACAAAATGTCCAATACAGCTACAGAAACCGAGAATGAAGATACTGATGAAAATGATGATGATGAAGATGTTGATAATGAAGATTATGATGAAGGAACATATGTTGTAAAAAATGGAAAATCTAAAGACATGTATCCTTTTAGTCTATTCATTTAGTTTAATGTAAAACTGGTTTCACCATCAGATTTTTGAATATGTTCAAAGATATCTAAGTATCATTTATGTTTAATCATGCTAAGTTTAATTTCATGTTTGATTATATTATCCACTATAATAGACATATTGGGAGCAGAAAACTATGAGTTAAATTCATAGAGACATGGATTGTTAATTATAGTTTTATTATAGTAATACACTGCTAACTGACAAACAGTACCAACTGTTCTGTTGATTCCAGACTTATATCTATGTCAGGGGTTTTCAACCTGCTGGTAATTAATTCTAAGATGGTTATTTTGGGAGGTATTGAGGTGCTTTTGAGAGAAAGGCTAAGAGAAAAATATGAAATATTAAGGATTTTGTTATCTCAAAAACTTATAAACTTTTTTTTAACATTTTACATGAATTTGATTTTAGATTTTGAATTGCTTTTGAATATTGGAAACCATCCATACAATTTCTTTCAATCAATTGCTTTATGATTTCCTTAATGCATGAAAGCACGACACCATCTCCAACCAAAAATAAGAAACCTGACCTCAGTAAAACACCTAAATTAGAAGATTTTGGTATTAGTAGTTATGGTATGCAGGCTATGTTTAGATATACACAGAATAAACAACCTTCAGTAAGGTAAACAGATAGGTCATTTTCAGAGGGAAACAATCCCAATTTTAAATGTAGAATGTATTTCATGGAGATTTCACATAGTTGTTAATGATTGCTTTGCTTTGGATTGCTTATTGACTGAAGCATACTCTATCTTTTAGTAGCTTTAAATAGAGGCATGCATGAATTTAATTTCTATTCCTTTTGATATGCAACAGCCAACAAATCTAAATGGATACCAGTTTGGTTGATCAATATGGATGAATTAGATATACATCTTTTTGTAAATTCTAATAGGATTCAATTTACAGATGAAGTCTTTTTGAAGACATGATTTTTGGATAAAAAACCCACATCTTTAGCATTTAGTTTCAAACGATTTATATTTTTAGACCAAGTGAAATAAAAGATGAAGCAATGGAACCACCATGTGGCCATTACCATAATAGGATAGATTCTGTACCCCAGGCATTTCAACATAATGGTCTGACAGTAACACCTAGTATAGTGGGAATGTTTCAATGGCCACCACAAACACCAGATAGTTGTACACCTGCACCATCATGTAGGTTTATTTTACCTTCTTTATTACAAATAGAGTGCTTCTTGTCAGAAACACTGTAACATTAAAGAGACTGTAGTTGTTCTAGTGAATATGTAGATAAATGCACTAAGAACACTGGTTGACGTTTTTGCAGTTTTAAAACATTGGGCTTAATCAAAATAAGAATATTTTGATGTCTGATGTTTAAGCTATCAATTGTATAGGCTTTGAGTCATTGCTTTAAACTATTGATAATATATCAATAATATAACTATCAATTGATAAATAATTTCAGTTAAGAAGGGTCTGTACTATCAAAATAACACATTCAGTCCAGAAGTTTTCAGTCAGAAATCAAAAACATCACATCTGGAAAGTCCAGTACCACCAGCCTTTCGCACACCAGGAATAAATCAGTTGAATAAAGTTCAGATAAATAATGCAGTTCTACCACAGCCATCTTTTACAACAGACCTAGATAGTCCAGCACCTCCAGTCTTTCAAACGCCTGGTATGTTATGTGTGATTTTCATTTTGTATAATGATTAGTCTTAAGAGATGTTTAATGATATTCTTGAACCCTTTTTCAATCCTTTTAAGTCACTATCTCTTATCTTTAAACCTAGAATAATTTTTTCCTTGATTTCTGAGCAATGTTCATTTGAGAAATATTTGTTTTGCTCTGATCAAATAAGTTTCTCAAATCCAAGGTCAATAATTCATATTTTGATTTTCGATAGGTTCATCCTGGGGTAATTGCAAACAGTCACACAAAGTTTTGTCAAAATCTGTCAAGGACTGTGCCTTCTTGAGTATTTACATGCTTAATATTTAATGCGCTTTCAAGAATTTACAATTTTTGTGATTTTCAACAGGGTGCATCATTGGGTGATTACAAACACTCACACCAATTTTGTCAAAAATCTGTTAAGAATTGTGTCTTCTATGAGCTAGAAATTAAACACGTTAAATTACTTACTTACTAATTTACAGGTATGAAATATTCAGGTAATATAATAAAAGAAAGTATGAAACACAGTGAGCTATTAGAGAATAAAGTGAGTCATGATTATATGTTAGAAGAACCAGAATTACCAGAATTAACCATGACATTCCAGGTAGAATTGATTTACGTCTTTGTAACTCATTAGTAAGGAGATACAGTCTTTTTTTTCTCTGCTTTTTCATAGACACATTTGAAATTTTCAATCTCTTCCATACCCTGCTATGGAGATGGCACATGTTTGCTTATGTTCCCTATTACCCTAAGCTTGACTTCCAGGGTGATCAGTGTTTCTTACTCATAGAATTTTCAATGTGTGTGCATTTAGCTTTGCATATCAAGTTTGGCATCCACCATTGACTTACACCCACCATTCATCTATATATCTTTATTGATTGTTTCAGGATATCAGCCAGTTAACAAGTTATAAAAATAAGAAGACTACTGCCACTGCTGAAGAAGTCAATGAACCACAGAAACCTTTAGGATTGAAGGCTAAGTTTGGTTATGATGCAGATATAGCCACTCCACCTCATTTAGAACTACTATCATCAAGATTGATCAAGATGGGTATTGCACCAAGTAATTCACCATATAAAACTCCACCTCAACCCACATTATTGAGTAGATATAGACAGAGAGGCAATCAGGAAAATATTGCTCCTTAATTTTTATCCTGTAGACATTTAGTGGTCTATATAATCTAATCTACAGAGCCCCTAAGGCGCAATTGTAAACATATTTATTTATTATTTCGTTTAAACGAATTAATTTTTTCGTCTATTTCGTTTAAACGAAATAATTAACCCATCTTCGTTTAAACGAATTAATTATTTCGTTTAAACGAAATAATAAATAAATATGTTTACAATTGCGCCTTAGGGGCTCCGTACTAATCTCTTGTAATCTATGTAATTGTTTAGTAGTTTCAGAAACTATCAATTTATTTGTAATCAAAATACAGAATTATTTCACTAGTCAGATTATGCTTGTTCTTCCATTACGCCTGATGTCAATCTACACATGGGTTTGTCAATTTGTAATCTCTTTTAAAAAAAATCTAAGCCATGTTATTGTGGTATTTTGATTACAGCTGTTTTTTTCAAATATTCAGGTTAGTAGACAGACACACACAGTGTATTTTTATAAGGGAAGATTTGTATAATATTTCTCTACAAATCAAATTAGTTATAGGTTGATATAACACAATGACATAAGATGAAATTTATTAACAATAGTAAAGTTATAGCAAAACAAAAAACTGATTATATGGATTGCATTTATAAATAATAACAAAATAAATAAAGGATTATTAAAATTGAATATCATTTTTTAGTCAATCTTGCTTATATATTCATAAATTTTGTTTCGTTTTTCAAATGTTAAAACTTGTATGATAGTAAAAAGGCAAGCTGGCAGTAGACCCGTTTTTATTAATAAAGTTAATTTAGTTTATTTTTTATAAATTCAAAAACTTTCTGGACACCTTCAGCTTGAATTTTTTGTTCAAATGTTGTCAGATCATCGGAGAAGGTTTGAGAATCTGATGATAATAATCCAAATAAGTTGTCTAGTTTGGTTAGATCAGGGCGAGTACCATCAAGTTTAAACTGTAGAGGATCAAACCCTGCTGTCTGGAGTTGGGTCACCATTTGACCTTTAGCATGTTGACCTCTTAAGAATGACACAAAGACTAACTTTGCTGGATATACCTCTTTATAATATTTAGTATATAATTCACAGAAATTCATATTGTTTGCTTTTCCATTTTCTTCTTCATCTGTCACCATGATAAATGTTTTAATGGCTTCTTTTTTCTCATAAAATGGTAGTAAACTGGCAGCGGGTGTGGTTCCACCTCCTGCTACAGTTTCGACAGCTAGTTGTAGAACCTGTAATTAATTACATGTATTCATTTCTTATTGACTGTATTACCAGAAATATATCTTTAGAGTATATGAATCTAACCGGACAAGTTTGTGTCACAAGATATCGAACTTGAACCTAGATAGATCTTCATGGTCCCTTCCTTTTATCATGGCATGTAAAAAGGAAGCCACAGTGACTCAGTGGAAGTTTCCTTTGCTTGCAAAAGATCTGAAGTTTTTTTTGAATGTTGTTTGAAATGGTTACATTGGATTGAAAAGGATAAGGAAATGTGAGTTGGTAGCTTTGGTAGCCTATGCTGTCTTGTATAAAGACTAATTATTTAATTGTGTTTAAAACTCATTCCATAGCCAGTAAGACATATTATTAGTACAATTTGAGAATGTTCCAGTTATAAGTGTATTACCTGTTCAATTGTTTCTGGCATGTAGGGGGCATCTCTGTTAGCTGTGTTAAAGAAAACCAGTTTAGCTGAGGTAATAGCTGTTAACAAGCCGGCTATAATGGTACTTGTTTTAATAGCTATCTCCATTGAACCACTAGCATCACCAATTACTATGATAGGAGCTTCCAATGGTAGTCTGAAATAAAACATACAGTACATTAAAATATGGACCGAAACATGGTATAAACATCTGGTATTGTTATTTTTGTAGTATCTTATTTCATTTTGTCCTAATGATAAATTCCTTAGCAATGTCAGAGGTCAGTCAACCCAATCGTACTCATACAGACAATAGTTTGGGCAGTGGTGGAATAATATGACCAATTATGTGATAATATTGTACACCATTCTCACCTGATAGAAGTGAGCTTCCTCTCTCCTATGGGAATCAAATCTTTAAGAAATCGAGCTTTGTTCGCCTCTGTATTTGGTGCTGGTGGCTGACCATATCTGCGCCGAGTTGTCTGCAGGTTTTCGCGGATTATTTTAAACGTTAACAGCCTTTCCAGTAGTTTACCATTTGGTAGATTTATTTCTTCACTAGCCTGAATTCTCTGTTGAATTATTACATCAACTTCGTCACATATCAAATCTTCATACCACCTGAAAGAACCAAATTGCACTCTAGACCTTTGGTGTGTATGTATGCATGGTCTGTGTCTGTTCAAACGGTCAGATATTGTTAAGAAGTTGTGCTCCAAAGTTGAACGAGCCAATATTTGATAAGCTGACAATACAGAAAAATATCCCTGTGTTATGCTGCAGATGCTACAGGTGCGTTTACCTTTTCCGCTAATGCCTCATTCTGTTATTGTTTAAGATCCTCAAAGATGCAAGATATTTGTTTGAATGTATCAATTTTAAAGCTGGTTAATTTGTGTTGTTTTTGAAATGTTCCTGAAGAATTATAATACCTACCACAAGACAGTATCAATTTTAGGTTCATAACTGGCAATTCTGGCTTTTGATTTTTCTGTTAATTTATCTTTAAATGTTTTGATATGACTGTATGGAACGTCGAATTCTGCAACTAAATCATTAACATTGTCAGCTGTTACATCTCGACATCTTCTTACTAATGAGTCTTCTGGTGCGCTTTCTCCGAAACAAAACGGCAAAAACCATGGCAGAGCCTCAAAATCCTGAAATTATGAAATGAAATTAAACTTCTATACTACTTTTACTCTTGATTTTGCCATACTTTAGACAATATTTTGATTAACGGAATTGTCTTGCCTGTACGGATGTTTATTAAACAGTGGTTGATTTAGGAATTTATATGTTAGTTCAAAAGATAGTGAAGTTTGAAATAATCCTGTGCTATGTTTTCGATTCAGCCAATGCTACCATAGCGTAGATCCAGTTAGGTTTTTTGCGGTCTGTTTTTGTTAGGCCATAGGCAGTTCCGCATTTGAATCTCGACCCCGACCGTTATCCCTCCATTAACTCGATCTGCTCTTCATGTGTACCCAGCAGTTCCAAGAGACTGCCGTCGCAACTGCTATTGTCTTCGTGTGTCGCTTCTATATCGTTTCGATTGTAATTGATGTATATACTTACTTTTGTTGGATGGAAATGGCAGATATCAGCTAATTTCTTCCAGGGGTCTTTAGGTAGATGCAAGGCATAGAATTGTAGTTCCTCTGTTGTGAAGGTTTTGACCCATTGACTAATATGTTTACAGAGTGCACCGCTCGCTGTACCTACCTACAAACATATAGCATATTAAGTTTATATAACAACTCCCTGTTCAAATCGCACTATACAAGGTATACATCACAATTGCAAAAAGTCGGCAATGAATCCATTAGCTTTACTGGACCATTCAAGATGCAAAGGAATGGCAATGCCACTTGTCGTGATGAAATTCACGTAGGTACTTCAAAAGAACAGAAAACATGATTCGGTTGGTGTATTGAATGATGCGCAAAACGTTTTATTACTTACCGATGGCTTTATAGCCTTTAAATTGTCGATGTCTCTCTTTAGTATCCCCATTTTTTGCCCTTTAACTTTTGTTCCTGATAATTCAATTCTCTTGACTCGTTTTTCCAGGACTCGGATCTGTCGCCCGGAATCTAACAGTGTAACAGCTTTCAGCACCTCCACTAACCCCATCTGTTCCCTATCAAAGAGGAAGGCCTTAGCCAGATCATAATCATTTCTAGCCCATGCTGCTGCTAGTGCTCGTATTTTAGCATCTGAAAGAAGAATTAATATCACAATATCCTGTCATATTTCTAGACTTGAAAAGTACAACATAAACATAGTGTGAGATCTTTTTAGAAACGGTTTCAATCTCGTCTTTTCTTTGATATCAAGCAATAGATCTCGCATGAAAACTTGCCATGGTGTCATTTCTAACTTTATGGCGATTCTAACACTGAGTTTAGATATAAAACAAAATGAAATCCTGGTCAAGGCCTATATTCTACCCCCTCTACCCCCCTTGCCAATTGTTCATCAAATAAGTCTTGTAGGCATATGAACATTACTATCTGTTGTGATATACATGGACAATGAACCCTGCTATTTAATGTTGGCTATTTAATCCTTGTTGATTATGGTCTTGTTTATACTTATTCAGTGTTGTTACTCCACGAGGTTCGTGTAAGGACACGCCTGGAAATGTCAGTATACTATATGCAATAATATGAACATAATTCTATGTTGATTCTAGCAGAGATGTAGAGTAACACATAACCTATTAGTCGTAAAGCGACATAAGAGAGTGCCCACACCCTGCATCGCTGGCGAGTGGCGCGATAGTAATATTTAGCCTTCCTAAATGATGTATATATATCGACCACTTACTTTGAGTTACCACAATACTTGTGGCTTGTAGAGTTGCTAGAGCTGCAGCATATCTGTCTCTGTTGGTTTTCTGAGCAGTTAAATGGTCATCAAAACTGGCATTTGCTATGAAGAACTGTTTTGGTTCGGTTTCAACGTTGTATATTGTAGCCTGTGCTGTTTGACGATCGTTATTGTCGGAGTGGATATTTCGGCGAGCTCCACCACGCCCACCGCCCCTTCTTCGGCCACCACGTGCCCCTCGTCCCCTTCCTCGGCCTCGTCCACGCATTTCGTTTTTAAAATACAGTTGAAAGAGGTGTCTTGATGTGAAGATTAGGACCGACAAACTTCTCTTCTGACTATCGTCTGCTATACGAATTCATTATAATGTTTAATTGTGTTGATCGTTGTATTTATAGCAACTGATATTGCGCCATGCCCTGTAAACTTGTGGACCTCGGATAAGAATATAGTCCGGGTGTATGTAGACATTATTTTGTTTAATTTTGATGGTCAATATATCTTTTGTTTGTATTTATTCGAGGCATAAGCTAAAAGAAGTTCGCATTCAAGTAAAATATGTGAACAATCGAGTTAGTCCGCATTTCGTCTGCTAGCGCGTAGTAATACATCAGTGTAAATGTCGGCTATAGTTAAACGATTTCCACTCATGTCATCAGAAATATACTATTGAAGAAACGTGGTGAAACATCAGAATTTGTTGACGTGAGCATAAACGTAAAGTATCTGGAAATTACTAGATTGTTCGACATAAAACGAATACATCAGTTCTATATCTAATATCTTACCATGTGGGCCTATATTTATTATCATAGGATAATGATGCAAACCGCCTTGTGTCTTCTGTACATAATTTTTGAACTTGAAGCTACAAAACACTTTCGTTAAGACGTTTTTCTTTTGATTCTCTGGTTTCTAGGAACTTTCAAATTGCCCTTCGATAGATTATCCATGAAATTCGTGACGTCAATTATCATGTGTATTTTGCTGACGTGTGACAGAGACCTTACTCGTATTTTGGGGTATTTTTGTGGATGGGATGGTGGAAGGGTGGTTAAGTCGAAATTTCGATGGAATGTGGAGCTATCAGAATATCAAACCATGTCTTATCCAAGAGGAATACGTTGGTCGAGTCCCTATATTTCCCTATGAAATTATTCATGGAAATTGTTGTCTTTTTGGTTATAGTGCTCTGATATTCCAGTGTTAGGCTAATTGTGGTCGTGGGTCACCATAGTTACTTCCCTTAAGTTTCGGTATTTCTGCTCCCTGTGATTGTTACTTCTTGTCCCAATGTCGATTTATAAAACTAAGTTTACAAATACTGGTGTGACGTAGCCTATCTGACTTATTGTATTTATTGAGCTCTTGGTATATTGAATAATATATTTAATAATAAATAATAATTATATACGTTTCATATAACATCAAAATGGAATCTGATGTGACAATCGTTAAATTGTCATTCATCCACGTATATAGGCCTAGCGTACATAGCAGGCTAATTGAAAACTGATTACAATACAGCTCTGACTATTTCTGTTGCTTGGACGCAGTGCTGTTCACTCCATGAAATTATGACAACATCCTTCACATTGATTGAATTGGTGAACATAAACTACTTAGAATGTCGTTAGATCTTAAATGGGTGGTGTGGACTAAGAAACGAAATGCTGGAGCTGAATTTCAATTAGACATAAGAGTAAATGTGTGGCAGTAGACAAGCAATCAGTTTTCGTTTCATCAAATAAAGGCTTTGATCCTTCTAGTTTTCTCCACGTAAACTTTGCTTTAGCCTGCACTGGGCACACGAATTTAAACATTATATATAATATATATGATAAATACCAATAAAGCAGGTATTTTAGAAATTTGACTGCATGCTGAACATCCACCCTCTTCAAAATTGGGCTCCTTGCCATTTCTGAAAAAAGTAAATGTGATTTGTGTTATAAGTTTGTCATGCTAGATATGCTGTCTATAGCTTTCAATCATTATAGTTTACTGAAGTATGCCATTTTGAATTATCAACCGACTTTTACACACTTGTAGCCCACGAAAATCCCACCAGTCTTTGTCCGTCCCTGCCTATGGAAGTCTTAACAACCTGCGTTGCTGCCAATGAAAATCTTATCAGCCCGCGCATGAAAAACTTGCCAGTCTACGCCACTACCCATTAAGATATTTCCAGTCTACGCCACTGTACGTAAAATTTTGCACCAGTTTACGTCGCTACCCATGGGAATATTCCAATTGCATGCGATTTAGTATTTTACTTACAAGCAAATGGCTGCTAACGCCTCACATTCTCCTACAGCGATATGGTCAGGACCATCACCCAAACAATATTCAGTTTTATCAGCACTATTACATTGTTGAGTGGCATTATATCTACCACAATCTACTTTAGCACAAGCTAAACCAGTTAAATCTAACGTCACATCCTCACTAAAAGTAAAGTTTTATTAGTTATAATGACTTTTATGATGGGATGAATTTTTGAAAAGTCCCAGATTTGAGCTCCATCAAAATCATGTCTTTGGTCACTCTGTGGTGAATGGCCATTCGTATTAAATTTAATGGGTACAAAAAGTCAAATTTACCACCTATCGTTTTTTATCTGAAAAGCTAAGTTGTTTCTGTTTCTTGGTTGGCTGGCAAGTTAACGGTCGTTCCCAGCGCTGAAGGCGCTAAAGTAATGGGTATTTTCGAACGTTTAAAGATTCCCCGTTCTTGATTTCCTGCGAAAGCAAACAATTTCTCTCACCCATTGAAATTTTGATAAAAGGAAAAAAAAACAAATCTTATGTTTTTGATTATTCTTCTTACCTGCAAACAATTTTTCCGGCTTGGCATAATCCCGCAATCTTTCTACCATCCGACAAGCAATATTCCACAAGATCGGGTCTACAGATTTCATTCGGATCATGGTTGTCGCAATCAATGGACGGATCCTCACAAGAGTTCCCAGATGCATCAATCTCTAAATTGTCGCTGAAAAAAAGTCATTTTCTTTTAAAAGTAAGTAGACCTGTAATAACGCTGAGTGGATTAAAAGAGAATCGGAAGTACCACTGCTGTTATTGTGTTTTGCATTGGGAAAACATCGCAGATTGCAACTTGATAATGTGACGTAAGCAATTCAACCAACTATTCAAATTTAGTATTTCTAATGTATACTCACACACAGTATTTACTTTTAGCAGCACAAGTACCAACAACTTTTTCACCATTAGTAAAACAATATTCTATCAGGTCTGGTAAACAAGGGTCAATTGAAGAATAACCAGTACAATTAAATGTATCACTTGATTGACATGATGCAAACGATTCATCTATCACTTTACTTTCACTATTGAGGAAAGAAGCATTTGAAATGAAAGGTGATTTCATTTTAGTGAAAATACTCCTTAAACAATTCCAATTTTCAATCAGACGTCTGTGGTTCCTGCAATTCCACTAAATCACATAAGGCCTTCGCGATTTGTGAGCGGAATTGCAAGAAACACAGACGTCGGATTAAAATTGAAATGGTGCAAATTGAAGCTATCGGTACCCCCAACACACATAAGAATTTTAGAAAACTCCCTTTAAATAAGTTCATGAATATACTGAGTATTTTACATGGTCGACATCATCAACTTGTGTTCACGTCTAGTAGTCTGCGCCCGCCTAAAGATCGATAGATCACTAAAACCATTTTAAATTTTCGAGAAATTTCGTCAAAGTTTATACCTGGTATAGATTAGAAATTAAGAAGTTTATATATATGTATATTATAATATACATCTCCAATAGAAATGCTCGATGTTAAAAAAAGCGATGTACTTACTTACAAACCATATGAGAGGCTTCACAAGAACCCTGAATTAAAGTACCATCAGTGAAACAAAATTGCAAAAGATCAGGTTGACATATCAATGGATTATAAGTATTGCAATCTATAGCAGATGATATTAATGGAGCAGCTCCAATACCTGTAAGAATAAATACCAAATTACGATCATACATTGATCACCAGTCTTACCTGACGAGTTGCAATTGACTCAACAGCACAATTACTGAAGAGTCAAAACCATTTCCCATATTTGATTTGACGATTTTACATCTATTTCAATTGTAAAATATGTGCTGCTGGATAGGTCACTTTGCAGCACACCTATCAAGCACAAATTGAATTAAGAAATATGTATTTAGTTATATTTCGCTGATAGTTTCGGTGATTGGGTCCTTTATAGGGGACTATTGTCCTTCGTTTAAACTTTGTCTGATCTAACTATCTAAGGTTCCTTTTAAATAAAAGCAAATCACATTTTTGCATAGTTCACCAAAACTTACATAGAAAGAGTGATAAATAAAAACGATGAACACCCATCTTGTGATTCTGAAATTCTAATGTCATAAAGATTAATGTTGGTCAGACTTAAATACTCTACTAAAATTACGACCATGAAAAGTTTAAATTTACATAAGAAATTTTAATGTTTATTTGGGTAGTCTTGTCTTCGCACGACAAATAGTTGTAAATTTTCAAAACTCTCCAAATATCGTGAAAAAATACATAAAAACAGTTTAATATCTGTAATATGTGAAGACCTGTATATTTACCAAGCATTCGACCTTAATAATTCATATATAGTTCATATAAATCACATCGGCATACCCATCAAAATATACAAATAATACTCGATGGTTCACTTGAATATTATTCAAGAAGTCACAAAACTTATATGAAAAAGAAACCACAACCATATAAAATTCTATGTGCGACATGATAACAAATGCCCACTTGCGGAAAGAAATATTTAGTGAATAACTGAGAGAATATACATGCATATTCATATTGCCACCATAATAATTAAAAATATGACCAAAAAAATTCCACTTGCCTATGTCATATATTTCCATCTAAAAATATTCCTGACTGGACTAATTCACACAATAATGGTTTATTCTGGCAATGATTTTTCCGGGATTTAACAGTGTAAAGCGATTACAAACTGTGTTTTGCCTGCAAAAGCCTCATTTCTTGAAACACAGAAGTTTGTAAATGCAGTGATATGGTTGGATTGTACGTTAGCGATTACAGCCACTCATATATAGCATTCGATAAACAAAATGGCTTATTATTTACAGACTTTCTGTCGAGGATTTTGGTTGGCTGCAATCGGTAACGTTAAATCCAACCAGAGAGCTGCATTCCGTGATACAAGAAAGGTGGCTATCACTATCAATCAGGCCCGTAGCCAGACTTGATTGTTCGGAGAGGCAAGTACTATTATCGGAGGGGGCAACATGTTCCTTAAGCAACGGTACGATTATTCACATCTAACATGTAACGTTGCTCAAGGAATACTGAGGAGCAGTGGCGTATGGTATTTATTGCAGTCATGGTCGATTTTCAGAATGTTTTCATGGGAACAATCCCGGTATCAAAATAAAAAAAACAGTTTTGCAATACATTGGTAGTAGCTAATGAAGTATTCATATGACAGAGTATATCAATCATAAATGAGAAGGTTTTCATAATGTGAGAAGGTTTTCATAATGAAAAACTTTATCAGAGATATTATAAGTCATTGAAAAAGTACAAACAACCCGGTAGCCCATATATATCAAATAAATACTATAATTACTTAGTAATTAATACAATAATAGGTATCGTGATCAACCACTTATTATTTTATAGGTCTAATTGTTTGACACTAACAGTAATATCATGGCCAATATAGATATCTCTAAGTAAAGTGTCAAATAAATTAGGTATCACTACAATGACAAATATCTCATCAATATTATTATATTGAAAAATTGGGCGTCTATTTGCAAAACGTGTGATAAGCGATTTTAAAATTTATTCAGATCAATGAACTTATCATTTCATTATTTATGGTCCATTTGTGTGAAAGTATGCTTTGTGACCAATGACTGTGACAGGTTTTCTTAGGACCATGTCATTGTGAAAAATGTACCTTCTGACTGTATTGCCAATACCAAATTGCATATATACTATTTTCCTTTTGACTTATCTATACCTTCCTATCAAACTAACGGTCAATGAACCTCGTGACAGGATTGCTGTTACCAACTTACCTCGTGTCAGTAAATAAACTTAGATTTAGATTAAGTTGCTTTTGCCAAGAGGAGTTGCTCGCAGACAAAACACACAAAAACCATTCAGATCTGTGTTTTAATCATTACCCTTGTTCGAAAGGTAAAATTCACGTTTCCCACAAAGGAATAAATAGTGAGTAATGCAAAAGACCTTGAACAAAGTAATTGAATGAAGAGAATGCTCTGTGATTGTACGAGTTATTATAATCATCGTTTATTGAACGGTAAGGTAAATGGTTTGTAATTATAAAAATACCAATTAATGAGTTTAACAGTAAAGTATATTTAGATGTGATATTTGCCTCGATGGAGTTATTTTCCTCTTCAAAGCTTTTAATTTACCACTTTTACAATGGAGGCTGATATTTCAATAATTAGATACTGATTGACTCTGTAGTGGGATTGGTACATTGTAAATGAGTTTTGTTACAGCTAGGTCAAACAACATAAGGCTAACAGTACGATCAGAACAAGCTATCAGATTAGATGTCCTAGCTAAACAATTGCTGGGCAGTATTTATAACTTTTAATTTCTTCAAACCGAGTAGTGTTGTATGTATTTTTTTTTAGCGAAGTGTGCTTATCTTCGTGGTTGAAGCAAATTTAAGAGTTTCTGTTGTCAAAATGAAGGATAAGAATTCTTCACAGAATGTTAAAGGACTTATAAAGGATTTCGCGGGAAACACAAGCCTGCATGGAGTACCGAGAATTACTTTATCAAGAGGATACTTCAGAAAGGTTACATGGATTCTATTGGTACTCGGAGGAGCTGGTAAGATTTGAGACATAAGACTTTAAAACAAGTCAATGAATGTGTGAAAATTGAAATATTCTATCATTGATTAATTTTTTCCCCAAATGTTAATGTCCTCCAACGCCAATCTAATATGAATATACCCATTTCATAAAAATTTGAAGTCTCTATATTTACCGCTGGCAGTTGGACGCAAAGGTAAATTTTGATCCCTGGATATTTTCTTTATCTGCCCATGAAGCAAATATTTAGGGTAATTTATCCCTTTAATGTATTCAAAATTTAAATAATCTATGTGTCTATATTTTGTGGAGATTTAAAATTTCTTTAGATCAGATTTAGAATGGAAATTCTTTTGATATTCTAAGGCCATTTATCGGTAGATTATACAGCCTATGCTCTTGAGTCCTCGTCCAAAGACTTTATTACAGTTAGTAAACTATGCTACTAGCGAGAACCCATTGTTCATATAAACAAGCTCCTTAACAATAATAGCCTTTGTAATGATTTCAGAAAGAAATCGAATCATTGAATGCAAACAGAGTAACTGTTCTCTCAAAAAATGATCCGTAGGCATATAATATAATACGGTTTAAATATTCAATATATATGTATCTAATATAGACTTAACTAAGGGATATTGGCAGTTTTAATTAATTAATATAACATTGTGATTGAACCATTTTAATACTGAAAAGTGATATGATTAGCTATACAAAATCACAAAATCGTATGACCAATTCCAAAACACACTGAAAAGCAGGCTGATAAATAGGTCAATGAAATTGTGTGAAGATCGCAGAGCGTGAAACAACATGATTCAAGTTCTGTTTTAATATTTCTTATTAGTTATTTTTCACTTGTTTATTCTGTAATCAGCATTTTAAGATTCAAAGAGTATAGCTTAAACAATCTTTCGGTCCTTTCTTTCAGCATTCGCAATGTATCATTTGGGTAAAATAGTACAGAATTATAGAGAGTACCCTCTATCAACCTTACTATCAATAGAAAATAACAACAAACTGGACTTCCCTGCTGTTACTATCTGTAATATGAACCCAGCTAGAAGATCTATCTTGAAACAGAAAGCTGAAGAATTAGGTTATACAGAGCTGCTAGACGTTATAAACGAAGCGGTAAGTGTCAATCAGGCATATTGGAATTATGCATACTTCTCGTATCTTCTACAAGTAAAATTTCCATCCGTTTCTTTAACAGTTTATAAGATTATAAGAACGTATGTATAGAACATGTAATTTTGATGATATCAGTAATCCTTGTGGGGTGGACACAAAAAAAAAAATTGATTTGGGTTATGAAACACGTAAAAATAGCGAGGTAATATACGCCCACTGGCAAGTTCGATTTTAGTTAAAAATATTTGGCAGTAGCCTACAGTAACAATTACGAGTATGAAATATTCAACCTTCAGTCATATATTTCTTTCGAACTTTTTGGGGTGACACTGAATAATATTACTGTAATAATATTAATGTTGTCAAAATCCGGCATCAATCGAGCCTTTAAGTGTTTACGAGCTAAAAATTTAATGCGTTTTGAAGATTGACCCAATAACTCATATAAAAAGTTCTATATTTTTCATTTTTATAAGGTTCATCCTTGGGTGTTTACAAACACTCCCACTAAGTTTCGTCAAAATCTGTCGATAATTGTTCCTTCTGGAGGGTTGACGGACGGACCGACGGGTGATGCCAATATACTCCCTCGATTTCATGTTCCTAAATGTACCTTTATTGATAATACAGTGGCTTTCTTATCTTTAGGATGCTAAAAGATTAGAAGAAGAAAGTAGCGGAGAAGAAGAAGAGGAAACTGAGGAATCAGATGAAGAATTCTTTGAAGCTCTTACCAGTGAATTCACTATAGCTAAAGCATTTTCCATTATCGTGAGTGACATGGATCGCCAAGATCGAATGCAGATTAGCCATGATCTGAAATACATGTTATTAAGCTGTACATTTGAAGGACGAAAATGTTCTGTAAGGTAGGACAAAAAGATTTTGGTATCTTAATTTGGGAGTATGCTATGGGAAGGACATCATGCTTTTTTAGGAAAGAAACACACATCAGCAATTTTTGTGTTGTTGGTCGTAGAGGCTACAAGTTTTGTGTTCGCTGTTTGCGTTGTATCAACGTACCGCTTATAACTGTAGAATGATTCTTAAAAACCCATCCATCCTCATAATGGACTAATAGTATACGTTTTTCTTCTTTTTGCACAGAAATTTCACACAGTCCTACAATTTCAAATATGGTAACTGCTTTACCTTCAATTCGGATCCGAAACAAACACGTCTGGAAACAACAAAGCCGGGGCCACTTTATGGTTTGTAGATTTCAGATCTTTCTACCATGCTAGATGCTGGCCTAGGCCCAAGGATAATTCATATCTCATAGGAGAGATCATCAAAATGAGACATGTATATTGTGTTTTTCAAACTTGTTCAGTAGTGTTATCAATGTTACTGGTATTTTGTCCCAATGTTTCTTAGCCAGAGTCTGTTCACCATATACAATATATATTCTATACCTTTAAGGTTTGACCATGGAACTGTATTTAGATGAGAATGAATATTCCGAATTTCTTGCTGACACCGTTGGTGCTAAACTTCATGTTCATCAGCAAGGTATTATGGCCTTTCCTGAAGATGATGGAATTTCTTTGACTCCAGGATTGTCAACCTCAGTTGGTATCAGCCAGGTAAGACTTTCCTGTGTCGCATTGGATAGAAAAGGGTTAATCAGGACATCGTTTCATTGAGACATAGAACAATTTTGAACCGTTCAAGGTGAATGACGTGGCGTAGTAAACCGAGTAAAGATCCGGGTATAGGGGCTAGTGATTTTGGCGACAACGGTTTCAACAATTTCAAACATAACAGCAAGGGGGTGGTAGGCCATTTCTCACAATAATAACCAGCAGTGTTTTTATGAACCATTAGGTTGCGAGTCTGAGTAGGGACCACAGAATCGCGTAAGCCCCGGTCATTTAATAACTTAAGAGGGCAGAGGCCATTGGGGGTGGGGGGATTTGTAATGCCACCATTGACCCCTCCCGTAGAATGGCTACTGTTGTACGATAAATATTAAGAGTGTATCGTTTATTAGTCACCATCCTCTTGCAGATTCAGGTAAAAAGAAGTATACCACCCCATGGTCGGTGTAGACATTATTCCAGTGATGACAATTATAAAGTGAATATGTATGCCGGCGCCCACAAATTACAAATCGACTACTCAGAGAAGGTTAGTTATTTTACTATCAAAGTATTAAAAAACAACAATCAAACAAATGGCTGCAATTAACTTGAAGCGATTCCAATCCAACTAAGCCATATCGCTAAAAAGTTCATTAATTACTATATAGATATCATAGACAAAGACCAAGTTTAAATTGTTTATGGACATTTGTAAACAATACTTATATGTAATGCATTATCAGGGAAATTGCACGGTTGTTTTATGTTTAATGTCGGCCTATATAATATGATAATTTGTATTCCAAGGCATGTCAGAAAACCTGCTATCAAAAGAATCTTATCCGTGATTGTGAATGCTGCCATTTCGATTACCCTTGTAGTGGTTATGCATTGAGGAAAGTCATAGAGGGGGTTAAAGTACCTAAACTGAAGAGATGTAATGATTCTATTCCCAAACAAAGTAAGTAAGATGAGGTAACAACATAAACAACCCTAGAATCAGTTCATAGACATTGTAGTAAATTAGTCGGTGTTTGTTGGTTATGCTGTGATTAAACTTGGATCCCACTTTTTAAGTCGGTCTCTCGTCTTTACTATTGCTTATTAATTAACTAATTATGATTAACGTATCTCTTCAATAGGGCGATGTATGGGAGACATATTTCAGAAATACGAACGAGATGAACTAGATTGCTCAAACGACTGTGCACAATCCTGTAGGTATGTAAACTTGAAATAAATATTACAGGCAATGGTTTGTTATGAAAGTTCCTTTTATTCCTGCATTATCCTTTAAGCGTCTTGGCAATTTCCTAATCAATTCTGTGCAAGATTATATTGATTACAATTGCGATAATGACGTGTTATCAACAAGATCCATGGAACTGTTACCGTACATTTTACTGCAAGTGTTAACCTTCAACTTTGTGTAATTTTTAGTGAAACGGTGTATTCAACAGACATTTCAACCGGGCGGTGGCCGTCTGTACCATTAATTAGGAGAACCATGGGTAAAGTTAGAAGTTTATATAAAAGAAAGAATGAGTCAATACCAACAAGTGAAGAGGACATGGACGTTGGAGATCAACTAAAGTTCTTAACGTAAATTAAACTTGGTTATTTGTCAATACCCAGGACGTAGATCAAATTTTTGAAAATAGTGTACGTCGCTGTAAATAACACCTTTCATTCGTTCTGCCACTGTATCAGTAAAGTATATAGTAAATTGCTGCATTCATATTCAAAATCTATACAAATTCGTTATGTACCTTCACGCTACAGCTATCAGATGATAGAGAACTTAAAAGCAGTGTAATCTTTCGGTATTTGTATTAAATAGAAACATGTTATTGGTTTATACCATTTCAGGAGGAATGTCATCAAGGTAGAAATATTCTATAAACAGTTGAACTATGAATACCTTAAAGCAACACCTGCATATGATGTTAGTAAGATCCAAACTTATATTCGCCACTTATTAGTGGTAACCATTACCATTTAAAAAAAAATACCATAACTTATAACTCACAATAATTCCAAAAAAGTTATCATCTGAAAAAATTAAACATCCATACATTTTCAGAAAAATTAGGGGGGAAATAAATCAAAATTTGTCAAATTAAGAGAAAGTATGTATCAAAAAATCATTTTAAAGTCAAGACAAAGTTAAATAATTTATTTTTGTGTTTCAGTGGAGTAGTTTGATATCTGATATTGGAGGACAAGCTGGTCTGTGGGTCGGCTTCTCTGTTTTAACATTAATTGAGCTAGCAGAGTTACTGATGGATGTGATTATATTAATCTCAGCTAAACTCTTCAGAGTGAAAAATATAAGAGTCAAAGAGATACAGATACAACCAATTCAAACATCTATTAACAATGTATCATAAAGTATGAAATTTCTTTTAGATTTGAAAAAGACACAATCATATAGGTCAAGTATGTTTTTTGTTATAAAGGCAGTGAGAAATGAACTGAAATGAAGTGGTGGACTCTTAAAGAGACAAAATGTGTTATTAAAGAGACAATTTAAACATTCATAATTGAACAGAATTATATAAGTTCTAGATAAAGGTGAGAGTATCATCGTCGAAACGTTACAACTTATTTATTAACTTTGTTATCCATATAATTGTGTGCAGTAATTCGTTCTCCATGTACTAGCAACTCAAGAAACTTTCAATCAATTTCTATTATATGAATCATTGTACCTTACAGTCAACAATTTGTGACAAATATAAACACTAAAAAACTGCACAAAAGTTTATTTGAATACTTAAACTGTATAAATTTACATAGAATATAAAAACTCAACAAATAAAATAAATATTTATAAATAATCAGGAAAAAAAAATTTTGATTCATTGGACGGAAGGAATAAATAGAATATATAGATTATCACTCAAAAAATTTCACAACAATATTATTGATCAACAATTAATCTTGGTAAAATTTCATAGCCCAAATAACACTTTTCATTAACGGTCACAAATGAAACTGATCCCAAAATACACACAATTTCTTCTCGTGAAAAAGGAAGCAAGGACAAGTAACATTTATCTTTTGATTATTATTTTATAAAAGTATGTGATTTGACCTATAAAAAGTAATAAATTCATGTTAGAAAGAATGACTGTGATATTTGTTTTACTTACTTCAAGAAGTATAATATAATGATTGAACATTAACTCAAAGTAGATATTAATTCTGTGTGAAAACACTTCACTTCAATGTATGCAATTTTATTTTTGTCTTTTTATGAACATGTAAAGTTAATAAAGTAAATATAAAGGAAAAAAATAAATAATGATATAAATAGTAAAATCACATCTATTTAATGTGAAGAAATAAAATAAGAATTTATTTTGTGTCACAGAGAAGAGCGACACCTCGGAGGATCCAATGATCAGGGTTCTTGTTGGTCTTTAACATCAATGGGAAGATATAAGTTAAATCTGTTCTTCTTGGTTTCTTGTAAACTGGACATTCATATTGTGATGAACTCTTAGGTTTATCTTGGTTGGTAGCAAATACATGTACTACTGGTAGTAGAGTGTATAGTACTTTAGGTGATGGTTCAATCAGTCGTACATTACGTCTGTCCCATCCTGCACCATCTAGATGTAAACCATGGATAAACACACCTGAAATAAAGATACAACATTATTACTATTGATCAAGTTGTTGATTGACTGTAACATACACCTTGTGTACATATATCACACACCAAAAATCACTAAATCATTATTATTGCATGTACAGAAATTGTCAAATGTTCTTCTCAATCTAAAGCAATTAAATAAGACAATAATTTATGTACCTTCTGATGGAGCAGCTGTGATATCCTTTCACCATTTTAGTTAAATCATTTTCTAAGACTACTAGATCTAAAGCCCAACTTTTTGTGCTCTGGTAATTTCTTGTCTCATGGCACATTGGAATAAGAATAAGAATATATTGATAAAGAATGTTTTTGAGAGGCAGTCCAATGCTTTCCTTTCAGAATACAAGGTGCAACTCTATAACTGAGCCGGCAAAATAACATGAACACTTTAGTTAAAGTACCACTATTTTTTTTCTAAATTTGGTTTATTAGAATCGGTGATTAATCTTGTCAGTTGATAACCAATCAATAGTTTTCAACCAAATTAATGAACAATATCTACCTGTGGATTAAAGAATCCAGTCATCCAGAAACAGTTTGGTCGACCTTCAAACAAATGGAACTGAACATTACGATCCAGTAAATCAGTGAACCAGAATCCAAGAGTGGCTGATTCCCAGGATATCTACAATACAAGAATCAAAGTTTATAGCAATTTATCTTCAACAAAAGCAATAAATAATTGCATATGTAAAACAGTATTGTAAATTTGTTATTGTGGGATTCCAGGGAAAATTGCCTTGTTGTCTAATATAAAGTTATCATTATTTTTTTTCACTACATAGAAATTAAACTTAATTATCATAGGAATAATTTTCATTATATTCGTTATAGAACGATTTACTCAGTAAATGTATATTGGCAGGGAAATGACTTTAGTTGTCTGCTCAGATCATCAATGATATATTAGCCCCACCCACGGCTCGTGCTACAACTACAAATGATGTAACAAGCACCACTAGCTTTAGTCCGAAACATCTATACCCGTCTCTGGTGGATATTTTGACAATTGTTTGAGTAGAGTCAGAAAAAGGCCCTGTTAAATGAGGATTTAAACGCCTCCGAAGATGTTTTTTTTTCTAACATGATATTAAATTATCTTTACGATGACTGTAAATTAATGTTAAGCATCACCGTAACTTTCGTTTTGTTAGTATCATGTGACTCTGTTACCTTTGAACTTTTGGCTGCGCACGAAGTTTTAAATGTCGGATGCGAGAGACGTGACATAAATGGTGTAGGGAGAAAATGATGGTATGACTGAACTACAAAAATATTCATCTTTCTAAATATATCTGCGTTTTGCAGATCCGAGGTATCTAAATACCTGCGGAGATGCCCAGGTCCCCATTTAACAGGGTCTATTTTTTCAGTCACTAAACTAGCCAACATATGTTCAAATAGCTATCCAAGGCTGGACTAGAGACAGCTGTTTCGGTCTACACTAGCTTATATACCAAAATACAGCATTTAATGCACGTGCAATGGTTATTACATAACACGAAGGCCACTGCCCTATCTGTTAGACCTCTGTCAATCATGTTATAAGTAACACATAGCCGTTTTCATTCGTTTACCGATTTAAACGCCGCGCCTTTCGGGCCTTTCATCAATAGCTAGCTTTAAATCCTTTAATGTACTACGTACACAAATTACACACATTTTACTAAACCATTCATCAAAGTCAAGGGCAATAACACAAAAACCGTTCATCGACAGATGAATTAAAACTTGACCGCCGTCTTATCAATCCCAATGCTCACACCAAGTTTCATCAAAATCCATTGACAATTGTAGATTCTAGTGTGCCCACAACAAAATTTTGACACGGTTTTACTAAGTCAAGGGCAATAGCTCAAAAACCCTTCATCGAAAAATCATCAAATTTGAACTTGACCCGCGTCTTATCAATCCCAATGCTCACACCAAGTTTCATCAAACTCCATTGAAAATAGTAGCTTCTATTGTGCCCACAACAAAATTTGGACGCGATTTTACTAAGTCAATGGCAATAACTCAAAAACCGTTCATCGAAAAATCATCAAATTCGAACTTGACCGCCGTCTTACCAATCCCAATGCTCACACCAAGTTTCGTTACAATCAAATAAAAACTGTAGTCTCTGTTGTGCTCAGAAGAAATGTTGACGGACGGACTGACGGACCGATGGACAGGAGCAACGACAATATACGACCACATATTCACGTGGGCGTATAAAAATGTTAATGAGTTTAACAGTAAGGTATATTTTAGTAGTGATATTTGTCTCGATGGAGTTATTTCCCTCTTTAAAGCTTTTGATTTACCACTTTTACAATGGAGGCTGATATTTCAATAATTAGATACTGATTGACTCTTTAGTGGGATTGATTTATTGTGAATGATATTTGTTACACCCAGATACCATAAGGCTAACAGTACGATCAGAACAAGCTATCAGATTAGATGTCCTAGCTAAACAATTGCTGGGCAGTATTTATAACTTTTAGTTTCTTTAAACCGAGTTGTTTGTTAAGCAAACCTTTTTCTGTGTTGTTTGTAATTTTTTTTCTTTTTTAGCGACGAATTGTTATCTTCGTGGTTGTAGCAAATATAAGAGTTTCTGTTGTCAAAATGAAGGATAAGAATTCTTCACAGAATGTTAAAGGACTTATCAAGGATTTTGCAGGCAACACAAGCCTGCATGGAGTACCGAGAATTACTTTATCAAGAGGATACTTCAGAAAGGTTACATGGATTCTATTGGTACTCGGAGGATTTGGTAAGATTTCATTTTGTCTTATAAGACTTTGAAACAATTCAATTAATTTGTGAAATATCTTAATTTTTTAAAAAGAAATTAATTTTTTTTTTAAAAAGTTGACCTCGTCCAACGCCAATCTAATATGAATATGCTAAGAATACTCATTTTAACAAACGTGTTCGAATACTCACGAACGATAACAACTTATCGCTTCATTTATTACGGAATATTCCGTTAATACCCAAACAATGAAATAACAACGTTTAAGCTGTCATGGTACATTTCCTTCAAATCTTCAGAGAACCAGATGTACGATTTTACTGCTGAAAATTAGCTTGGGTATCTAAAATTGTGCTTTATCTGCCCATGAAGCAAATATTTAGAGTAATTTATCCCTTTAATGCATTCAAAATTTAAATAATCTATGGTTCTATATATTTTGTCGAGTTTCTTTAGATTGTGAATTTGCTCCGGCCTCTTTCTCTCAAAGAAGCAAAGAGTATGGCATTAACTTCATTTTCTTTTTTCACTCTTTCTGTCCTCCTTTTAGCATTCGCAATGTATCATTTGGGTAAAATAGTACAGAATTATAGAGAGTACCCACTATCAACCTTACTATCAATAGAAAATAACAACAAACTGGACTTCCCTGCTGTTACTATCTGTAATATGAACCCAGCTAGAAGATCTATCTTGAAACAGAAAGCTGAAGAATTAGGTTATACAGAGCTGCTAGACGTTATAAACCAAGCGGTAAGTGTCAATCAGGTATTATGGAATCGTGCATACTTCTCTAACGTATCTTCTACAAGGAAAATTCCTAATCCGTTCCTATAACAGTTTACAAAAAATATAAGTACGTATGTATAGAACATGTAAATTTGATGATATCAGTAACCCTTGTGGAGTGGACACAGAGCATAGTTGACAAAAATAATCTGCTACAAATTGATTCGGGTCATGAAATCATGATGCTATAACATAGCTAAATGTATCTTATATTAATAATACAGTGGCTTTCTAATCTTTAGGACGATGAAAGATCAGAAGAGGAAAATAACAGGGAAGAAGAAGAAGAGGAAACTGAGGAATCTGATGAAGAATTCTTTGAAGCTCTTACCAGTGAATTCACTATAGCTAAAGCATTTTCCATTATCGTGAGTGACATGGATCGCCAAGATCGAATGCAGATTAGCCATGATCTGAAATACATGTTATTAAGCTGTTCATTTGAAGGACGAAAATGTTCGGTAAGGTAGGACAAAAAGATTTTGGTATCTTAATTTGGGAGTATGCTATGGGGAGGACATCATGCTTATTTAGAAAAAGCCAGAGAGGGAAACACACACATTAGTAATTGTTTTTTTTAAAAAGTTTTGTGTTCGTCGTTGTTTCCACCCTTGTAGGCAAGTGCCGCTTGTGACTGAAGAATGATTCTAAAAGACCCCATTCATCCTTATAATGGACTGATAGTATACGTTTTTTTTTCTTTTTTGCAAAGAAATTTTACACAGTTTTACAACTACAAATATGGTAACTGCTTTACCTTCAATTCGGATCCGAAACAAACACGTCTGGAAACAACAAAGCCGGGACCACTTTATGGTTTGTAGATTTCAGATTTTCCACCATTCTAAAAGCTGACCTAGGCGCAAGGATTATTCATATGCCGTCAGAGAGATCATCAAAATGAGACATGAATGTTGTGTTTTTCAAACTTGTTCAGTAATGTTACCAAGTCAAGAACAGAACGACTGGTATTTTGTGTCAATGTTTCTTAGCCAGAGCCTGTCCACCATATATATATTCTATACCTTTAAGGTTTGACCATGGAACTGTATTTAGATGAGAATGAATATTCCGAATTTCTTGCTGACACCGTTGGTGCTAAACTTCATGTTCATCAACAAGGGATTATGGCCTTTCCTGAAGATGATGGAATTTCTTTGACTCCAGGATTGTCAACCTCAGTTGGAATCAGTCAGGTAAGAAAAGAAAGAAACAACTAGATTTTACAAGGATAACAACTTAGGTTCACAGTTAAGGATCCTTTCTACCAGCCGGTCCTTAGCCAAACCTCTTGGCGTCGATCTTTCCCGGATTATCCGTGTCGAGCATATCGAGGTGGGTCGACTAGAGTTATGAGTGAAGATGACATATTCAGGGACATCGGACTTTCGCACGCCGATCGATCCTGCAATAAATCACAGTTTATCGTGAACTAGTCACTATCCTGTTGCAGATTCAGGTAAAAAGAAGTATACCACCCCATGGTCGGTGTAGACATTATTCCAGTGATGACAATTATAAAGTGAATATGTATGCCGGCGCCCACAAATTACAAATCGACTACTCAGAGAAGGTGAGTTATTTTACTATCAAAGTATTAAAAAACGACAATCAAACAAATGGCTGCAATTAACCTGAAGTGATTCCAATCCAATCAAGCCATATCGCTAAGAACAGTGTAGAGTTCTATTCATAAAGTGGTCGTTAAATACTATAGATATCACAGAAAAGGGTTCAAATGTTAATGGACATTTGTAAGCAATACTGAAATGTAATGCAATATCAGGGAAATAACACAATTTATGACGCGTTTTTCAATGGTTTTTCGTCCATACGTTGATCAATTAAATCAGTATCTGAATATAAAAGCAACATAAAATGGCAAAATGAGTGATTGTTTTTAAAATTTAACTAATATCTATATATAACAGTAATTGACATTGCCTTCGAAGTATGTTTCCCTATCGATACAAAAACTTATTTTCTCCGTGATGATGCACGGTTGTGTAAATATGTCTAATATCGGTATACAGTATACTCTGCGTAATCCGACGTACACTAGGACCACAAAACAATGTCGGATTAGCGAGAGTGTCGGAGTATTCAAAGTTTCAACATTTTTTAACATGTGCTACGTGTTACTATTTATGGCTCAATGACCCACATTCTACAGACGGTACCTTTCTAATAAGACAATAATAATAAAAAAAAGTTCAGTTGTATACGCATCGTATCACGAATACGGGTTTTGACATGGTCTTATTAGAAAGTATGACGAATGGGGGTGTGGTTTGGACACGATGTTGTATACGGTACTATTATTTAATTGTTCATATTTTGAGCTACTGTACATACGCTTTTTATTGGAATTGATATTGTCGGCAAACTTTTTGTTAAATTTTTCTTTACGTCTAAAAATGCTGCTTATTGCTCTTCCACGTAAACCAAATTTCATAGCTAAATATTTCTGCGAAGAGCGCGGCACTTTTTCATAATCTCCAATAATTTGCTTTCTCATATCCAGAGACACATCAGTGCGGGCACGCTTCGCAGGACGAAAATTGATAGCTTCAGAATTTTGATAAAACGCGAAACAAAGAATGGTCAAGTTGCATATTTCTGTTCTATACGGTATAATGAATGATACGAGTACCCATGCCATTTGGTCTAAAGGCAATTACCTTGATCTTGAAGCGAGAACACTGATTAGTGTCGTAATTCGGAATACACAGAGTGTCAGAGTATTCAGAGTTTTTGTAAACTAGCCTAAGAAGGAAATCAATGTATATATATGATAATTCTTATTCCAAGGCATGTCAGAAAACCTGCTATCAAAAGAATCTTATCCGTGATTGTGAATGCTGCCATTTTGATTACCCTTGTAGTGGTTATGCATTGAGGAAAGTCGTAGAGGGGGTTAAAGTACCTAAACTGAAGAGATGCAATGATTCTATTCCCAAACAAAGTAAGTAAGATGAGGTAACAACATAAACACCCCTAGAATCAGTTCATAGACATTGTAGTTATGCTGTGATTAAACTTGAAGCACACTTTTGATGTCGGTCCCTCGTCTTTACTATTGCTAGAACTAAACAAATTATTAATTAACTAATTATGATTAACGTATCTCTTCAATAGGGCGATGTATGGGCGACGTATTTCAGAAATACGAACGAGATGAACTAGATTGCTCAAACGACTGTGCACAATCCTGTAGGTATGTAAACTTGAAATAAATATTACACGTTACGCAGGTTCTTTTTATTCCTGGACTATCTAAGCGTCTTGGCAATTTCCTAATCAATTCTGTGATAGATTACATTGATTACAATTGCGATAATGACGGTGTTATCAACAAGATCCGTGGTACTGTTTCCGTAATTTTTTTTATTAGTGAAACGGTGTATTCAACAGACATTTCAACCGGGCGGTGGCCGTCTGTACCACTAATTAGGAGAACCATGGGTAAAGTTAGAAGTTTATATAAAGGAAAGAATGAGACAATGCCAACAATGGGAGAGGATATGGACATATTAGATGACCTAAAGTTCTTAACGTAAATTAAACTTTGTTATTTGCCAATACCCAGGACGTAGATCAAATTTTTGAAAATAGTTTACGTCGCTGTAAATTAAACCTTTCATTCCTTCTGCCACTGTATCAGTGAAGTATGTAGTAAATTGTTGCATTCATATTCAAAATCTATACAAATTCGTATTCGCTTAAGCTTTCAGATGACAGGGAACATAATCACGGCGGCTTTTAGTAATTGTATTAAATAGAAACACGTTATTGGTTTATACCATTTCAGGAGGAATGTCATCAAGGTAGAAATATTCTATAAACAGTTGAACTATGAATACCTTAAGGCAACACCTGCATATGATGTTAGTAAGATCCAAACTTATATTCGCCACTTATTAGTGGTAACCATTACCATTTAAAAAAAAATACCATAACTTATAACTCACAATAATTCCAAGAAAAGTTATCATTTGAAAAATTAGAAAAAAAATCCATACATTTTCAGAAAAGGTCATGAATATTTATCAAATTAAGAGAAAGTATGTATCAAACAGTCATTTTAAAGTCAAGACAAAGTTAAATAATTTATTTTTGTGTTTCAGTGGAGTAGTTTGATAT